AGTAGAATACTAATTAAAACTAGTAGAATACTAATTAAAACGAGTAGAATACTAATTAAAATAGTTATTTCCTAATTAGGACGTCGCTATACCTATTTAGAATAGTATTCTACAGTGGATAACCATTTCATAAGAGGTTAGATACTAAGAGATATTTAACTTTCTATTCTCTTAGTATCTATTGTATAAAAAATCTTAGTATCCTTCGATAGGTACTATTAAGTAGGATAGTAGGATAAATATATAGAAATTACTATCTTTAATATTATTACGATATAGAAAGAACTTCTAGTTATAACTAGATTATATTATCTCTTAGTTAATTTTTTAATAGAGAAGAGACTTAGCTAACTTACTATAATAAATTATAGAGAGATAAGTAAGTTAATAAGAGAATTATTATACTATAAATAAACTAATAAAATAATTATTACGTTTAAGAGCTAGATAACTTTAGATTTTAATTTAGTTATATTCTAAAGAATTCTTAGTATAAATTTATAAAAATCTCCTTAAATATCTAGTTTTTAAACTTTAATATCTTAAGTATAAGAGTAGATATTCTAATATAGAGATCTATATCTAATAGAGAATTACCGAATTTATTTATAGCTTTATTATTAATTAGAAAAACTAAAAGGGGTGGCTTAACCTTAAGGGGTGAACAAGGTATGGAAATAAAAGTTCTAATAGGTTTATATCTTCTTCGGGACTCCATTTTGGCCCGGGTATTAGGATAGCGGCGATTATAGGTAATCCTCTATGGAATACCAAAGATATAGGTTTGGATTTTCCACTAATCTATGGAATGTACGGAAAAAGGCCGCTAGTCTCGAAGTGGTTTCTTCATTGTCTTCAGCCTCCTCCTGGTGATTCTTGCTTAAGGCCTTACAACCTATCCGGGCGCTTTATCATTGCTCTCCGCGATGTCGAGTGCCACGATAAACCTACTCACCATGTTGTAGCTTGCGACAGCAGCTGTGAGCTCGACTATTTCCCGATTGCCAAAACCGGCGGCTTTCACTTCGTCAAACAAGTCCTGAGGGACGACCACCTCTCGAGTCATTGCATCTGTAAATCTCAGGACCACCCATTGACGATCATCCAGTGTGCCCTGAGATAGAGGAGAAAGCTCTTGGACCACTGCAAGCTTTTCCTCGGTGAAGCCACTCGAGGCTAAGAGGATACCGGTATGGACATTCCATTCGACCCATGCGCGGTTAATTAGAGCCACCCGACAAATTATGATTTCGCGAATATCGTCTGGTATGGAAGTCTGGGTGCGAATAGCCCCCATCAGGGCATTCCAGCCTATTCCTCCTTTAGAAAACTCGTGTCTCTCGAGGATAGGAATAGGACCAACCCCCCGCAATTTTCGGAGCATGTAGCAAGGTAAGATCGAGAGTGATTAAGCCACGCGCCCCCCGACGAGCCTTGATCCGCTCAACGATCCCTTCGTCCTCTGGATCGAGGCCAGCCGGCGGGTTAGGGACGTAGTCGAGACGCATTCTTCTAATGGTACCAGGACACTTGATGTTCAAGCGCCGCAACAGACCAAGGGAGCTGGAGTTGGAATGATGGTGGAGTGGAAACGTGTTGGAATGACCTCGGGTGCTAGAACGTACAGTACTTCTTATAGATGTGGCACAAGACGTGGTGCTGTGTAGGAAGCTCGGAAAGGGGCGTGTGTAACCTGCCCCGGGAAAACGCCGCGATTGGCTTACAAATGGAGAGCCCATAATTACTAAAAGAGAAGGACAAACAGCACGGATCCAGATGCAAGCCACTCCATCTTCTCTTGAACAGTCTTCTCACATTTTGGGCTCCGTTGATCGCCTCCTGTGCCACGGTTGTGTCCACTGCTTTCAGCCCGCGAACCAGCTGCGTAGTCCATAATGGCCAGGCATGCTCAGGGCAGACGGTTTCGCAAACCCATCGTTTGTTTGATGTGTCGCGCGAGGAAGAAAAAGGTATTTCGCTGCCTCGAGTCGGAGCTTGCCCATCTAATTGTTAATGTCTCTAGTGTAATCGACGGCAGCCTTGTGCGCAGTGCATATCGCGGGGATTAGCGGCCTCGTGTGTTTTTGAGGTACCACATTCGATTGTGTGGGTGCAATTACTCTACCCCGATTTCATGATGAAGCGTATTAAATCACGTATCTAAGGTCGGATGAGACTTCGCCGGAAAGCAACGAATTCTCCGGGGAGAGCAGGTCAGGTCTACTCAAAGACGTGGCAACGGGTCAGCTATTCCAAGCAGATGGTGCTTCGACGTCTCAGTATACCATGCCTGCCCACTGGCTCGCAATGCTCTACCAGGTCTGTCATACCAAGCTAGGCAGAGGGTTCGCTCACTTTCCGGTAGACAATGGACTTCCAGCACGAGTTGAGACAGGCTCTGCAACAACGTAGTGTCTCGGCCGAGAAGCGTCCCGCCCAACAATTCGCAAACTTGGAGCTTTTAAGCCAATTTCCGAAGACAGCAATCATCGAGAATCTCCTATGCAGGTATTACACGGATGTTCATCCTCACTTCCCAGTCGCGTATATTCCCGATATTTCCCGGGCCTTTTCTTCTGTGTGGTACAATTCGAACGTCCCGCATTGGTCCTTCCTCGCTCTCATATGCTCTACCCTCGCTTGCGCTGTCTGGTGTGCTCCAGAAAATGAGTTGATCGAGCTTCAGACGTTGAACACCGCGGATTGGAATGACGGGCAAAGTCTGCCGAAGGATATTATGTCAAAAAGGAAAACATCCTCCCACCATTTCCTTAATCTTGGCGCAAAGATACTTGAGCTTAACGACTACAAGATGAATATCAATCTAGACGTTTTGAGATCTCTACTTCTACGGGATCTTACTCACACGGTGTTCTTTAACGATGGAGAGCGAGCGAACCCCGAGCTTTGGGCGACTACCAACCTCGCTACTTCGATCGGATTGCATCGTGCTGGTGCCCTTTATGGGCTTGAGGAGGGAGTCATTCAACAACGCAAAGCGGTATGGACAGGAATTCAGGTCTTATCAGGGTCTGTTGTCGCAAACATTCGACTGAGCATGACAGGAGCTCTGACATACATAACGCTACAGGTACCAGATCCTCTATTGCGGCAAGCCGTTCGTCCCCGGCCACAACAAGATCGATGAGGCGTCTGGGCCACAAGTCGAATCTAAAAACTCCCCGACAGATCACGGAGCTTACTGGAGTCTGCAGCGAAGTACGGCCGACCTTACGATCAGAGTCTTCGATGCCATTTACAGCATTACGAAACCCGATTACTCTGTCGCCGAGGCTTTAGACGGGGTTATTCAGAGCTGCCTCCGGATCCCTACAGGAGACCCAAATCTCTTTACAGTCAACAGCTTCCGAGAAGGAACCCGTCGCATTCGCGATCTAAACACATGGATCCATCATCATGTTTTGAGGCTACTACTCCACCGGCCTTGGGCTGCCCGTGGGTTCCGCGATGAAACATTCTATGCCAGCAGCCTCCAGTGCGTAACTTGCGCACGCCGGATCCTTCATGGTTGCTGTTCGATCGACTGGGATGCACATCCGAATGCCCCAGTGTACAAGGCTCACTTGGCGGGGACACTTGTCCGAGGGGGAATTCACGCACTCTCAATGATCCTCCTTAGGATGCACCTAGAAAAGCCTCGAGCCGGCGATGCTGGTACTATAGAAGATTGGAAGGCAGATGCTGACCTTTTCCGCGCCTCACTTGCGAAGTGTGAGACCCTGGCTCGTTCAATGCCTGACAAAATCAAGACTTCGCTCACTACTCTGAAGAACCTCGGGCGATCGATGGGTTATTGGAGCGACGGTACTACCGAGGACCACATTCAGTCCGACCAATTGTTTGCAACAGAAGGGAATGCGACTAGGGAGCCAGAGTCGACCATTTTATCTTGGAAAGGCGACGGCACCGTCAGCCCGAATTGGGACTTGCAGGGCTTTGGCTACCAGGACTTCGAACAGATTGACTGGTCCGAATTTCCTACAGGTTATAGTGATTTGTTGTAGAGACAATGACAAAATCCTGCCGCTCGCCGACGGGGCATGCGAACAACTCGAGGCTGGAGCAAACGGAACCCACGGGCGAATGGCACAGATTCTGTGCTTATGTTCGTGGTGACATTATGGTCCCTCCAGAGGCCAATTTGACATCATCGCAAGCGCTGTTATGGTAGTACGACAATGCTCGTCGGTTCAGTTACGAAACTACCACTGAGCTGGCAGAAGGTGGATCCGGAGGGTTCGATCCTCGCTACAACATCTAACAAGTAACTTCGCCGCATGGAAACAATCCATGAACGTATGTACCTCCGCGCGCAAGCCTCTATTTTCCCACTTTGCCTTAGTGTTATCATTTGCAGAGTCCAGTAAAGGTGGGGGCGTTTGCCGGTGGAAATATAAAGTGGACTACCGAGGAACGCTTTTGAGTTCGACTGTCGGAGACATGTCGGCGAGGTCGTCGCTGCCCACGAATGAAATCTTGCCCTCAAGCTTTACGTTTACCCAATTCCGCTTCTCCGCCCAAAGTCCGTCAGTTGCCAGCGTTTTTGAGGCAACTTGTTATGTGACGTTGGGAGCGTTTTCGCAGTGTCGGAGTCCTTTGCTTATTGGACCCTTTCCCCCGAGGCTGGAAACGTTGTGGAGGAGGCTTGCCTTGCTCCCACACTCCAAAGATTGAATTGCACAGAGACGGTGTGACTTAGGATAGAGAGTTGCAGCACAGCCTAGATCGACGACTTGGACAATTGGTAGCCGTTCTCACCTTCCGCCTCATCATCGTTGTCCAACCCACCACCAACCGGAGAGAGGGAACGACAATGGCGGACAACAAGCACCATCACCTCATCACCAACTTGAACGACCAGGGACTCTCGGAGTTTCTGGATAATGTGAGGAAGCCGTCCGGACAGCACACGCCTTTTGGATTCGTCAGCACCATCTATGGAAATTCTTCCCTGCCGCCCAATTTGACGGCGGATGACGACATACAGGAGACACAGAGGTATCGTGAACAAGGACTCTCGGCGAATCGCATCACCGTCGACAACGGCATTGTGGCCTCCGTGGTGCAAATCAAACCGTCCAATCTCGGTGGTTCCAGCCCCATGCATCGGACTCGAACGCTTGACTTCGGCATCGTCGTCGAGGGCGAGGTGGAGTTAACGCTAGACAGCGGCGAGATTCGCCGGCTAAAACAGGGAGACACAGTGATCCAGCGGGGAACTATGCACAAGTGGATAAATATAACGCCAAACTCGGGATGGGCCACAATGTTCTTCGTGAGCCTGGACGCGCAGGAGATCAAGGCTGCAGGAGCAGTGCTTGGAGAGAGCTGGGGTCCTTGACGACTTGGTTTATTGTTCAACAGCACATACAATTCCATGGTCCGGAATGCACGATTCCAAGCTCTCAAGGGGGAACATCTTAGTCAGGGGAGAGGAGACTGAAAGCATAGCTGTCCAGGCCTAGTCCTATCTTTGCCGTGTAGACACTGACAAAGTCTGAGTGTGGGATTAAAACTCAATGACATGTGCAGTGACCCTGGCGAAAGTCTCTATTTACCAGCTATCGAAGATCCAACTCTAGTATCTCAAGCAGTGGGCTTCTTCTAGTAGATCATTCTCGACGGTCTGCCAGGTGGACAGCACAATGCGCACATTTTCTAGAACTTGTGTGCTTGTCACAAAATGTCTCCGTTTCAGAGTTCTTCCTCAGGGCAAATGCTCCTCCAATTGCTTTCTGATTTCACCTTCACCAAGGCCTTTTAAACCTAGAAGATGATTATCCAGGCGACTCGAGAAGTCACCGCCGTAGTCTCCCCCAAACACAGAGACATTAATAAAGCCGAACATGGCCACGAACGGATTCGCGTTGGCACCCTTAGCGAGCTCAGCATATGATTCCTCCTTTGTCTTCTCAGTCGACTTGTGCGTTACTGTCCACTCAACACCGTCCTTCTCTTTGGCATATCTGATCAATTGATTTTGAGAAACCTGAGCATCTTGTATGTAAAGACGACGATTGGCCGTTTCCGATAAGTGTTTGAGTATGCCGACCACGGCCTGGCCGACAGTATCAAGATTGGTCACACTGATGGGAATATCTCCGCCGTCGAAGAGGGTAGCAGTATGATGACGAGGATCGACAAGAGTCGAGTGGGCGAGGCCCCAGTCAAAGAAGGAGCCGTTGTAGAGGATTGTATAGCTGAAACTAGGATTCGCAGCCACGGCAGCCTCAAGATGTTTTAGAGTCTCGACTTTGTCTTTGAAGACCGGTAGCTGGCTCGTGTTAGGATTCGTCGTGTCGCTACCAAACTCAGAAGGGATATATCTCTCGACCCCAGCCGCAATAGCAGCATCAACGAGAGCGATCTGACCTGCTCCTGAGCCTGTGTTCACTGCGGAGGCCAGCGTGGAGATCAGGACGGCATGGCCTTTCAAAGCTTCTGTCAGCGATGTGGCCGACGAGTAGTCAACCTGTACCACAGAAATATTGGGGCTCTGAGGCAGTTTGGAGATAGAGCCGCTGCCTTTGCGCGTGAGAACCGTGACAGGATAGTCAGCTGTAAGTATCGCTTTGACCACGGGTATTCCCAGGTTTCCAGTGGCGCCGGCCACAGCAACCTTGATAGACATCTCAATCAGGGTGCGAGGCCAAACGCTTCCGAAGGGGGGGGCGTGGTTGGGACGGCAACGCCTTCGGGAACTGGTTCGCACAAGGAGAGCTCTTGGGAGCAGGGTGACTGACAAAAGCAAAGACAATAGACAGGAGTTGTCTTTCCGCGAGGTTACAAGATCCTCGATGTATTCAAACAGTAATTTGTACACGGTTCGACGCTCTAAAAGAGCGGTGACGCTTACGCTTTGTGTGAACTGTCGGGGAAGAGACATTGTGGAAGGGGGATGTAGATCCTTATCTCCGTATATACCGTCTGCTTCATCCCGATTTTGTATGGCGGTCCAGCCTGTGAGCCAAAGCGTTGTCCCCAGCCGCGTCGGCTCCCGCTTCCGCTAGCTTGGGGGCGGAGCGGAGATGCGGCGGAGACTTCGGGGATATACCGTGGTTGCATAGAAACTGCGCTTTTAGTAAACCGGCTGGAGGCGCAACCTCATTACTAATGAGCGTCGCATGGAGTTTCGGAAGGTAATGGGCAAGGCATTGGTGGACAGCGGCACTCTGCTCGAGGGAGTGTGCCGGCCAGCTAGCAAGTCACTGTAGCGAGATACGGGAATGTTTTCTTTGAGGCAACGTAAGGACTGGGTGCTGCGACTATAAACTGTCCTCCAATGTCTATCTTTCCATACCTTCTGTCTCAGCTTCATGCAGTTTACTTCGCCGCTGTGGTTCAAACTGCTGTTCAAGATGGCCCCTCGGATTGCCATCATCTATGTAAGCCATGCCCTCCCCTGCAGCCTGACGATTGTTCTTCAGAGTTGCTGACAATCCGCGCTCTGACAGTACACTACATATGGGCACATTGCCAGACTGGCCGAGGCCGAGAAGAAAGGCATCGAAGAAGCCGGCGGCAAGGTAGATGTCTATCAGTGAGTGGCGCGGTCCCCATGGTGTTGCAGCCGACGTCCAGAACTGATGTGGACCAGAGTCCGAGAGACACTTTCGAACGATGTCTTGAGTAAGATGTATGCTCCAGGCCCCGACAAAAACGTCCCTGTGGCCACCCCGGACACGCTGAAGGCTTACGATGCCTTCTTGTTCGGTATACCCACCCGCTACGGTAGTTATCCTGCCCAGTGGAAGACGTTCATCGACGAACTCGGTCAGTTATGGATGAGTGGCGCGCTGCACGGCAAGTATTTTGGTCTGTTCGTCAGCTCGGCCACGGCTGGCGGTGGGCAGGAAGCGACCGCAATCAATGCCTTGTCCTCCTGGATCCACCAGGGCATGATCTACGTCCCTTTGGGGTATGCGGGAGCTTTTGATATCCTAGGGGACCTGACTGAGGTGCGCGGCGGCACCCCTTGGGGGGCGGGAACGTTCGCAGCCGGCGATGGCAGCAGGCAGCCAACCACACAGGAATTGAAGCTTGCTCAAGCCCAGGGCAAGTCGTTCTACCAGATCGTCAACAAGGTCGCCTTTGCGTGACTAGATGGCAGCAAGCAAGGTGGACACCAACAGACTCAGACCGCCTCTAAAGGTGACCGGCGCACGACAGTGAAAGCCAGCACCGATGAAGACAGTACAGACGAGAGCGGACCATGCGGACTACCCAAGGGGTGTGTGATATTATGATTTATGGAATTATCTACCAGTCCTCTCCCACCCTCTTGATAGCTAGAGATAGCTTAGTTCAATATGAAATTGTCCTTATTGCTTTGTTGAGTCAATTGAGACTTCCTTTCTTGGCTACTGGGGCCACAATTCATTCCTGATTTCGACACAATCAAATCTTGAAAGGCATCAAAATCCGAACAATCGAGGATTGAAAACGTCGACTCCTCGAAGAGTCGGTGCTCGATACTCAATCATACGTACATCCCCAAACACTGCAACTCACGCTCGCCTACATAACTACCTCGCCACAGAAAGTCTGAGCCAATTTAGCTTGCCATTAATTTCAGTGGTCGGAAGAATGGTTAGAATAGAAGCTAAGTCAAGGGAACAACTTCTGAGAATCTCACAAGACCTTCGAGAACGGAAGAACAGTGTGTAAACTGGTTGAGCGGGGACCTTTCACCCGGAAATCATGGCAGAATCGCAATTTCCTTGTACCGCTGTGTTCATAGCTTGCAGAGATATACTTGAGGCAGCGCGACACCAAGTGGCATTTTGTTTATAACCCATTGCCGCCAAATGAAAGCGCCTTCTGGTCATTTTGCCCAATTGTGTGATCCTGCGCTGTGGAAGCAAAGATTTCACTTTTGGCGCAAATAAAAAATTCGAGGCAGGTCCTTGAACACATCATGTTGAACGCTCTATGCTCGCTGCGTGCGAATTTCAAAGGCTATCTTAGCCTGGAAGTGCAAAGTTCGGCTTGATTGCCTCCCAGTGTGAGTTATAGTCAGCCTGAATCTTCCCGCAGGTATCAAGCGCCCACATGGAGACTCCGAGAAAAAGTGACGACTCAAACATAAAAGCTAGCCACACAGATTAGCCGACCACTTGTAATTACAGTGCAAGTAAGCGCACTTATATTAGCCCCAGTCCGTACAGGATTCAGCTCTGCTTCCGTGGCAGTCTTGTGGGCCCCTGCATCGGGACCATGGCCGCTCATGACGCTGTGCAAGCTGGCCCCTCCGGGAGCAAAGGCCTGTCCGCTCTTCCCTTCCAGTTGCCCTTGGATCAAGCCCACAAACTCGGACATGATGTTACGGTGGTACCAGGGCGGTCTGTGTTTTCAAGTCAGCGCACGGAGCAAGTGTGTTTTCATGAGAAAGTTACCGGTACGTGTCCTCTGTTACAACCCACATGTGGGGAGGCACGGCGGCAAAGTCTGCTATCGCCGTTCCATGGATAGCCGACTGACATGTTAAGACAGTAAAGACGCTCGGATCCTAGATTCCCTGGCTGTTAGCGGATGGCAGTACAATAGGCCCATACTAAAGTTACCAGATGGTCATAGGTGACGGAATTCACGGCGTTGAATAATTTCAGGTCATACTTGTAGGGATAGTATGTCCGATGCCAGCCGACCACGTCGAACGGGGTATGATTCTGTCGAATCACGAAGAGTCGTTGCGCGTACTTTGCAATCACCTCCCATTCAGTAACAGAAGAGGTATCAAAGGCTGCAACGGGGATCTGAAAGTCTCGGGGATTCGCGCAGCCGGAAGAACCGACCACACCCAACTCGGGGAGCTGAAAGTGGTTCGGCCCAAAAATCTCCAAAATGTAACCTCTCAGGTGATCATCGCCATTCAGTCCGTTCTCAACGCGGAATCGAATACCTCTTGGGACAACGACGATCTCGGTTGGTTCCACCAGTAACTTGCCAAGCTCCGTCTGAATGCTTAGTGTTCCTCGCTGCGGGACAACGAGCATATCGCCATCGGCAGAATAGAAACACTGTCGTTCAGGCATCGACTGCGTAGACGTGTAAATATAGATTGCTAAGCCGCTCTTCGACTCTGGCGATCCCGCGGAACACACGAGTCTCATTCCTGTCACGAAGTCGTTGCCGTCCTCGATCTCGAATGGTGACCAGCGAATTTGGTCGGGAATCAAGGAGGTCTCTGTCCCCAAGAGATTGCTCGAATTTTCAGACGAGCCGCTCCTGCTGGAGTCGTTGGGCGCATAAGCACGATGGTAGGGCGTCCAGCGATCATGAACAACCGCAGGCAATATCCGATAAAGGTATCTGCTCTTTCCTTCAGAAAATGTAGCTGAAGTCTTAATTTTGTGTACGTACGTCTGCTGATTCTCCTTTCTCGGCGCAGTGAACGCAGTCCCAGATACTTTTTCGCAGACTAAGCCGTACGGAGGTTTTTGGGGGTTGTTTCTTCCACGCGGAAGAGCGCCCGGAATAGCCTCGCTGGAATGGGAAGAGCCGAATCCTTGCAAATACTGCAGCTTTGGTGTTTCTGCGCCCATATCGTAGGATCTGGAGCTTATCCGTGGCTGAGACGACTCACCCACACGGTTGTCACTTTTATTATGGTCTTTCCGGCCACTTGCCAGAAACAGAGGCGAGCTCAGAAGCGGCGAGTTGGCTAGAGGTGGAACAGCATTTAGCCGTCGCCTCTTTTCCGCCTCGTCTCCGTCTCTTTCCCGCCTCGTCTCCGCCGTAATGTTTCATAGCTATTTCCAAGCAATACTCCGTGATGCAAGCCGAATTTTATTGTGTCAGCTTTTGTCAGGCATTCTATGCGCCCTGTAATGGTCAGATCGCAGTGGTTTGGGTTCGCGTCGACATACCATTTATGGGTTAGCCTATCGGCGCTAACCACCTTGAATTTCACGGTCAAGAAACTAACCTCGCTGAATTTTGCGGTCAATGCACTAGCCTCTTTAAGAGGCAGACCATATCAGACAAGATAGAGTAGAAGCCTTTCAAGTAGGGAGGAGATTAGCACAGCAATGTTGTTTACCTAAAGCACTCCTGGACACATAAAGGTAAATAATGATGTCGGCGGATCAGGCAAATCGGGCCATTAGGCACTCTCCTCAGGCTGATGAGGAACTTGCGCCCTGCATACATCTGCTATCTAAGCTGTACGCGCAAGCCTGTGAGGCAGTGCTTGCTAAGGATCGTGTTCCAGTCGCTCCTGGCGCAGGAATTGTATTGTATTAAAATGAGCGACTTGTGCTGTGGTGGTGCCAAACAGCCGTGAAATGCATTGCTATAGGCGGCGACGAGGTCGCTGAGATACGGGAGCCGCAAGGTTGAGTGGCAAGGCTGGCTGGCAAGGCTGGCTGACAAAGCTGGCGCTGCTGTCGCCCGCCAGACTTGTCCTCCCGCAGTGGCCAGTATGCCGCGCCAGTGTGCCGCGCCGACAAATAGAGGCCTTACGCCTCACAGTCTGTAGGATTCGTACTAATGGACATCTGGGCAGTGGTATGTTCTCTTTGCTAACAGCTATCCTATAATCTTTCCCATACCACTTAGTCACTGGTTGTCAGAGCTGCTCCTGTGCCACCTAACTAGGTTAGGCTCCTCAGTCATAGTTCCTTGATAAGCTTGAGCTGGGTCAGGAGGTGCAAGGTATGAGCAGTCGTATATCTGAGACAATGAAGCAGATAACATATGAATTGGCTACGAAGAGAGTGTCAGCTATCTAGGGATAACGAGCGTGGCTATATAGTTGTGAGGTTGTCCTAAACAGGTAATGGGAACGGTATGTTGGTATATTGATATGACTTATACTACCATCCCGCCATATCAAACATTCTGTGACTCAATGGAGGAACATGGTGAATTAGACTAGGTCCTGGGGACCGTCAGACTATATACCACAGGGTAATTTACAGAGGGCTACTAGCGTCGTCCGAAGGCCTTCGGCCGAAGGCCTCAAACGGCTAGTCTGTATACCTTCGATCGGTCTTTACAACCCTTGGCATCCCTGACAGTCACAATTCCCTCTTTCAGTTGTCACGTGTTCCTGGCCTAGCCTCGTACTCAAGGCACCAGGCTGTGCTTCCTTCGGTTGACCTTCCCTGGGTTATCCCACTCCTGGGTCGCATGAAAGGCCTGTTTCTAACACGGAGCAGCTGAAGGTCGAGACATATGATGTCCCTACTCCTAGCAACGACCAAGTCTTAGTCAAGGTTAGAGCTACCTCGATCAGCTGGTGGGATGTTGCATACAGGAAGAATGCACTCCCAGGTCTTTCGATCCCCGGGCGCGTTGGATGCCTTATGCCACAGCAGCTAGGCCGTGAGGCAGCTGGGGATGTTGTCGCGCTGGGTCGGGACGTTTCTCGTTTCCGACTTGGCGATCGAGTCGTCATGATGGCGAATCCGTCATGTGGCCGATGCACTTTTTGTGTGCGCGGCTCCGACAATGTGTGTCCAAGCTCGCTTCTCCCGGCACACAGGGTGTTTGGTGGATATGCCGAGTACATTTTGATACCTGAGTATGGCGCTCTCAAGGCCCCTTCCACGATCAGCTATGAGAAACTGGCTTGTCTTTTGTGGGCATATCCTACGATACTCACCGCCCTCGAGAACTCCGCCAAACTGCGAGCAGGGGAGTCAATCCTAGTTACAGGAGCTTCAGGAGGGTTGGGAATTGCCACGATCCAACTGGCGAAACTTTCCGGGGCTATGCCAATCATTGCTCTATCGTCGGACCCGTCCAAACGCGAACAACTCTTAGCGACCGGAGCGGACGTTGTACTGAACTGGAGAGACACCGACGTTGAAGCTCAAATTCGGGCAAAAACATTGGAAGGACTCGGTGTCGATGTTGTCATAGACAACGTGGGAGGAAAGATGGCGAAACTTGGACTCGACAGTGCCAGGTTAAATGGTCGAGTCGTCCTACTTGCACCGATGGGTGGTGAGACACTAGAAGTGAACATTACGAAGTTTTTTGTGAAAAACATTTCTTTGCTGGGTTCACGGTCAAGTACTAGGAGGAATCAGGAATTGATACTAGAGCTAGCTGCCGCAGGGAAAATTGACCCAATCATTAGCCACCGATTTCCGTTGTCCCAAGTGGCAGAAGGCCACAAAGTGCTCGAGTCTGCACGACATATTGGAAAGGTCGTGCTGTTGCCGGAGGCAGCTGCAGGAGACTAGGACCGGCTCCGTACATAGATGATAGTGATACTCTTAGTGATAGTATATGATGTTATGGTTCGGTGCGATTGAAGGGCTTTGACTCCCTTGCTTGAAGGAAAAGGTCTCTGCAACTAGCTCGTCCTGGCAGAGTTCCGCTGGCGTCGACGCCTACCAGGCTTGCCAGCACAGTCCGACCACTCTACACCCACCTGGCCGCTTAATCGTAGCAAATGGGATAATTAGACACCTGTAGTGTCATGATTACCTGACTCGCATGGCTCTCGCCAAGTCTCTTCAAGGGTGTCGAGAGACTTCAGTAGGTGTCAACATCATTTAAACTTTCATCCTTTCTGTTAATGTTAATCCGAGGAACTGCCACCTCCGCTCTAGACTATCTTTTGGAGCTTTGGAAGGAAAGGGGATATGTAAGGAAAAGCGACAAGAAACGGCAGAAACTAGATCTTTTGTTGGATATCCGAAAGTACTTAAGAGTCTTCTAGGTCCACAATCTCCAGATCGAACTTCTTCACCTTCCCAGTTTTTCTCTGATCTGACGGTGATTTACCGCCCGACCGCCATCATGTTCAAAGGAGAATCTCATATGAGTGGCTACAATATTCTGGTTATACTCTATGTGACCTTTGGCGCCTTCTTCTATGGCTATGATTCAGCCCTCACAACATCCATCTTCGGCTATCCTCAATTCATCGAGTTCTTCAACCTTGACGCAGTTAAATTGGGAGCTATTGGCTCGTGCTACTATGCTGGATTGACAGTCGGCTGTATCTGGAACTGGTGGTTTCCTAACAAGTGAGTCTTACTTACCTACGTCCCGCTCAGCAGCTCGAAGCTGACGAAACTCGCAAGGTATGGAAGATTGAACGACATCAGATTGGCATGCGTCATCAGCATTATTGCCGCGTCTATACAGACCGGCGCACAAAGCTTCTCGATGCTTCTCGCGGGCCGTGTGGTCGGAGGGCTGAGCTGTGGGATAGTCTTCTCTATCTGCCCCACCTATGCAAGTGAAATTGCTCCTCCAAGTCTCCGTGGTAGAGTGGGAGCATTTTATAAGTCAGTCTGAAAGGTCTTGCTTCTTTCCAGTTCCGTTGCTAATGATAATCAGTTTGATTTTGTCATCCTCTTACGCAGTCACCGAGTGGATGGGTCTCGGACTCTCTTATGTGTCCGGCAATGCAGCCTGGCAGATCTTCATAGGCCTGCAACTTATTGCTCCGGTTCTCATGCTTGTTGGGTCATTCTTCCTACACGAGTCCCCGCGATACCTCGTCCTGAAGGATCGTCATGACGAGGCGCTCCAGGTATTGCAAAAGATGCACGGAGGTGACACTGACGATAAGACCTTCTATCTTCGCGAATTCCACCAGATCAAGACTCAATTGGCTCTGGAAAAGGAACAGCAGATTTCCATCAAAACTATCTTCACCAAGAAATCTTATCGATTCCGCTTCCTCCTCATCACCATTGTGGGATCAATGGCAATGTTGACAGGAGTTATCGCATTACAGAACTACCAGTATTTCATGTTAGTTGACATTTCTCTGTTCTCCTGCTGGCCATCTGTCGCTGACATGTCGTTTCCCAGCTACACCTCTCTCGGTATTACTAACAAGACTGCGCTCGCCCTTGCTGGAGTCTGGGGAACTGTTCTACTACCAGCAATCATGATTGGAGGCTACTTCTTCGACAAGATTGGACGAAAGAACTCCGTCTATGTGTCTCTAGCCATCGTGATGACCGCTTCAACGATGCTAACTGTCTGTTGGGCAAGATACTCGGCATCCGGAAATACCAACAAAGCTGCCGGCCACGCAGCCGTTTTCTCCATGTTCCTCTTCATCTTCGGATACTCCTGGATCATGAACGCCATGCAATTCACCTATCCTGCGGAAATCTGTCCTGCAAATATTCGGCACATTGGCTCAGCGTACGTACAGACCGTGGGAAATATCTGGATCATCATCATCGTGCAAGTGGCTCCTATCGCAATCGACGCCATTGGTTGGAAATTCTTCATGATCTTCTTGTTCTTTGATCTCATCAACCTATTCCTCGTGATTTTCTTGTGAGTATCTTCCTGCCGAATAAACCACTAGACCTCCTTATTGACGCGACCTCTTCTCGACATCCAGATTCCCAGAGACCAACCAAAAGACTTTGGAGGAAATTGCTGCACTCTTTGGCGATGAGGTATTGGAGCCCTACAGTGATCCTAGACAATTGGCTGATAAAACATTCAGATCACCGAGACTATCGACGAAGCTGGCAAGCACCTTGACGATCTCAAGGAATTTACTGTGGCGGCTGAGGAGCTTGGCAATCGCGGTAATATCACAGAAATTGTGGAAGACAATGTAAAGAGTGTTGGCCCGGTCAACATTGATCATGTGGAGAAAGTTTGAAGCTCGAGTGTCTCTACAGTGTTAGAGAGGAAAAGCATCTTTACTATTCTCTTCTTGACACAAGAATGAATTCTCGAAAGGACAATTTCCAGATGCTTGGAAAAAAGGGGGATGAAGCCGAGGATTGACCACAAGCGGTAATCCGAGTTGAAATTGAGTTTCCTACAGCCGCTTTCATCAGTTGGTATATTCATTAAGTCTCTCCGCCCAAGGATGAGATCGTAGACCACCCCCAGCCTCGTGCTATTCGCTTTGTCCTTAGAGCTGCCACTGCCGTGCTTAGTTGGACTTCAGATTGTAGCCGAGGATAATGCCCGTGCGAAATTTATGCTTCTCGTTGATGGGACTATGCTCTAGCCGAAACTCTCTCGATGTCAGCAATCTCTGACTGTCAGACATCCCTGCATGTCGAAACTCGAAATCGAACCAGCTGGATGTCCAGGTCATTCGGATGGCCTGATCAATTAGATATGAAACGACTTCATAGCCATTTGATTGACAGAAGAGTAGACCAAGCACGACCAAGCTGCCTCTGACAAGGCGCTTCCAGTGCACAGCTAGGTACGAGGGTCTCTGGACATGTTATATTGCACCAAAAGCCAAGCCGTCGGAGGTGTGGACAGGACTTGGCACGCTCATTCTAGCGCTTCGATTTCAGACGTCCAGAACCGGATTTGTGGACGACCAGCTCTCCACAGCTTGCATAAGGTCCATGTTCCACGGCCAGTCTTCGAAAATACTCGTGGTCAGCTGAGAGGGTATGGTTCTCAGTGCATCCGGATGCTGCAGGCCGTGGTACTTCGGATTTGCCGAATTGAGCTGAGGACTCGGCTCACCCTCAGAACAAATGCGCAGCTGATTCCAGTAGTCGTCAATTTGCGCCACCAGGTCCCGAAGTCGCTGTGCATTGATTGCTGAATGGATACCATGATCGAGGTTCTCCAGCAATTGTGCGAGTGACATCAAGACGACTCTCACCTGCTGATACGCAATATCGCTGAGAGGCTCTTCAAGAACACGGCCCAGGATGGCGCCGATACCAGCAAGGTGATGAAGGAGTGGTGAACTGATGGCTCTTAGATAAGCAACCGGAATGCGCATAAACGCATCCACGACTTCGCTCGCTATCTTGCAACGCTCCTCGATCGTACCGCCACCTGACGCAAACAACATCATTCGAAGCAGCTGGACAGTGGCAGTGATATTGGCAGCCTGGAACCCATATCGATCGCTAGTACAGTCATCGGCTGGCCCACGCTCGTCGGATATGAACTCACCTCGAAGGATTACATGTCACCTCTGGAAATTCTTTAAAGCAGCCCGGAAGATTGCCGTATAGAGCCATGATGGAATCCCGGACCGAAGAAGCGGAAGGGGCAGTCTTGTCACCGAACATGTCGCTGAGGGAGGTCCTCTTGTGCCGCCTTTGGTCACGAAAGTTAGTAATGACGTGCTCCAGGATCCGGTATAGATCGGTTGTGAAGTTCCAGCCGCAGAGCCAGCTGCTGCTTCTCACATTGCCCCATCTGCCACCGGGGCTTGCTCCGATGTCAACTGGAGACGACACGGGCTGATTATAGCCCATATCATTGAACAAATCATCGTCCATCTCCGTGGTGTATGCGACATTGATCTGTTGTTCTCGACAACGTGTAACGCCGTTCCAAATGATGGAAGAATAGACCTCCAAGGTATACATGGACCAGATCTATTGATTGGTTAGCAGAAGTCTCGCGTCGGATCATGTGTCGCACCAGCCGCCGCCTCTCTTCCGTCTCAATGATGCCGATGTCTTTGGGCCAGTTCGATTCATCATGGAGCCCATCCATAGCCACGAAAGTGTGGTATTTCCCCAGAAATAGCTGCATTTCACGAATTTGGCCATATTGAATGGCTGTGAGGGCAAGCAAAGCACAGCATCGCAGTGTATTAAGAGTATGCGCTTGCCTGGAGTCTTCGTAGCCGGCGCTGTAGCGGACCGCAGCGTCATAGAATGTTTCCGAAGGCGTTTCGGACAACTCTTGAACGTCCCAAGAAGGATTGAAGATCGCCTGATCTCGGACTCGAGCGGACACCAGGGCACAGACTGCCATAGTCACAGGGAACAAGTCCTTGTCCGTAGTATAGTCGCCTCTCGCTATCTGCAAAGGCTTATCAGCGCTGTGCAAGAAAGTCATCAGGTTGTGCCATCGATCGGTAGCAAGAAGAATGCCACAAGCCAGTGAGACCTACTTTTCGAATATATGTTGACCGGTGAAAGAGCGGGAAGATTGGATAGACTATTTCAAAGAATACCTCGACAAGACTCATCACCACCGCTTGGCTAGCAATCGTCGGAGCCCTCCATGGCTGAGATGATGACTCAAGGTGCGCTGGAAGTTGTCAGCAATTGACTACAATTGTTCAGGCAATAACGCAGCGTCAACGTGAGGTTTCATCACATCTCGAAGACTCAACAAAGGAGGCATTGCGAAAAATTTCTTTCAAACGTACCATTCACGGACTCGAAATTTCGAGGGGCCGTTGCAGGCGAACCTCCTCTAGCGCCTGACTTGGGCTTCACGCCTCGTCTCTTGGCTGTTCGCTCGTAAGTACACGGCTGATTAAACTCTATACACTTTTGACACTGAGAGCCACCAGCATTGACACATCGGATGCTGCGTTTGTGGCAGTAATCGCACGCTCGCGTAATCCGTCTTGACTTGATTGTCCGGCGTTCGGGGGCCGGCATGACATTCTCCTCAATGCAGATATATTGTCTCCCTTGACATCACATACTGTAAGACAAGTGTATAGTCGACTACACCAAATGAGAGACAAGGATGAATGGAAGAGAAGTATGCAGCTTCTGGGGTAGAAGTTGCAGCTTGACGAAATAACAGTTGCTGAGCCAAGCGTGGCAAAGTAGCCGAGTGTCGGCCGAGTGTCGGTACAGTTGCCTTTCTCACGGCTGCAGCTCAGGCCTTAGCCTCCAGTGATCGTGCCCTAGGTAGCCCCTCAAGTTTCTGTCCTATTGTTCCTTTCGCAAGCAGGTGGGTGAATGAACCATTGACTGAATTGAATTTACAAGAAGAGAACGCTTTACAGTAGCTGAGTCAACACATCCAAGATCATTTTCGCCTGACAAATGGCGCGCCTCTCTTTCTCCATCTCCTCAATCAAAATCAATCTGTTCACCACTTGTTGTCAAAGACGTTACCTTTCACGTAATTCACCAACTCTATCACCGGTTCCAGATGATCCCTGCCTGCGCCAAACTCCATTCCATGCTTCATAACCTTGCGATAATTCTCACCAGGACTGACCTTTCCGAGCACATAATGTCTTTGCGTCTCGACTCTGCTCGGTACCGGAATACTCCTGCCCACGATTGCCTCCATTCCTTGCCATGCAAAGGTGATGGCCTCCTTCGCGTCCGCCGGGATGCCAGCCTCATCAAGCATCAGGATTCGGGTTTCAGGGAAAGCTTCTTGCATATAACGCGTGATGTTGGGATTTTTCGCTCCCCCGCCACACATGAAGATTTCTGCAAGAGGACCGTATCCCTGTGGCATGTATCTGTGGTAATGGTTGACGATGGCCTGGGCGGTTATGCGAGTTATCGTCGCGACAATGTCATTTGGTGTCAATCCTTTGGCTTTTCCTTTCTCGATGAATTTATGAGCGATGGTGTCCCTGAACACCTCACGTCCCGTTGTCTTCGGTGGTTCGAGGCTGAAGTATGGAAAAGTTTGCAGAAACTCGTCTACCATTTCCTGATCCACTGTTCCTGCAGCACCCATCTCGCCGTTCTTGTCGTACTCGCGCTCTCCATTGGTAAAGTGTCGCACTGCCGCATCAATGAAGACGTTGCCCGGGCCGGTGTCAAAATCGAAAAACTCCCGATTCAGTTTACCGTCCTTGTCTGGAGGGATAAAGCAGACATTTGCAATGCCGCCAATATTCTGACATGCTCTGAGTTTGGTCGGGTGGTGAAGGACCAATGAGTCGAAAAAGGCGATCAAGGGAGCCCCCTGTCGACCGGCTGCTTGGTCCGAAATCCGGAAGTCGGTGACAGATGTGATTCCTGTTCTCGACGCGAGGAACGACCCTTCAGCCATTGTCAAAGCCGATTTGGTGTGACCAGGCTCTGGCATGCTAAGCAGCCAGATTGTCTGGCCGTGCGATCCCAATGCGTCGATCTTCTCGAGAGGGACGCCTTGCTTTTGAGAAAACTCTTTTACAGCTGCAGCGAAGGTCTCGCCCAGCAGGACATTGACCTCCGAGAGTTCTTCGGGAGTGGTTCTGTTGTATAGGATCATTTCCATCACACGCTTTTTGATCTTGGGCTCGAGCGGCACTTCATCATATGCAAGAAGCTCGAAATGCATTGGCGACTCAGGCGATTCTTGTCTAAATCGGCATAATGCGCAATCAATACCATCCATTGACGTCCCAGAGTTCAGCCCAAGCACCGTCAAATCCAGTCCTTTTTCATGATGGCCGTTGGTGAGGCCGTTGGTGAGGCCGTTGGTGAGGCCGTTGGTGAGGCCGTTGGTGAGGCCGTGTGATGCCCCGGTCGTAGGAGAGGGTGACATGGCGATTTTTATGTTTGAATGACATCGATGTTGAAGAATTAGAGGAACGTATACGCTGGAAACATAAATATTTAAATCCAAGACTCGTATCGAAAGCCGTTCGGAGAAAAGATGGTGATTGTTGTACTCGATGTCCTTGCGGAGAAGAGTGGACCGAGACCGGACCAGGGTAAAAGGTGGGCTAGACTGATCGAGAATCCTTCACCTCTGCGGAGCGAGTTCGGGCACGGGGGGGCTGTGCACCACAGTAAGATTCGGCTAAAAGGCTAAACGGTTATCCACAAGGATTATTGCCTGACCAAGCCTTCTCTTGCTTTTCCTGACACGCAAACACCAATACATTGCCACATCTCCACGCAATTCACCCTGTGGGAAGGCTCTCGGCGCATGGAGGGACGGAATTCCGATGGAAGAAGGACCAGAATGGTGTTGATGCACGTGGCCAACGCAGGTTTGGTGGGGATGAGGGTATCCTGCTCAAAATCATCCTCCAGTCCTCCACGAATACCGTCAGATGAGCATTGAAACAGCGAGGTCGTGCTAGGAAGAGAACTACTTTTGAGCGGACAAACAGCTCGTACAATGGACAAGGTATGTAAAGGATGTATTCACAGGGATCATCGGTTAATTTGATGTTAGTTCAACTTGAAAGATCATACGGCAGTGATATCAGGCGCAGCTCGAGGCCTTGGTCTGGCGTTTGCAGAAGCCCTTGCATCAGCAGGTTGCAATATCGCTGTGTTGGACATCCTTCCCGAACCATCAGTCGCATTATACGAATTGCAGTCACAACACAGGATCAAAGTCAAGTACTACACCGTCGACATCACTGTTCGCGACCAGGTTATCAATACGGTCTCGCAGATCGTCCGAGATTTCGGCAGGATCGACATCAACATCAACGCAGCCGGCGTTGTGACCGATGAACCCTTCTTGACAACCTCTGACAAGAACCTCCAGCGGACCTTCGGAGTCAACGTCAATGGATCCTTCCTTGTAGCGCAAGCTTGCGCAAACGCCATGGTCGAACGGTACAAATCGCAGCATGGCGACGCACCTGCAAAAGACGCCACAACAGGAAGTATTGTCTTCATCGCCAGTATCGCCACCTACATTGCCAGCACCGCGCAGCAGATATCATGCTACACAGCGTCTAAAGCCGCCATCAGGGGACTCGTAAAGCCCGTGGCAATGGAGCTGTCCCGCTACGGAATTCGAGTCAACAGTCTCAGCCCCGGCTACACGATGACGGACATGATGAGGAGCTTGCAGTCGGAACAACCGGATCTGGTCAAGCAGTTTGAGAAGGAGACCTTGTTTGGAAGGATTGGGCTGCCGGAAGAAATGAAAGGCGCAATGTTGTGGTTGTGCTCCTCCGAAGCCGGTGGTTGGTATACGGGTCAGGATTTGCTGCTTGATGGTGGTGCGACTTCTTGGAAACATCCTGCAGTCTTGAAGTGAGTGGTAGCAGTCAATTCCGGATCGTGGACGGGCAAATGGTCCCTGAGAAAAGCTATATCTCATGAAGTCGTATGCATTCGTGCTGGAATGCAAGAAAATGACCGCAACTCTACTGGCGTGTCTGAAATCCAACCAATTGTGAGCTGAACGGACTGCGGCTGCTACAGGTTTCGCATGGGAAGCACCAAGCGCTTGGGTAGCTCGTAAATTGGTGCAACACGAGATCACATCTATTCCTCGCGCAAGACATTTGAAGCTTTATAATCGGGTGTCAATTTCAGCGTACCGAGTACGCTATCTGCTTATAAACAAAATCATATCCCCTTCAAGGGTACAACTGTGCCCTCCGGACGTATCAATACATCTTCCCCTCAAATACTCCCCTGACTCTAAAACGACGACTTTTCAATCGAAGACTCAACATGATCCTTCTCACCGTCAGTCTTGACACGACCATCTTCAACGGCGCTAACTGAAACCCGCCTTGGATCCAAACTATTCTCGCCATTGACTTCATCAAGAAGCTTCCTGGCGGCGACCGCGATATTACCACCAGCCTCGGCAACACGGCGGTTATACTCCGCCATGTTCTTGCTGACCAGCAGGGAGTCGCTGGCGAAGAGGAGGTCGACTTCTTCGAGGGAGCGGCCTGCGGTCTCGGGGTAGAAGAAGTGGATGATGGGCATGACCACAAAGTTCATGCAGCCGAAGAAGATGAAGGACCACCATCCGATGTGAGAAAGCATGATGGGGATGACAAATGTTGTCACGCCACAGCCGATTGCCCAGCCCAGGATAGTGAAGGAGTAGCCCTTCGCGCGGACTTCTTGAGGCCAGATCTCAGTGCCGTATATCCAGCATGGCACGATGTTGAACATGGTGAAGAAGAAGACGAAGGTGAAGGTGAACGAAGACGCCGCCGTTCCGAGAGACTGGGATTCGGAGGGATTGGACGTGACGCGATCCTGGGATGTTTTGATGAGGGCCGCCACAAGGAACAGGGACAGACCCTGAATCAAGAAGGAAACCTGGAGACACGTCCTGCGGCCCAAGCGATCAATGACGAGGGCTGCCGCTGCGGTACCGATGACACCGAAGGTATTTAAAAGGCCGGACATCCAAGAAGCCTTGTAGGAGTCGAAGCTGGCAAGTTCAAAGAGTTTGGTGGCCCAGGAGACCATAACCAGAATACCAGTCCACTGCTGGATCTGCTGAAGAGCTAATCCGAGGACAGCGCGGCGGCCAAGGTGAAGCTTGCCAGAGTAGCGACCGCCGAGAGCAATGTTGACGTAGTTGTTTCGTTTGTGGTAAGATGCCTCGACAACGGCATTGATCAACTCAACCTCTCTGACGATATCTGGATCCGAGGCAGCCTTGTCACCACGGATCTTGCACAGAATGTCAATCGCCTCCGGGTTGCGATGGTGTGCCATGAGCCATCTGGGAGATTCTGAGACCTTATTAGATTCGCTCCACAACCAAACCAAGACGGTGACTCACCTGGGACAAAGGGAATAGCCATTGCAACAATAAACATGGGAATGCACATGAAGCCCAGAGGGAATCGCCACCTGAACGCGTTGCCGCTGTTGCGGATTCCGAAATTGATCCAGTTGGCGAGGAAAATACCAAGAAAGTTTGAGACAAACACCAGAGAGAAGGTCGATCCTCGATCGTGGGCCTGAGTCAATTCCGACACCCAAGAGAGAATGATGTTGTTGACGAAGCCGATCCCGAGCCCAGAGATGACTCGAGCGCAGATGAACATATTCGCGTTGATCGAGCCACATTGCAGCGCGGATCCCAAAAGGGAGAGGAGAGCACCAGTGAAAGCAGCCTTCTTTCTTCCGAGCTTGTCACCAAGCCATCCACCAATAAAGGCACCAAACATTGCTCCGAAGTAGTAAGCTGCAGCAAGACCGCCTTGCTTTGTGGTTTGGGTAACGGTGCTGCCGTAACCGATGCCGGACATGGCGATGAAGCCGGGTGTACCAGAGACACTGCCGTAGACACCTTGATTGTATCCTTCGTATATCAGAGCGACGGCGCTAAGGAGATTGAGCAAGAGCAAGACTCCCTTGCCAGGAAGAGCACGCCATGGTTGGAAACCCATTGTCGCGGAAATTGTGAGTGAGTTCAAGGATTGGGTGGAGAGGCCAGAGGGCTGCTTCAGGTATGAGTTGATTGTGAGGTCCTGCAGGGTAGAGATGTTGTGATATATATATTCAATGCAGGATCGATTCAAGGCCGCTTTCCGTTCGGGATGGGGATACGCGATTTGCCCCGAGTTCTGGCCACAGCGATTTTCTCCCCAGATCTCGCGTGGGAAACCAGACTTTCAGCTCTCCACACGTCTCCCACATGATCCGCACTCTTGGGAGCGAGAAACATGGAGCTCATTTAAATCCAGCGAGCGCTTGCGGAGGAACGTCACTGTTTGCGGCGCTAGAATCCGACAGGAGGAGGCGAAGTCAGAGGAAAAGTATGCGAGAAGGCGACCGCCTGAGGGTCAGATTTAAGGGCTAAGCGGCTAAACGGCTAAACGGCAGAATGTCAGTGGGACGACATGCGAACTAAAAGCGAACAAGAGGAAAATACGGGGAAGAGTGGTTGTGTCACCAACAAAAGGGATCCATCTTCTAGTTGAGTCCTGGGGGTCGCGGGGAAAACATCCGCGGAGAAGAAGCCAAAACAGTCTTGTCTGGCCTTCAAACGGGCCACTTCGAGAGACAAATGGTAGTCTGGCTGCGAGAAAAAGCCGTTCAGAATGAGAGGGTGCTAAACGGAACTATTCAACCGCAGCTAGAAGCTAGCAGATTGCGACTGAAAGCCCGGTGCCGATATGTGTCATTTGGCAGAGACATGGAATCGCCTTCACCTTTCTTCGCCATCTTCCTCTGCTGTCAACCCTGTCTAATTGTGGAGTTGTCGGCACGGGGCATCAGAGGAGAAATTGGCACCACCTGGAAGGCTTCTCCTTTTCTCAGCTGAATGTTGATGATATCTTCTCGGGCAAGCATTCGCATTTCAACAAATTATTAGTCTGTGAGAACCAATTTCTCCCTGTCCGGTCGAGCCATCACAATTACTTTCACGTCTTCGAGCCTCGTATTACAATGGAGAAAAAGCAGACATGCCGTTGGGCAGCACTTTCCTTATCCAGCATTGCCTCAGTCTTCCTGCCAGATCTACTCGGTCGTGAAGAGGCACAATATGAACACAAGCTCGTCGCAATCAGCACGACGGGCTCAAATGAACGCGCCCAAAAATGGTTCAAGACCAACAAGATCCCAGATCCTGAGTCCATAGTCGTGTACAACTCCTGGCAGACAATGCTTGAGCAAGGCGATTTCGACGTCGTGTACATCTCAACACCGCACCCGTTGCATTATGAAGAGATGTTAAAAGCCCTTGAATGCAAAAGAAACATCCTGGTGGAGAAGCCAGCAACCATGAATGCTGCGCAATACCGAAAGTGCGTCGAACTGGCGAACCAGCAAGGTGTTGTGGTCATGGAAGCGATGTGGACACGCTATCTGCCTGCAACGAGGTACCTGAAAGAACAGCTCTTACCGAAGATTGGCAGAGTGAGGAGGGTGTATTCTGATTTCTCTTTCCCCATCGTCGGGCCGGACCTTCAAGAGACATCTCGATTTCTGGACAAAGCAGCTGGTGCGGGTGCTCTACTAGACCAGGGCGTCTATGCTCTGACTTGGGCGGATCTTGCACTAAACGGAGTCGAGGTTGGCGAAACCAGCGTGCTGCACTCCAGTTCTTGGAGCGTTCCTGAGAGGCCCGGCGGGGTTGACGACATCAACACCGTCGTCCTGGCGAACAAAGGCGCCACCGCTATCGTCACGACCAGCATGACTATTCCTGGATCAAGCAAGCCTCCATTTTACGTTCGCCTCGGTGCTCAGAAAGCATCTCCTTCTGTCAGGATTGAAGCCACAGAGGCATCTGTGGCTATTCCCTTCCCACCTATTCGCCCCGAAGAGTTGCATGTGCAATGGTACGGATCTGCTCATCTGAATGAGGATGGCACGGAAAAGAACGAGGTAATTAGGAAACCTGTCAGTGGTTGGGGAATCTGGTATCAGGCAGATGTCATTGCTGCAGCAGTATTCAACAAGCAGTCGGGCGTGATAGCGGCCGAGGAGAGTTTGAGGGTACTGGGATGGATGGATGAGGCCAGACGACTGGCAGGTATAACATATAACGAGAAGCTGGAGCAAGTGTAGATGGTGTCCGACAATATAGCCACGAGCCATTGTAGTAACACCAACGTCCGCAAGAGTTACACCGCTGTCTTGTTAGCAATCTCTATCTATCTCATCCGCTGTGGAGGTATTTCCCCTCCTTAACCGTGGTTCAGAGCACTCGAAAGTGAGTGTCATAGTGCGTACAACGGGAGGATCGAATTGACAACGGGCAAGGAGGGAAACGTACCGGCTTTTCGAGGGACCAGGGCGTTTTTGAGTCCCTCCACCCAGGCGATTAAGGGAGCCGACAGCTGTACTGAAGACCACTGCTCACCATCTGACCGGTGCTCGATAGCATGGGGGGTCAGCTGCTCCGCCGCGCACAAAGAGTAGGCTCACTACAGGCTATATCGTACTATCTTTGCCACCGGTAATTGTAAACACCGTATGCCTTCTACCTCCGGATAGAATAAATAGATATCAAATCGCTACTCCAAAGGGTTTCTCGCGTCAAGATACTGTAGTTGTGCTACTCTTCGTAGACCGTATCTCCAGCTTCTTCGGTTTTCTCCTTGGTTTCGACTCCTCCTTGATATTCTTGCTCTGGTTTACGTCTGTCTTGGGTTGCTGGTCGGACTCTGTGGATTGTTTCGACCTAATTTCCAACTTCGGTGGCTTTCTTCGTGGTTTTTCCTCCGCATTATCCTTTTCCCCTGACCTTTCTGTCTCTGATGCGGTAGCGATTGCTGCCTGTTCGACTTCTGACCTTTTTTGTTGGCTTACTTCCTGTTCCAGTGCCTCAGCCACCTTTTCAGGATCAGCGTCCTCGAACTTTTCCTCTTTTCCACCCAACTTTACCCATGGTCCATGGATGGCACCAACCCCGCTTCCAATTAACAGGCCCAATCCTGTGGTCGGAACTGCTGCGATAGCACCCAATACCGTTCCCACTCCGGCTCCAATACCCAGTCCGGTGGCGGCACCAATCCCTCCTCCAAACCCAAAGCCTTGCCAGGTGCCACTTTGCAGCCTCCTCGCCATCTTGCTGTGTCCGTGAGCTTCCACTTCCTTGTCGAACGCTTCCTTGAGCATTTTCTCCCGTTGTTTTGAATCGGTAAGTGCCATTGCTCTAGACTTTAGGTCGTTGGCTGTGGATTGGGCTTTTTGAGCCTTTTGAAGGCTCTCAATGGTTTTGACCATTTCCTCTCTGCTCGGCATTTTGTCGCTGCCCTCGGGGTGTGTGCCATCTTCACTGCCGCCCTCACTTTTGCCGCCACCGAGCATCGATTTCATTACATCCATCGTCGCTTTGGGGTGCACCAGCCCTTCACGGTTGCGATTTTGCTGGTCGGTTCAGTCCGACTCTCAAGACATATCTTACGGAGCTTCCACCCACTGCCTGAGTTCCTGGATAATTGAAATGCTGTTGAACAACACCTGGGATAAAAGTTGGCAACACACTGGGTTGTCATACGAAACGAGGTAGTCGACGTCATTGCTACTCTCAACCCTGGTCGCGGCTGCCAAATCACTGCTCAGGAAGCCGGGTACCTACGTCAGAGGGATTTTTCGTGGCATTTTGGATCATCACCACCAAGGATAAAGATGAAGATTCCTCAATTAAAACCTTTCCATCTTCCGTTACCTAGGTATGCATGCCGGTACATTCGTACTGTACCTAACACATCATCAAATTCGGTGTGCACTTCGATCCTCGTGTGATGTTGTCCCTGCAACCATATTTGCTCTGCTAAGCTTAAGGGACAGGGAGTTGAAGAAACTAGCCTGAGAGGCTCCGGGCAACAAGCCATCGACCGCAATCGAGTTCGGTGCATGAAAGTGTGAGTATTTAGATATCCAAACAATGGGATTGACAAACGTCAGAGAGCTTGATCAGAAAAGGGCTAAAGAAGCTGCTCTAAGGAGAAGTTCTTTCAAAAGTGCGATATGGGCGCTACTCAAAGCCTGACAGTCAAAAAATACGGAGAACAAGATCCCCGCAAACCGTCATTTCAGATTTGATCTCTTCTTATTATCTATTGGGCAAGTAAACCTGCTTTTAGGACAGTCATCCACAACTCCGCATCACATCACCCACAAGATGCAAGGCAAAGAAGCCGATGCGGAAAGAGTTGTTGTCGTCGGGTATACTTCAACTGGATCAGAGCCCAGGGTCGATAAACCTAAGCGGGCTCAACATTCCAAGTTTATCCTGCTGGTGGACTCCGTGCAATCTTGCCACGAGGGGCCCGAAGAGCATGGGCGCCCTACCCGGTCTGGCGAAAACGATATCAGCGGAGTTCAGATACTTCTCAAGTCGGCACTCAGGCATGACTTGGAGAAAGAATCATATTGGAAATATAGTACTCATCCGAGCCCACAAGGAAAGCCTGGGGCGATGAGCTTGAGGCAACGAGGCAGCTGAAGCATACTTCCCGGGGGAGGCTCACTGTAGACTACCTAGGTATGTTTGAGCCTTGCAGGGGTGAGACTGCCGACGAGTGAATCGTCCTTCTTGCATCCTGATCGTGTTTGTGATAGCTCCCTTTTCAGATAAATGACTCTTCATTGATAAGAGGGACCGAACCATTCGTAGACTTCTTCCCTCTGTTATCAGCTTCGAAAGACCGTGATATTTGCAGGTCATTCCGTAAAGTGTGTGGGACAGGGAGTTGTGATCCGACCATCCGCTTCCGCAGTATAGCCAGGAAATGCGATTCAGTACCTCCAACGTCAACAAGAACTTTCTCGAGGAGATGTAACGCCTGCCTTGAATCCATCAAGAGGGCTCGCGTCTCAAATGAGGGAGGTGCGCAAAGGAGGACGTCCAATAAAGAATCTGCTATGCGGAATATTTTGAGTTCCTGCAGGACGTTATATTCCGGACAGAAGAACTTCTTGAGACCACTAACCATGCCATATCCATGAGGTTGAATAGATTTCCAGGACACCCTTTCAAGCACGGCCAGCATGTCCCGTGCAATCTTCGTTGGGAGTAACGCTGAGAAGGCCTGATCCTCGGCATGACATGACACCACAAAGTGGCCGATTGTGTATTGCCACAGCAGTATTCGGATCCAATTCCGGGTGGCCAATATGTCCACCCTCTGCGACTCATCTAGCTCTTCACTAAGAAGGAGAAGACTGAGATCATTCTGCAGTGTTGATATTTTGCCCTTCGGACTGCCCTCAATCGCGAGAGGTGTGGACGAGGGGATGGGTTCGAGGATCTCGCCATCAAGAAAGGTGAATAATCGTATTAGAGCAATGAACGCTGGCAGGGGAGCGCCGTCATATCCTTGTATTGGGTCGGTACTCGGGAACTCGTTGATCGGCTTCAGTGTAGTCGGCAGGCCATTCTGGACGCAATACGTTCTGTGCGTCGTTGATCAGTGCTAAAGCTTGCCAAGTACTACCCACTGACCTTTCGGAGATAAACAAGATCCAGTAGACTCGCAATCTTAACTGATATTCGTCGAGATTTATGCCAGCATAGCTGTCAAGCTGATGTAACTTGAGACCATGGGCGTAGGTGAGGGTTTCTCGCAGATAAAATCCGGCCGTGCGGAGCTTGTCAGCATTTGCATAGTAGATATGGAGGAAGAATGAGGTCAGGAGAGACGACATTGAGTACTGTTCTTGGTACTCAAAAAGTAGTCTGAGCCTCTGAGCTTCTGCCACCAAATCAGACGAGGAGCAAGTGACAGATACAGAATGCTGAGGCAGCCGCAATTGAGCAATGACAGCTGCGCACAGAGCTGCAGCGAGCGAATACGACTCATAGTCTTCTGGATTGTTCCTTAGGGTTTTGACGAGTTCATCATATGTGACAATTGGCCAGACTGAGTATAAGCGCAGGCGATAAACCTCTAGAAAGCGCTCATAAACATGCATGGGAATGCTGTGGATGTGTGCTGATGGAAGGCGACTTTCGACTGCGGGCTCCAGCACAGGTCCTTCCGGTGGGGTAGGAAGTGATTGCTGAACGCTGCTTGCTTTCAGCACCCTTTGGAACTCCTCGATTTTCACGTTGGTGCCAGGTCTTGGACCTTTGGGACCTCTTTTGCGGCGCACCCGGAGGAACGTGCACGGCACAGAACGATGTTTGCACTCAAAACAAGGTGACTCTCCGGAACATCGCACGCGCCTCAGCGCGCACCCGTCGCAAGGGTGAGAAGTTCGCATCTCTGATTTTGTCACAGGAAATCTGAGATTTGGTATCTGAACGGATCCTGGATTTGTTGGAGTGCTACCGTCCAGATAAAGTCGTGTCTAGCAGGCCAATATTCTTCTTTGACATGGAGAAAGATTTGGCTCGGGGCAGGAATGGCTTCGGCGTGAGTCGGGGAGGCACTGATAACTGTCCAGGGTAAAGAGAATAAGCTGTTGTTAAAATGCCTGTTGGGACTGATCTAGGGATGTTATCTGGAAAGACAAACTGATTAGTCGGTTAGGCGGGGAAAAGGGAATGTCCGGATAGAGTTTCCTCATACCACATGGGACGGATGCCGAGCGCGATGCACCTGAAGTAGGGAGCGGACAAGTAGAGTCGCCAGAGCTATGGCTAAATGTCTCAAGTCAGTTCGCACAGAATCAGTGCGGACAGCAACCAGGTTGCAGGGGACACGAGAGGCTACAACGGCTCACAATTGTTGTCTTCTGAACAAATTCTACAAGGCGGCGCTATTTCCTGACGGCAGAACCTGGGCAAATGCACCTCCCAGAGTGTCTCGCTGGAGGAGCATCTGCATCCCCTAGTCGGAGCATCGAGCTTACCTAGGTACGCAGTTCCAGCTCCGCCTTTTCTCGCTTGCCATAACAGATCTTGGCATTCTTTGACCTTCGAAGAAAAATTGCCAAATCTGTCGCCTTCGCTGCTGGTTATTTCTGGGATCGGCTAACATTCACTGCGGGTTAGGTAAAGGCACCAGCGGTATTCTTAGGTAGCAATACTAAGAAATGACTGGCACTAGCCTGCTTTCGTGGCAGAACCTTATATCAGTAGCTGCGTCACACATCAGGGTAGCATTCGCACCTATTTTTTTGAGCCGTGCAAACCGGTGCATATAAGAACGTTTATGTAAACTTCAGAACAGGGGGCGGCAATCGTGAAAGCAAGCGCACTAGGTCTGTAGTAATCGAACGTGAGCCCCAGAGACAGGGACTTGAGAAACAAAGTAGCAGAGAACTGAAGCTGCGAGGAAATATCGACACCGGGCTCGTCCATTGCAAACAGGGGACTGTAACGCGCCGTTCATTCCCTCCCACTCTTTCGGTGCCGCGCTTCCTGATACGAGACAACTGTTATAGCATCTAAAGGTACGTTTGTCTATTACACTCTTTGGATGGCTCTGGCCCATAAAACAAGACGGTCAAAGCATATCGTCTGTATCGTTCCACGAGGTGAATTGTGGGCCGTGTCCGGAGGTCGTCGCTGGAGATAGGTTTGTCGTGCAGTTGCCTCTGCAGCAAATTATCGAAACTTCATGGCATTGGATTCGATATGAGTGGTGAATCTCTGGAAAACCGTGGCAAGCAGACCAGACCTCTTGAAATACGTGAAATATCGTGTCGGAGGAGCGGTGTCATTCACGCCTTCACACCATGTCGTTCCCCCAGAAATGGGTTCCCTCAAAAGCAAGAAAATCTGCCAGGTCAAGATCATCTCAAGAGTCAATCTATAATCGCTTGCGATGATTGTGGTCTTGGGCCTTCCGTCTCAACTTTTCGAGTTTCGGTAAGGATATGGAGAGCGATTTTGTTTCGTTCTTGAGGTCGGTATTTCTGTTCCTCCCTACCTCTTCTTGACTTGGTGAAGGTACCACAGAACTCCTCTCTGCAATACCCAATAAGGGTGCAACTGGAATTGAGCACTGCAATTGAGGGAGCGGCGGGCGCGCCTATGAGTTGCCCACGCGCTGAGCAGATCAGTCCCCAGAGTGGCGCGATCACTTTTCGAGTATATTGATCTCCATGCTCGTTCCGACACTTCATTTTCTCTCCCAGATAACCTTGATCACCAGGGACGGACGTTCGTGAAAGACACGCATGCTTCGTGAGGATTTCATTGAAAAGCCTATACCAAGTCTCGCTAACAAAGGCATGTAAAGATTGAGCATGCATGGGTCTCCCGGAAGTATTGCCTGACGTGAAATTGTCCGCGCCGCGAAATGTAGATCATTCTCGCATTTATCACGTCGAGTGTGGTCATTCGTCGGCTGCCATGCTTATCATTCTGTAGATCTAGAACGTCGTAAACGTTGGAGATGGCGGCAGCGGAAGAAATAGGGAGTGTTTCGTCTATCTCGTCATCGGTGAAGCATATATTGATTCGTAAATGTCATTCATACCCATACTTGTTCGCACGGCGCAGCTGGTCCGGAAGAGCATCCCATACGGATCAAAAGGTCAATGGTAGAATAATCAAAAAACACTCCTTTTGTGAGTGCCTGCCCACTAGCCACGACAGTTAGTGCTTGCCATGCGGGCCGAGACAGAGCCGCGTCCAGGCGGTTTCGAGAAGGAAAATGAGAGATGTAGATGAGAGATTGGCAGTGGAGAAACCGACGTGGTCTTGGAACCTGAGCTCCTCACCAAACCGGCCCCCTTGTGCAGACGAGCAAAGAGGCAAGCTGAGGTCCTGATGGCTGGGCTCCCAATCGGCTTCGCTTGCACAACAGTAGCAATTGTGATATACAATCACACTGTGCGCACTTGTTTTTGAATTATTGCTGAGAATATTGGCACTCGTAAACGTGACATGTCTTTCCTTGCCGTTGATTGCCTCGAGCACCACCTCCGGTAATTTACTAGCCGTCGAAAGCGGAGAAGGATGAGCCTTCTGAGGTGGATCGCTGGCGGGGGTTTGTTTGTTATTCTTAGGTAACGCGAAAGCTAGGGGGGTAAGGCCGGTGCCTGGGGCGCACGACGACTCGTAAATTGGGCACGAATGAGATGCTCGTGGCTTGAGGGCTTGAGGGCTGAAGGGCTGCATTTTGCCGAAAGCCAAATATGCTAAGCAAATTGGCTGTATCGTGGTTCCCCCAGCATCTCGGCATGGCCCGTATTCGCACCCTCGTACTGGAGATTAACTCGTGTTATTGTCGTCATGAGACCTCAGCACACGACACGGCAAGCTCTTTCCTCTCAAGCATCGGAGCGATCGATATTCTGTTCACTTGATATTCCTTCACCTCCCTCTTCATTTTACACAATCAATGGATTAAAGGCGGTGATGAACCCAATACAAGGGATAATTGGAGGATTCATGCTTAATGCCTCGTTAGGTCCGAAGCAGCCGTCAGCATTGTTGGGCCTGAGACGACTTTGGAGCTAGAAAGACGTACGAAGAGTCAAAGCATCAATAATGGGAGGGTGGGGGCCAATTGTCGAGATGCCTGACCGGGTAAGCCTACTTCGCGATCAATCGCATTGGCCTTGATCTGGTCATGTCGCTGCTACACAATCGATATGGACACCACACAGCGTGAGAATCACAAAGGAAGACCGCAGGCATTTCATATGCACTCTGAGGTACAAAGTTTTAGATTATTAGATGAGGTCTTGAGATGTCCACAGGATATGCGGCGAACTTGACGTTGACGGGTACTCGGCACTCCTATGACAACAGCATTGCTCGTGCTTGCAAACGCTATGCACCATAACGGCCGCCGAAACGGAGAGGATCTACGCAGTCCACTCGTACTCGGTACTATCATGCATGACTTTGACGTTGAAGCACGTGTTCCCACTCCGAATTGGTGCTCCTTCTCATAAAACAGTTGTTCAGCATTCAGGCCACATATCCGACCACCATCCCCTCGGACCTCCAAAAGCACTGGGCAGTCTCACGCTCAATTTCTCCTCCTCCTGAATCCTGAATCCTGACCTCAGCGACTTCAGCGACCTCCCCTGTTTCGCATCAAGGCTTTTGGTCTTTTTAAACTCCAGCAGCCCCACCCCAAAGGGGACGGAACCCTGAAGTAATTGGTGGGCGCCGTAGTGGGGGACGTGCTCAAAAATTAAACGTAGATTGCAATTTCCACCGGCGCAAGCACTGGCGAATTCTGGAGCCTCACGCGGTCCACCCAGGGCGACACCTTTCCATTTCCGTCACTGAGCTACCCCTGACACCATGCTTTTCTCAACCACCACCGTCCGCCGTCGTTCCCAAGCGTGGCCATCTTGCCTGCAACGGCGTAGAACGCTTGCAACGTTCGCGATCCTAGCCTTTGGGCGTGATGTGGCTGATACTTGAACCCCGTATCCAAAGATTGGCATCTCGCTTCAAGGCCCATCGTTGCAAGATGACCAGAAGATCCTCATCGCTTGCGACCGCTCTTTGCGCCAACAGAATACCAGTGTGCTCTCCACTATGCTAAACTGAAACAGTTCTGCCCCAGCTCACGATGCCCGATGGCATAGGAGGCAATCATCCTGGCGGCCGGAGCCCATAACCCATGGCTTCGTGGCAGGCTGATCGGGCTGGCCCCAATTTTCGGGAAGGTAAAAACCGCCCCAACGGCAAAAGGCAAAGTGATATACAACTGCTACCCGCTCCTCTCTTTATTTCTCTTCTCCTTCTATCTCGTACGCATCATATTCCTTCCAGTCACTCCTTTGTGCAGGCAAATCTGCCTGCGTCCATTCGTTCAATTATGCGTTCTTTTCCCCTTTTCTTAACCGCTGCTGCGGCTGGTCTCGCAGGTGCTTCCACCTGGGAGTCCGATGTCACCGTCACGGCCACCACTACACGAACTCATACGATCTGCCCGGTAACGCAGGTAACCACATGCGACGCTTCAGGTCCCACTGATGTCGGCGCGGGTAATGGCTGGCACCCGGGCCAGGGAGACAACGGTGCTGAGGACGCATGGGCCTCGCTGTGGGATGCGCAGAAGTCCAAGTATGGTATCGGAAACGGCTGGAATACAGTTACAGCTACCGGTGCCCATCCTGACAACGGAAACGGTGGTCACGGCGGCCACGGTTCTACCCCATCCACAACGGAGGGATCAGGTTCTTCACCGACTAGTGGAAGCGGTGGTTCCGGCTCAGGGCCAAGCAGTTCCGGCGCCGGAGGCTCAGGATCTGGTCCCAGCAGCAGCTACAGCTACAGCTATACCACGCCAACAAACTCACCTACCACCAGCGGGGGATATGTCCCGACCTCGTCTTCTAGCCCTACCACATCGGCTTCCCAGACCACAAGCTCGGGCGCCTGCCCAACTTACACGCCTCCTCAGAACGCTACGGATGATTTCTGCAACTCCGCCTCTGATCGATCAGTCTGGTGCGACAACAAGGATGTCAACAGCGATTACTACAGTGATTACTCAACTGGTGTCACTCGCAAATACACCTTGACAATCACCAACACCACCCTGGTGTACGATGGCACAGGCCCCCATCTCGCTCTTGCTATCAACGGGCAAGTACCTGGCCCCGTGATTGAGGCTAATTGGGGCGATATGGTCGAGATCACCGTGATCAACCAGTTGCAAGACAACAGCACAACAATACATTGGCATGGTGTTCGCCAACTCAACACCAACGATCAAGATGGTGTTCCTGGTATTACCGAATGTGGTATTGCCGGAAATGGTGGCAGTCGCACATACACATGGCACGCAAGCCAGTATGGCACTTCTTGGTACCACAGCCACACTTTTACCCAATATGGTGATGGTATCCGTGGTCCCATCGTTATCCACGGTCCTGCAACTGCCGACTATGACTATGACATGGGCACAGTTATGATTGATGACACGTAAGTCTTTTCCCAGTGTTCAGCTAGCTATGCCACTGACTTTTAGCAGCTTCCCTATCAGTGCGGCTGCCATGGCATCTCGTATTGCGCACTTCGGACCTGGTGGTTCCTTCAACACCCTCTTCAATGGCATGAACATTAACCCTGATGGGACTGGTCCTGGTGGTACTGCTTTCTCGTGGGGTGTCAAGCCTTGCAGGAAGCATTTGTTCCGCATCATCAACAGGTGGGTTCTGATTTTCTTCCCAACACAGGGGAGACTGGCTAAAGTCTTCACAGCTCCGCGCAAAACAGCTACATCGTTGGTTTCGACAATCACACGATGACTGTCATTGCCGCTGATTTCGTACCCATCGTGCCCTACACGACCACTACCCTCAACATTGCGACTGGCCAACGTTACGATGTCATCGTCCAAATGGACCAAGCACCCAGCAGTTACTATGTTCGCGCGGTCATTCAAACGGGATGCCCTTCAGGTGGTGCCAACTCTGGTTTGGGAACTGCTAACGCAATCATCAACTACGAGAATGCTACTCCTGTCACTCCGGTCATTTCAACTTCCATCACCAATGTCACGGCCAACATTTGCCAGGATGAGCCTCTTGCTTCCTTGGTGCCTTACCTGGAGAAACCCGCCGGCACTCTTACCGCATTCCAGGGCTCTGCCTCCACCATTCCTGCAGGCTCCGTCACCTCAGTCGCTACTAATGACGACGGAACTGTCTTCCAATGGTACATCAATAACGCCGTTATCAATGTCAACTACAGCCAACCCACTCTCCAGACTCTGGCTCAGGGTTCATCTTCCAACAGCAGCCTGATTAGCAATCCTGTTGTTCTCAGCCAAGCCAACCAGTGGGTCTACTTCGTCATCCAGAACCAATTCTTCGCATCTCATCCCATGCACGTTCACGGTCACGATGTCTCCATTCTCGGCACTGGCACTGGCACTTTCACCTCCGACTTGGTTAGCTCTCTCAACTTCGACAACCCCATGCGCCGTGACACAGTCATGCTGCAAGGATCTCCGGGTCCTGGGTTCCCTGCAGGTTACACCGTCATTGGTTTCGAGACCGACAACCCCGGTGCCTGGCTCATGCATTGTCATATCTCCTGGCACGTTGATGGCGGTCTGGCTCTTCAGTTCGTTGAACGTCCTGATGACATCCCGGCCACCTCATATGTTGACTCGTCATTTGAAGAGGAGTGTTCCGCCCTGGCTGCCTATGTAGACAGCAATCCTCAGGGTGCTAAGTTGAGTGGTCAATCCGGTCTGAAGGCCCGTGGATACTCGGATGAGTATGATATCGAGCTCTGGAGCCCCGATGCGAAGATCGACATCAACAAGTACCGCAAGCGATATTCCCACCGTCGTCTTCATTAAATGACCGGATTCCGAGTCAAATGGCATTTGCACGCAGCAGCAGCGGTGAGATAAATAATGGGGGGATTCTGGTAATGCGCACTCATGTACCCTAGCATAGTTTTTGTATATCCTTCGTCATGTCCAATTCTGATCATTGTAGGAACTGGAACTCTTTTCAAACAAGGTGATGAGTGCAACATCATTGCCATCTTTTTCAAGCATGATGTCTGAGGTTCTTTGAATACGCTGCATAATATGTCCCTCAGTTCCAGGCTGAGCATATTCTTCCGCCAGGGCACATGACCTTATGGCTGGATCGCAATAACCTTCCAAGTTCTTTTCCCCAACTTTTGCATCCCCGAGAACCTTGGCTTTTTCCATCCCCATTTGTTGCCGTTCTCCACCTAGATATATTGTGGTCAGAATGTGGAGGCCCTCCACCTTGCATGGGGAAATACTACTAGTCCCACGAGGCCATTCTTCAGAATGAAATGCATTTGACCTACACGAAGTACACCAATGAGGGGTTGCACTCAGGAGCGACCATGGGGTCCCATCTTTGAATTTGAAAGTCCTCCAACTCTCTTGTTCTCGAGCAGCTCTGCTGCAAATTATATTGGCTTCTCGGTATCCCAGAAATTCAATGCACTTTTTAATTACTACAAACGTGGGTCGGGAAAGAACTTTGTCATAGTTGGGAAAGATGCAAGCCATCATGCCGGGCAGCCATACGCTCAGCTCAATAGGGCTCGAGAACGTCACGCTCGTCAAAACCGTGCTGGCCAGCTGTATCGCTTTTCCCCTACTCTTCATTATCGGCTTCTACTTATGGGTCACTCCGAGCACCCTCAAAGATTCGCGACGGAAACACCTTCCGCCTGGGCCTCGTGGTCTGCCCTTCTTGGGGAACTTCTTCGAGATGTCAAGGGCTGAGACGTTTCGATTCCAAGCCCAAAAGTGGGCCAAGGAGTATGGTGAGATCTTTTACACCAAGATGGGAGGAGCTGATTACATCTACCTGTCATCGCCAACGGCTGTAAAAGAGTTGATGGACAAGAAGTCGGGCATATATTCCTCACGACCACCAGCGCCGCTTGCTAGCGACGTCGCTTCCGCTGGTCGACGACAATTGTTTATGCCATATGGACCCAAATACCGTGTTGTACGAAAGATTGCCCATCAGCTTCTCAACATCACCGTTTCCACCAGCTATCAACCCATTCAAGACCTCGAATCCAAGCAATTGATGTATGATCTGCTCCACGACCCGGAACACTTCTACGATCACAATCGGCGGTACTCATCGAGCGTGATCTTGACGGTGGCATATGGGCATCGGATGGCAGATTGGGACAATCCATTGGTGAAAAAGATTTACAGCGTGGTCAACAACCTGCAGCAATTTTCTGCGCCGGGCGCTTTCCTCGTCGACACCTGGCCCTCACTGCGATATTTCCCTCAATGGATGTTCGGCAACTGGAGGAAATTTGGCGAGAAATGTTTTGCTCATGATTCGGTGGTCTACCTCAAGCTTTGGGGAGATTTAAAGAAGGAAGTTGACGAAGGCAAAGCTAACCCATGCTTTGCAAAGGACTTCTACCTAAGCAATCCGGAGAAACTTGGGTTGGATCAACTCCAAGCTGCGTACCAAACCGGTGGCCTGGTTGAGGCCGGTTCTGAAACAACATCAGCGTTCCTGAACTCTTGGATATTGGCCATGACTCTGAACCCTCATATTATGAGAAAGGCTCAGGCAGAGGTGGATCGAGTAGTCGGAGAAGACAGACTGCCTACATGGGAAGATGAGGCAAATCTGCCCTATCTCAGAGCAATGATCAAGGAGCTGCTTCGCACTCGTCCGCCCAACAAATTTGGCATGCAGCACTACACGACTGAGGATGACTGGTACAAGGGTTATTTCATCCCCAAGGAGACCGTGGTCGTCTTGAACTGGTGGTATGTGACTTTAGCGTTTGGTATCCCAATGTTTTCCTGACGTACGCACAGGGCAATAAACTATGACCCATCCCATTGGGACAGACCCGACGAGTTCATGCCGGAGCGCTTCCTAGGCTACGATCTCCCGGCCGCTTCCTATATCAACATCGCAGATCCCAACCAGCGCGACCACTTCTCGTACGGTGCAGGAAGGCGAGTGTGTCCAGGTGTGCACGTAGCAGAAAAGTCGCTATTTTTGAATATTGCTCGCGTGTTATGGGCGTTCAACATCTCAAAGAAGACAGGAAAGGATGGGAGTGTGATTGAGCCAAATACTGCAATGGTTCCCGGCTGGATGACAATCCCGCAGCCATTCGAATGCGACATTACCGTGAGGTCAGAGAAGAAAGCGGCATTGATCAACGAAGTTTGGGCGGCGACTAAGAAGACTCTTGACGGGAAATAGGTGGCATGTTCTATGTCTTGGAGCAGGTTCAACGATTTCTAGCATGCTATGTGCTCATCGCTGGGAATGTACTCCGTACCTGAGGTAGATACAGTGTCTAAGCAGGGGTACTTGAGGTACTTCTGATCGTCCGACTCATATGGCTAGGTCGGGACGTCTCCCCAAATTCCCTCTTCGAGTCATGTGGGGTCTCGAAACAAGACATAATATTGCTCTTGCGATTATTGCTCGCTGCAGTGCAACTTCGGCCATAACATCTCGAGAGTACAGCAGTACAGAGTGCCATCCAGTACTAGGAAGATAAATGTAGTGTTCACTTGAACATGTACCCCTTCCCATCCCATTCTCAGTTGTGCTTGTGATTGGCTCGCTTCTATATCTACCATGGGGCTGGGTGTGGGTATCTGCCGGCAAAGTTGCCAAGAATGGATCAGCTACGTCCGAGCAAAATTACACGGTGCGAAGCTGTGGTGAGCGATCGAGGTTCGTCGCGTCAGTTGTCTGCCTTCGAATTGAAGCATCCTCGCTCTATCTCTTGCTTTTACTCCATTCTTCGGCTCTACGACCAAAAGTCCACACCCCAGGCATAATAAACAGTGTACCAACGTCTTTAGGCCCTCTTCAACCTCTCCGTCTTCGCCGCTTTCAGCTCCCTGTCATGCCTGCGACGACTGCAGAGACACTCTCCCTTGTGAGCAGACAAGTCTCGGTCGCTCCGCTGGTTCTCCTATCAGCTGCAGATCACTACGGCCGCTCGGCCAAAGGGACCCGGAAACGAGTAGTGGGTGTTTTGCTTGGTCAAAACGACGGCAAGAATGTCCGAGTGTCAAACAGTTTTGCTGGTGCGTTGAGTGTTCTTGGCTGTGAATCTTCTGACAGATGATAGTGCCCTTTGAGGAGGACGAGAAAGACCCTTCCGTCTGGTTTCTGGATCACAACTATGTCGAGTCAATGCGGGAAATGTTCAAGAAGGTCAATGCGCGAGAAAAATTGATCGGATGGTACCACTCCGGCCCGAAGCTGCGAGCATCTGATCTCCAGATCAACGAGCTCTTCAAGAAATACACACCAAATCCTCTCCTCGTCATCATCGATGTTCAACCGAAGGAAGTCGGCGTACCCACAGACGCCTATTTTGCAATCGAAGAGATCAAGGACGATGGAACAACCACGACCAAGACATTTGTGCATACACCCTCAATCATTGAAGCAGAAGAGGCAGAGGAGATTGGTGTGGAACATCTGCTCAGAGACATCCGCGATGTCGCAGTTGGCACCCTTTCCTCTCGAATCACCCAACAACTGCAGTCTCTTCAAGGTCTCCATCTACGATTACGGGACATCAGCGCCTACCTTCAAAAAGTCCTTGATGGCGAACTTCCCATCAACCATGCCATCCTCGGCAATTTGCAAGACATTTTCAATCTTCTCCCTAACTTGACCACACCCCCCGCTTCCCGGCCGAACGGGAAAAATCAAATCGAGAATAGCGAGCTGGCTCGCGCCATGAGCATCAAGACCAACGATCAGCTGATGACCATCTACCTTAGTTCGCTGGTCCGTGCAATAACCGCCTTTCATGATCTTATCGACAACAAGAACCAGAACCGGCAGCAGCAAGAAGAAAAAGAGGCCAAGAAGGATGAGGCTGAAAAGAAGGAGGGTGAGAAGGAGAAGGACGAGAAAAAACCAGGCCCTAACGGTGCGGTAAATGGGGATAAGAAAGAGACCGAAGAGAGTGGCAACGGAAAAGGAAAAGGCAAGAAGAAGAGCTAGACGCCGAGATATCTGTGACTTGTCGCATCGAGCAGGGCGTTTGGACCGACAAGCTCGGCTCTAGAGCATGCTTTCGCTGCTGAGCATGAGCAATGTACATTATCACGAAGACATCCATTCAGTGTGTTGGCGATGGAGGCGGCTGCTGTCGTCCGTCATCATAGCGCTAAGGCCACGGCATTTCCATGTCAGTTCCGCTTCTCTGAGGCAGCATAACATAGAACAGAGTCTGCTTTCCTCGTTCCGTGAGATGTGCATTCAGCTCGACGCTCCTGTGCAGCCGTGCTTCTAAGGATGTGCATTGTCTTTCCATACTATGCAGCGTCGCAAGCTATGCATATGAGATCTGTTCGCTCATAGTTTCAACTGCCTCTGTGCTCTCCCCATCCGCCTCCCCACGCAACCGCCTCTTCCCTCGAAATAGTGCTCTCTTTCACACTGTCTGTGAACAGGGTTGGAGCGCTTTTCGCGAGGAAAGCGGCCACAAGGTGTTTGCAGCTCGGCACTCTGGCGAATTTGATGGTGGCGGTACCACCAAACTCCGACTCATCCTTAATTTTCCCTCTGGAGTTGCCAGTCGGGCTCACATTAACGTCATTTTCGAATTCTGCAGAACATTGGCTATGTTGTAGACTCGAGCACTGAAACATATTCACACTGAACGCCGCACAGGTGCAATTCCAACTGTCGAGATGGACTTCATAGAGTGGGATAGCCACACTAGTGTTTCCGCCGCGAGGATGGAATCGTGGTTTAGATATTTGCTTGTCCATAGCGGATGAAGACTGGACGTAAAAGAGTTCCCAGCCATTGTTGTCCTGTCGGACTCGGGTGTCGACTTCAGAGTATTCGAGCACCGAGTGATCTTCGCCTGGAAAACTTGTTCTCAATTTGAGCACGGCCTCCTGATCGTCTGCCCCGGAGATTGAGTGCTTCACCACGAGTTTTGTGACCAAACCTCGGTCTAGGAGATCAAGCGCGGGAAGTAGTTCATGAGGGAACAGCATATGTAGGGTCAAGAAGACTGGACGTGCCCTCTCCCGAGTCGATACGGATAGTCGTTGGACGCCATTGTGACGATGGTGTGGGTGATCTTGCGGAGGAGAAGACTGGTGTTTGTCAGGATGAGAGACGCTTAGATCCGAGAATTGTGACAGAGCCCTAAAGATTGAGTTCAGAACTGATGTTTGCGACCTGGTCCCTGTCATTGCGCGATTGAAAGCTCGGGGCAGCTAGAAGCCACTGGTGAATCTCAGATGTCAGAAGTGTTCGCCACTCTTCCACAGCGTTTGCTACCGTGAGTTGCAGTGGGCTAAACCGATTGAAGGGTATGCAAGGAGTTTGAAATCCATAGGATCGAGATCGCATAATCTCCAGGATTGTGGTCAGCTATTCTCCAGCATTTCGATGTGGAGGAAGTGATTTTGGTACTTGAGGATCTAACTCAATAATTGTTTCAACTTGCGACCTCGATACTATTCTGTTGTGTACCCAGGTTCATATGAGCCTTCAGGGCAGACTTCTGTTGCTGCCTCGGAACAGCACAGCTTCGGTGCACTGAACTACCAGCCATCTACCTAGGTATCTAGGTATGTCATGGATTTGGTTTCGCTACACAATCCAAGAGCCTAAATATGACTTCGTTGTGCTCAACCTTGCCATCGCACTTTGCCGCCTTTCATCACACTTACAACCCCCAAAGGAACCTGCGCCGCATCCACAATCTGGACGCTTCCGTACTTTTCGACAATCTGAGAACCGTATACTGCAAGTATCCATTTCCAGTAGGGGTTCATCGAATCGAACGATTTGACGATGCCCGAAGAGGACGATTTCTGACCACGCGTTGCCGAGGGTAGCTTGTCCAGCCATGCGGTGATCTCGTTAGTCGCATGGACATGAAACTCGATAGGGACTTCGAGTAGGCGGCAGTAGGCATTATACAGATTGATAGATCGCTGCTCACGATACCTTAGGTATTCGTCTCTCGGCATGAACTGGTCGCCAAAGGTGGGCAGTCCCGGTGGGTACGACCTTCTCCTCCCATAAGTTTTCATCTCCGACTCGAACTGGAATTTGGCAGTGAGAAACGACCTCTCCTCGAGGTCGAGGCATCTCGATAGAATCTTCCGCGGGGATTGACGCATCGTTTCTCGCATGCAGTAGAGCGGTACAAGGGGATTGCGAAGCTCAAGGCCTCCCATCTGGACAGGCCAATACCAGACTCCATCGGGAATATCCTTGACACCGAACCTTTCCTGGGCGACCTTCTGGAGATAATCAGTCACTGAACCATCTCGGAACAGTGCTTTTTGGATTTTGGCAAATGTATCAATCATGTCGTCCAGATGATCACGGCCAAACGCAAATGACGGCTTTCCGAAGTTGTTGCTGAAGAATCGGGCCAGGTACGCATTGTAGGCTTGGATGTACGAGAATATCGACGTGCAATGTGACAACTGCAACTGAAGTTCTTTGATGTGCTCGTCAACCATGCTCTGGTCTATTGCAAACCGGCAGCTTCTGGAATCAAGCCGTAGGAAGCCCCAGCGTACATCACCCTTGGGCAAGCCAGGCTTCTGTGATGATTCCCTCTCGAGCTCGACTCCTTGATCAGAGTCAATAGCTGGAGTACTGATCGGTAGAACAGCGGTGCCTTGGTCGAACACGACGCTGCCGGTCTTCTCCTTGTTGAACTCGATACCCATGACCGACGCGAATTTGCTCATCGCCTCCCACCCACGGATACACAGATCCAGCGTTCCCCAGAACCAGAAGTCATCGTGAAGGCGGTAGAGACAAGTTTGGGTGGCTTTATTCACAGCAAAATCCATAACGAATAGAATGAGCTCGCCAAAGACGTCACTGAGCGCGTGCGACATGGGAACACCTCGTCGACGAACATGAAATTGGCCATTTGGACCATCCTGTACGAATCGCATTGGGGCTTCCAGAAACCTCCGGAAGAAGTCGATCCAGCTCGAGTCTATTCCAAAGAATTTCAACACAGCGTAGATGGTGCCGTGAGGGAGAGAGGGTCCAAACCATTGGAAATCTGAGCGAATTACGGCATGCGACACACCTGGCCGAACGTGGTGTGAAACGAGGGCCTCGGTGATGAGAAGGTGTAGGAGACCCTGCTTCGTTTCGACGGGGCTCTTTTTGCCCGGCGTCGAATCATCATCACTGTCGTACCCTCGAGTACCCTCAGACTCTGTGGTTGGCAACTGGGACATGAAGTAGTCTTTTCCATACTGATCCATTCGCCGCGCCTCCACGCTGTCTCTTGGAGCCGATTCCTCGTTCAGGAAATACCGCCGCCGATCACGGTCATTCTTGGACATCTCGACTCCTGCAGTCCGCCAGGCTGGAGAGAGGAAGAAAGTGGTGAGGCAGGACTTGAAATGGACCGCCCACTTCATACCTATGGCATGAAGCAGAATCGCATCGAGCACATCCTCGTCCATGAATACTCGATATTTCCCGTTTAGTTGCCGACGTTGTTCTACAGGGATTGCACCCTCGATTGTCGTCCACTTCCAGCTCTCAAGAGAGGTGAATCTCATGTTCAACACGTCGGCAACTTCTTGAAGCACCGCCGCATTGTTCTGAAAGGATTTCAGAATGGCAGCCTTCTCGTCGGACAAGAGATCAGTCCTCAGGAGGCTGGTAATAGTGACTTTGAGGTCATCTGCACTGAATAGTTCCACCGTGGAGCGAAGAGTGTTGCAATAAGCCCTCGTCGAAGTCTCAATATTCTTGAAATGTTTGGAGATTGATTTATCCGACTTGAATAGTTGGTTGAGGTAGCGATCAATTCCTGTATCGTCATTTCTGGGATTGGAGAAGACGATGGACTCCCACTGCGATCTCTGTTCGTGCATTTCCTTTCGACCGACATTTTCAAATGATGATTCCCCCGTCAACTCGTGTTCAGACCTGCTCGATTTTATGTCTGTGGAGCTCGAGAGCCATTCGGTCACCAGCTCAGAGAAGAATTGCGCATGTTCATGTTGGACACTTTTGAGACTGAGGTCCTCAACTAACTCATCATGGATCTGATGGACGATCTCAGGGGCGAATGCAGGATCTTTGCCCGCCTGGCGGAGGAATAACTGTTGGTTTCGACGGGTTCGTGCGAGATCTGAAGCTGGATCTTTCTCGGCATCAGAATCGCACGATTCGTCATTGACGACGGCAATGCCAGCTTGACGACAGGAACCGATCAACAGCTTGCGCGTGCGTTCGAGGTCATTCTTGAGCGGTTTTGCTTCACGAATGATGTCTTTTTTGGCAGCCTCGTACTGGTCGCGCTGTTTCCTCACCTCCCGGATTTTCGTTGAGGTGACGGAGCGAAGAGTTTCGGGAAGTGCTGAGGACGCCATGCTGCTCATGAAAAGACCGCGAAGTGTGGGGAAGTGAAACAGCAGATCGATCGAAAGGCTAGGCAAGAACTGTAGGCACGACAAACGGGCTTGTGAAGGTCACTTCGACGAGCTTGCAGAGACACTTCTGAAGAAGCACGGGGAGCAGGAGGACTTTATACCACTCAAAGCAGGCGATCAACGATTGTAGTGACTCACAATTCACCACCATTCTTGCGCTGTGCAGAGGTCATGATCTCATGAGACCAAGCTCTTGATGACTCTGGGAATAATGTGGCCTACAAGGAAGTGGAGTGTCACAAAGGAAGCGAGGCTGAATCCTTATGTTGTGTGATTGGACCCTGATGCAAGCCGCATGTCAACTACCGCTGCGCATTCAGCTCGGAAGCGCAATAGGGGACATGATTGTCGGCGGCCTTCGGTACTGTATTTTGTGTCTATCTGAGGCCATCCACTTTTGTAGACCAGAGTATGCTTTCGTCGGCCCAGCGGAGAGCAGAATCGCCTCGCTAGACGCTCTGTCACCATGAGTCCGCCGAATCTCGCCAATCCCTCACAGTCCATTCCCCCTTCTCTACCATGGACGCACCAGACTCGCATCCGCCTCCCAACTCCAAAGTGATTATTGAATGTATTGATCCACATAACCTCTTTGACCGTCTCGAGCCACGATTATCGGCCAGAAGCCCTCTACAGAACCTACACTGGAAGTCTCCCAATCGACCACTTCGATCGATCGCGAATCTGAACATATCTTTGACGCGCGACGACCCATCCGCTGGGGTGCAAACCAACGTTCGGAGGCACCAGATACCAGGTCTCCGGGAGACTCCATACGTTAAATTATATCTGCTACGGTGCGATGACAAGGAAACGTATAAAGAGAAGGTCAGGAAAGAGGTCCGCCAGTGGGTCAAGACACAAACACCATCAAGTGACGGGAAATCGTCGAGCAAGAGCCAGGAGGATCACGATGCCTTCGAATGGCTGATTGTCCATGTTGTTCTTCCAAACACTCCTGCAGCTAGCCAGCCGAAATCGTCAAAGCACATCTCGCTGGAAGCCTCGGAGAGCACCGACAGCGTCAATAGCAAATCGAAGTGGTCTGGCAAAAGCCCCTCAACCATCTTCGACAAACTGAGAGCCGATTTCAGCAGTTCCAAGTCGTCCGTCTCCCGCGTTGCTCAGGTCCGACTTCTTGAACCTGGTGACAAGGCAACGGCCCTGACACCTGCGGAATTGGAAGAGCAGTGGCAAGACTTGGTGGACTGTCTGAAAACGTGTATTCTGCGTTCGTTTGATGCTCGGGTCGCCCAATACGAATTGGACATTCGTGAAAGAGACAGCCAAAGAAGTTTGCCGGGCTGGAACTTCTGCACATTCCTCGTTCTCAAAGAAGGTCTCGCCAAAGGCTTTGAAAACTTGGGCTTGCTCGAAGATGCCCTTGCTGTGTATGACGAGCTCTCCCTTGGACTCGACACGCTGGTCAAGGAACAGGCCCGGAAAAATGATCACGATGAAAGCGGAGCACTATTGGCTTTTTCTAAGGAATCCAAGAATCTCCTAAGAGCAGCTCTGGACTCGGAATCGCAGAGCATACCACGCATAGATGCTGGCTCACCGCTTGACCTGGTTCACATTCTCACAGCAGATCGCGAGGACTTTCCGTTTGATGTTGAAAGGAAAAATTACCGCAACCTTATCCTCTCTAATGATGTTTCGGCCTTGGATCTTCGCATCTACCTGTTCACACGGGAACTGGAGATTTTGACCAGACAGTCGCGGTTGGTACTAGGAAAGTCCTCCCAACCCGGCAAACCGAGCGCCGATCTCGACGTCGTCGCAGATTTGACGGAACGAGCCTTGGAGTTCATCAGTCTCGCCGGTCGCACTCTCCGATTCGAGCTTTACAATGCCTGGGGTGGATACGAAGGGTTGAGTGAAGCTGAATTGCGTACCCAGAGAATCGTCACAAGCAACATTGTCTCCACCTGGCAGTGGAAAGCTGTTATGCAGATCCTTACTCAAGCTTTGCCAGCCTTGGGCGGTGGCGTCGACTACAGCAACAGTGCGTTCTCACTGGACACGACTGAGCTCTCTCCCGACCCCGATGCAGCCATTCCGGACCAGTCCCATGGGTCTTCTGAGAGCTACCAACCCATATCCCTTGCGTCTGGTATGCGGTCCTCTTCCCGTGAACGCTCTCTGGAACGAAGCAAGAGACATTCCCCAATACCTAATGGCTCCATCCTACGACACGGACCGCCGGCTCGAACAGGGTTTGCGCGTCTCGTTTTGTGGATATCAAAGCTCGTACTCATGGCGAGACATTTCATCGAGACCTTGGAGGCCGTGAAACCATGGGTCCTTAGTATGAAACAGTCTGCCCTGAAATCTAATAGCGAACGAATGGAACCGATTGCCATCAATGGCGAGGCCAACTGCGACCCGGTGGAAGACCATCTTCAACCCTCCCCCAAGACTGAGCTTCTCTTGGGCTTAGGCTCCTCCACCTTGAGAGCGGCAGCGACCTCGAAGTCAAGCTTTGTCAAGCTTTACGCCATGTTGTCTGTCCTTGCTTTTCGGATTGTATCACCGACAAAGCCTCGATCTACATTTCAGCAAATATTGACGGACCTGATCGAAGTCGAATATTCAGAAGGTAACTGGTCCATTGCTGCACGTTACCTTGGGAACGTCCTTGGTCCACTCCCACGCGGCTCGTACCGTCCTTCAGAAGAGTATCTTCTCCGAATATATGCTGAGTGTCTGAAGAGTCTTGAGCGGCCCAGTGAATACGCTCGATGTCTTATTTCTTGTCTCCATCACTCTAGAAATGCCGGTTATGCAACCTCAAGGTCTCGCTCCGATGCGAACCAATATTATATGAATCAGCTTTTCCAGGTATTGCCAAATATCCCAGCAACAACACTACGTGCGTCATTACTATTTCGCATTTCTGCAGTTTCGCGGCACATTTCTCCACATGAGAGCAAGGATGGGTTCACTGTCTCAATCAACATAAGCAGTCTTTCAGGGGCCTCGACTCCTCCAATCGATAATGTCAAACTGCGGCTCATTGCAAGAGACGGTGTCGAACCGCGATCAATATTGCTCTTCCTTCCGGACAAGGTAAACGTAGATTCCAGGGATAAGACCATAACCCTGGAAACTCCCGTCACGACGCATGGCTGGTACCTACCGGACGAAGTCGAGGTCTGCATTGGCAACCTGAGACTTTTGCATCACTTCAAGTCGGGAATAGACGATGAAGATGCCGGATTTGATGACTCCCTCAGCCCTCGCGCAGATGTGGTGCCACTCCTTCTATACCCCAGCTACCGATCGTTTGGAATCAAGATGTACCCTTTCCCAATCATTCATTTGGCCCATATCCGCAGGCTGCTGCTCCAAGTCAGGCCCGGTCAGAACAATATCAAGCAGGTCAAGCTTCGGTTGAGGACGGCAACAGCCGGGCTGAGGCTCAACATCCACGACTCCAAATCGGTCGGCAGCCAGCATGAGTCAAATCCAATGCGGACTGCCCGAGAAGGTGACGCTTTAGTGATGATCATGGACAACTTGGCCCCGCTGACGATTACCGACATCGAGATACCATACACCATGGAGGCGTCTTCCGAGCCGGCCATAATGTTGCGCATTGAGGCTGGTTACGAAACGGATCAGGGAATATTCACCTTTTATGACACAGCTTTTGTGAAGGTGATCTTACCTGTCACTGTCAATGTACAAGATGTGTTTCGTAGGGATTGCATGTATTCCAGATTCACCATTATCCCTTCAACCATGGTACCGCTTCGTCTCATTGGCTGCAATCTGGAGAAGAACGAGTCCCATGACATGATTGCGGGCGGTAGCTTCAACGAGCCATTTGTGGTGTTCCCGAAGCAACCTGCTAATTGGACAGTCCGACTGGTACCCAAGGATGGAAATGCTGCTGATGCCAATAGAAGACTAACGCTCGTTGTCGACTTCCAATCTCTAGACGGAGTAATGTTGGCCATTCTTGAGACGCACTTCACCAGAGAGCTTGCCAATTCCAAGCACGCTTTTGCCACCCGGCTGCTAACATCACATTTACTGGAGCGTGTTCGTACCACATGGACAGAGCAAGATGTGGAAGTTGCAGGTTTAACACAAGAATTTGAGGTCTGGAAGATGGAGGATATGGAGTGGCCATCGGTTTTGTGTGCATTTGACAGGAAAAGACGAGCCGAGATTGAGGACTGGCTTCGAGACTGGCACTCTCGGACCCCGCCGATCAAGTTTTCGTCTTCAAAAGTCCCCCAACGTCAGCTCAGATTGTTCGTTGACATTCCACCGCGCCCTACACTGGTTTCAGCATTCTTGGACGCCAAATGGTCAAAGTCGCCACACGCGACCGCAACAATCGGTCAGCCATTGCTGGCCGAAATCATCATCAAACTCGAAGATCAAGTAGAAGGGGAATTGGAAGGATCATTCGAGATCGCTGTTCCTTCGGATTCGTGGTTGATTGGGGGCAGACGCAAAGGCAATGTGCAGCTGGGTTCAGAGGCCGTCCGCATGCACGTGGTCCTGTTTCCACAACATCTCGGACATTTGCTCGTTCCCTCGGTCAGTGTGAAATGCCGCAGGCGTGTCCGAAGCAGCGGCAAGGATGAATGGATAGACCTCATGACTGATGTCCAGAATCCTGCTCATGGTCGGACCATTCTTGTTACCCCAGATTTGCGGAGTACCACGGTGGAGGTCTTTGGAGTGACAGCGGATGAAGGTGCTGGCAAGCTGGTCGCAAGCTTCAGTCGTGGAGGAGCACCGCGAAGTCAAACTGGAGCCCCGGCACCCTCCTCACCGCCATTGCGAGGCCTTGAGCTGGCGAGACCTTGAGCTGGCACGGGACAAAGCCATGAATAATTTTTGAGCCGCAGCTTGGAGCTGTGTCCTTACTACTGTGCGGTGACACCAAGCGCCAGGAACGGGCTCGCTTTGAGCCATTCCAGAAACCTTGACTCCAGCTTCGCGGACCAGTCGCAGGGTCCAAATCCAGGGTGCGTGCTCGGTACGAACCGAATGCCAGCCTGCAGGCAGATTGGTGAGGTGGGGTGACGACATGGGCGGAGCTGAAGCCACCACGAAGCCTGCGGCCCAAAGTCATGGTGGGTTAGCGTCAGGTCTCAGCTCCCCAACAAAATCATTTTCGTTGGAACTCCGAGTTCACCCTGCGTACCACAGACCCCCAGCTTTCATGCTGCCAGCGGCCCTGACTGCCGCTCGCTGGCCAAGAAGCATGAGTGGACAACCCGGTAACATCAGCTGGAGGTGGCATCACTTCGTCATGCTTCGATCTTCCCCATTCGACCGAGGCACCCCGAGGCATGCTCTACCCTACTAGGTAGATCTCTGACCCAAGATCCCTCAGCATGTGAATTCGCAGGACTCTGCTGTCGGGCGACCATCTGTTGCACATGCCAATGGGCCGCGATCGATTGGCAACCGTGCCCTTTACCCAGCCAGCAATAGACGGCACGGATCCCAGCATGTGCTCAAAAGCATGACAATCAGCGGTCAGTTGAATCCGCTCAATGGATGCACAACATCCTGTCGGGCTCTCCAGCGCTCCTTTGATCGACGAGTCCAGCACGCCAGAGAGTCTGGCGAGACTGGAGCTGCCAAGCGCCGGGCAAGAACAAGGTCGATGGCTCTTTCCCATTATCGGTCAACGAAGGGGGCAAAACTGCACAGCTTCAAGCCAATGTGGGATCATGGGGAGCACCACCGCACACACAGAGTCTCCAGCTCAGGGCTCGCCGGGAAATATGTGCCAGCCAGCCAGTCCCACTTTGGGGACTCTGCTGACAATCTTGGCCAGACCGTGGCAAGGTGTGTTGGCGTCCGAACAGACACCCAGCGGAAGGGCCAAAAGCTGAATAGTAGTAGGCGAACCAGCCTCGAAGTGACAGAGCGGTTACTCGTGACCATATCCTAATCCAATTACCTAACCTTGGTTTATCAGCTTACCCTACCTAGGTACACACGCTGCAGCAGAGCATAGTAATAATGGACAGTTGAATCAGTACTTAGGTAAAATACTAGGCAGTCAATTTCGCCTTGCTTTGGAGGGTGAACTGTGCGGACTTTGGGCGATGAAGAACGGGCATCTGCCTACCAAGCTAGGTAGGTATCCAGCAGTGGGCGATCCTCGGGGCCCAGATGTAGACCCTGCAATCGTCGCTCACCGCCCAGGCACAACCGAGCAGCTAAATGGCCGCGATGGGCTGCCAGTCGATGCTAGCTGGTGGTCCCCTGGCTGCCCCTGCCGCACTAGCCCTGGGGGACTTTGTTGAGATTCACGGATCATGCGAATTTTTCCCCTCTGGCCAAAAAAAAGAATTGCCCGCAGCCCACTCCACTGCCCTGCGCCTGCACGACTTCTACGATAGGAAACCTGTGTTCATTCGCTGTTGCAACTCCGTTCACTCCTCTGCCGGAGGGAATGCTACCCTTGAGCCTTAACACTTATTTTTCGTACCAGCTCTGAAGCTCCTCTTAACCCTGCCCTGTCGCTGCGGCCTTTACCTTCTGCTTCCCTCTGCCTTGCCCTGCCTACAGCACTCCCTCTCAATCGTGTTGTCCTGCTTACACTGCATCATCCCAGCTCAAAGGTCGAATTTCACCTCGTCGCTCTCTATCGAACAATCTCTTCCCAACCCCGCCATGACTTCCACTGCGCTGCCTGCCGAGGCAGCTCTTCGTCGTCTGGCGACCGCCGACTCGACTCCCACCTCCTCTGCCAACATCTCACCTCTCGATAGTCCGAGATCCTCCCCTTCCTCAACCTCCTTGTCCTCGCTTGCCTCGGAAGACGCTGCCGCTCAGCCTCTTAAGCACAGCCCGGAAAAGAAGCAGTTGCTCGATACCTATGGCAACCCCTTCGAGGTGCCTGACTTCACCATCAGCGATATCCACAAAGCAATCCCCCGGCATTGCTTCCAAAGATCTGCCGCCACCGGTCTGTACTATGTTGCTCGAGATGTCACCTCTCTCGCTGTTACCTTCTATCTCTTCAACCGCTTTTTGACCCCTGAGAATGTTCCGTCCGCCCCGTTAAGAGCTGGTTTGTGGTTTGTGTACACTGTTGTGCAAGGCCTTTTCGGTACCGGTTTGTGGGTGCTGGCTCATGAGTGTGGCCATCAGTCATTTTCACCCAGTAAGATCCTGAACGACACAGTTGGCTACTTCTGCCACACTGCGCTTTTGGTGCCGTATTTCTCTTGGAAAATCTCTCATGGCAAGCATCACAAAGCCACCGGTCACATGGAGCGAGACATGGTCTTCGTCCCTTCGACGAAAGAGCAATACTTCAGCCGAAGAGGACAGTTCCTACATCAGCTCGATGAGCTGACCGAAGAGACGCCAATTGCAACTGCGTACCACTTGATCACTCAACAACTCTTTGGCTGGCCCATGTACTTGTTCACCAACGTCACCGGCCACAACAAGCACGAAGTCCAACGTGAGGGCCGTGGGATTGGCAAACACAATGGGTTTGGAGGTGGAGTCAATCATTTCGACCCTGCCAGCCCGCTGTACGAGGCCAAAGATGCCAAGCTGATTTTACTGAGTGATTTGGGTCTTCTCGCGGTCGGAAGCATCCTTTTCTGGGTCGGCCGAACTTATGGTCTCTCCAACCTGTTTGTCTGGTATATTGCTCCATACTTGTGGGTCAATCATTGGTTAGGTGAGTCATACGCGGCCAGAATGTTGTCCCCCGACCTCTGTGCTGACGGTGAAAACAGTGGCGATTACTTACCTGCAACACACGGACCCCTCCCTCCCCCACTATACACCCGAGATGTGGACATACACCAGGGGAGCCGCAGCCACAATTGATCGGGAATTTGGGTTCGTTGGGCGCCAACTATTCCACGGAATCATCGAGACCCATGTCCTTCACCATTATGTCAGCACCATTCCATTTTATCACGCTGATGAGGCTAGCGAAGCTATCAAGAAGGTGATGGGTCGTCATTATCGCAGTGATACCAGGGACGGGTCTTTGGGCTTTTTGAAGAGCTTGTGGAAGTCCATGAGATGGTGTGGCTGGGTTGAACCCATGGAAGGTGCCACTGGGGATGACGCGGGCGTGCTGTTCTTTCGCAACAGGAACGGGTTGGGTGTGTCTGCTCAGACAACGAAACCTGCAGTGTCGTGAGCTTGGTCTGCTTTTAAAGACTCTGACGGGCGCGCTTTGCATTGCTTGCATGGGATACCGGGGTTGGATCTTGTCGTTCTAAAGCATGACTCGATAGAGTAAGACTCTTAGAAATAGACAATATGGGACGACCAGAAATGAAAAGACTGAAACTTGAGAAACTTGGGAAAATGCGAGATGGAGACGAGCCTGTGAGTGAGAGACATGCGCATCGGAGCATTACGTGGGAGGTAAGCTGTCCTTGTGGATTGCCGCCCTGTTCGGAAGTCAGATCCGGGGGCAAGGAAGCCAGGCCACCCACGCTCGCCTGGAAGATTTGCTAAACCAGCAAAGAAGCTCAGACACAGCAGCCGCTCGATGCGAGGTTTCATCCTGCGAGAGTCATGCCAATGTCCTGTACGGCCGAGTACGACATATTAGGTACCTAGTTCTGCGGAGTCAAGTGAGAATACTGCAGCCGGTGCGAAGTACCCTCGTACTACTTGGAGCTATGACGGGAGTCGGGCGCGGGGACACGACGGAGGGCTATCCTTATGTCAGCGCGGGTCACTCGCACCCTGTTTCATTGGTACCCTCTTACGGCCTTAAAAAAAGTACTACCATAGAACACGTCGCGGTCTATATTCAACCCGTTGGAGATGTTGTCCATACGGTCATCCCCCACAGTTTGGTCAAGGTTTTGTGCCCAGTCTCCATGTTTTCGCGCGAAAGCTATGGTACTATCCAGATCGAGATACCCTTCTTGGACTCATAGTGGAGCCCAAATCGCAGGCTGCATGGGAAATCGTGGAATTATCCCTTGCGTAGTCAGCTCCGTCACTCAACCTGATATCCCAGCTCTCTCGCTTCGAGATCCGTTTCGTCCGAGTATCCACAGCATCTTCGGCGGTCGGTACGACGAAGCTGTAGCAATGTCGTATACATGGTCATGGCTTTCAGTGGAGGCGAAGTCCATGGTTGTCATCTGTGATATAAAGGAGCCTTGATTCCACCCGCCTTTGGTTCTTAGGTATTCCTTCAGTATCAGCATTCGCAGTACTTTTCACTCCTGCCTCATCTCATCTCAACTCAAACAAGTTGACAAACCACTTATAGCACACGAAATCATTTGGACATTACCCTAATTATGGCCTTCAAGAGTGTCCTCCCTCCGTTCGAGAAACGGCCAAGGTCGCAAAGCAACTGGCCCAGCGCGAATGCGAAATTTCTTTATGTGAGTTCCCTCGACCAACATTTCTGCACGGTTCGAAGCACTGACTCTTGCCCAGGCTCTCCGCGAAAACTTTTCGGTGTCGACATGGATGCTCCTTGGAGCTCTGCTGCAGTCTTTGGTCGTCTTGGTCATACCTCGCTTCTACGCCATGCTTCCATCCCTTCTTGTCCTTGGGATTCGTCTAGCGGATACCATGGCCATTACTTGGGGCCGGAAGAAAAACCACTATCTCGACGAAGCTATCCTGTACCGCACTTCTCCGCAGATCCCGGACGAGGATGGCACGTTCCATGAGGAAGCATCGGAAGAGAAGCTCGCCGTCTTCATGTTGGGAGCCAAAGTCAATCACCCACTTGGGATATTTGCCCCGAACGTCAAGACAATAGGCGACTATCTGTCCAAAATGATCGAGGATCTCGAGAGCGAGAATACTGACCTTGGCTTCTACGGCGGTACTTCGTTTACCAGCCAGGACAAGAACGGCGCCACGGAGATCATGAACCTCAGTTACTGGCGGTCCGCAGAAGACATACACAAGTTCGCATACGGCAAGCTGCATCGCGAAAGTTGGGACTGGTGGAACAAGCATATCAAAGAAAATGATCATATCGGCATCAACCACGAAATCTTCGAAGTGGACCGCAAGCACTGGGAGGCCATCTACGTCAACTTCCAACCGACTCTGTTGGGCGCCACGACGTATCTGAGAAAAGGCGACAAGATGGTCGGCGGCACAGTCGAAGACCAATGGATCTCCCCTCTTGTTGACGCCAGTAGGGGCAAGTTGAGAAGCAGTGCTGGCCGACTAGGCCGGAAACCTGAGGAGCTCTATCAAAAGCATGGGTTGGCTCCCGGTGCCGATTACGAGGAATGAATCCGCCGACTTCGGTGGAGGTAAACGAGAGATGCCGAACTTGTGTAGAGACAATCCTCTGTAACAACATGGGACTTTCGGCATGGAGCATTGGCGTTGGGAGGCAGGTGTTTGCCAGGACCAAATGTTCTCCAAGAAGGAGCTGAAGGAGCCTTCCTGTCTGGCTGTTTTACCTAGATATCATCATTAATAGCGGATTCACTTCAAATTGGAATATAAAATACATCCGATCGGCATTCGGGAACATTGCTCTGTAACCCAATCTCGGAGGTCGAGTCGATATCTTTGTGTGCGGCATTTGCCCCCATGGGTCGCTAGGATGATGACTGTCAATGATCGCGTGGCATGGGCAATGTCTCCGTCATGATAGTTCGAAGACGCAACTGCTGATGGATGGTTGGTGATGCCATTCCAAGGAGCGTCTACTATGAGAGAAATTCTACAAGGTCGTACATGACGTGAAGGATGGAATGAAACGCGAGCTCCTTACATTTCAAGAAATCTCGTACGTCAACATGGGAAGTTCAGGGGAAGATGCCTACCTCGTCCCATTCCTTCCCTGGATGCTGCTGCAGGGACGGGACGATGCAACGTCTCAACCGGTTGTTCGGCACCGTGCTGCACAATAAATAAATCACTCGTCCAATTCATATTCACAAGACTCGATTAAGACTACCTGGTAAAACTGACGAAGTCCACACAAATGCGGGATTTTCTCGATTCAGAAAATAACAAGTTCAGATTCAAGCTTTAAACAAGCTTCGGGTGTGCACTCCGGACACGACGAGACGTACTCGTATAAACCCTAAGCAAGATGCGGTCGGATCTGGACTACGGCGCTGAAGTTGAACGTACATTAGTGGAGCATTCGTACAGCAGGGCATGATAAAGGCCGACCTACGACAAGTCAATGGTATTCATGTCGTCAGGATTTAAGAGAGCGTCCTAAAAGGCATTCTTCCCCCTTGGACCTCTCGAAAACGTCCTCAGAAAATCATAGTCACGTAGATAGGGTAGAAAGTGCTGCAGTCCCGTTCAGCATGTTGTGTCGTGCACTCACACTCGTTCCGGCCGCAGTCGTGGCAACATATACAGTGCCCAAACCCAATGGCACTTATGGGGTCTCCCTGGTCGACAAACAGCTGGTCGATCTCGAGTTATCCGACCCATACCTTCCGCTACCTCACCGTCGAGTCGAAATCTCCGTCATCGCTCCGATGGAGGCGAACAGCTGTCGCCCTGTCACCCAGCCTTACATGCCAGCAGCTCAATCATCACAGTTCTGGGAGCAAGCCCTTGCCAACATGACCGGCGTCTCTTTCGAAGGTACCATTTCGCAGACTGAATTGACTCTTTGTGAGCCGCCAGTCAATGGGAGCAATTCAACCTCTCCCTTGATCCTCTTTGCCCCTGGTGCCGGCTTTCCACGCCAGCTGTACTCCATCCTCTTGACAAGTGTCGTAGCCAAATCAGGCTACACAATCGTGGCCTTCGAACAGCCTGGCTATGCCGAGTTTGAAACTTTCCCAAACAATACCACTGAGGTCGGGCAAATCAACGTCACGAATGGCAATGGTCTAGGCGTGCTTGTCCAAGACGTTAGCTTCATTCTCGACACGTTTAACATTTCAAACCGTTCGATGTTGGCAGCTTGGGGCAGTTCTCGTCCAGCAGCAATGTTTGGCCATAGCGAAGGCGGCGCCGTCACAGCAGCGTCTCTACTTGTCGAGCCACACCGTCTGCTCGGAGGAATCAACCTCGACGGAGCATTTTATGGCGCTCCTCTCCTCGCTAACGCAAGCATAAAGCAGCCATTTGCAATTCTGTCGTCCTCAATTCATGATTTCTCCGTGTCACCTTCCTGGCCTGTCGTCTGGAGTCATCTGCAAGGCGACAAATGGCAGATCCAGCTGAACGATAGCGAGCATGCTACTTATGGGGATTTCCCGTTTCTAGCGGACCTATGGGGCATCAGAGAGAAGACGCATGGACTGGTTGACGAGCTTGTGGGTGGACTTCTGGGGCAGGAAGCTATCGATGTGGTTGGCAATTTGGTGAAAGCTTTCTTTGATTTCGTGTTTGGGAAAGCACCCGTCAGCAACGTGGTCAACACCGCAGAGGCGGAGCAAGGGGTTTGGAAAGTGCAAAACGTAACGATCGTGAGGTCGTTTCTCTGAGAAACATCCATGCAGGCAAAGATTGGAAGAAGTATGAAAGGCCGACTAGCTGGGAGGTTCTGCTGCTGAGACAAACCGCGTATGTGATCTTGATTGTCTCACAATAACCTGGGAGAAGAGGTATTTTGACTCTTGCGTGGCACCGCGACGAAGAGCTACCTAGTATTTACATAGCTTACCTAGCGAGCTAGGTACGGTCAACCCTTCGGCTCTGAGCAGTTCTTAAACTCCGCTTGTGGTGGAGTCACACTACGTCTCGGTAGTACCAAAAGACTAGTGGACGGGGTATGGGACGAGGGAGAGTATGTGGGGTAGGCCTCACCAGCCTTTCTCCCAGCTCCTTGGATCGTGCTCGGTTGGTCATCAAGGCTCCGGGTCGAAATCAGACGCCACATTGATCCTTAGACTTCCCGTGGTTCTCTGCCCTGTGCCTTTTCACCTACCTAAGTACCGGACTCGCAAGGCCAGCTTCACGGAACAGGACAGGCACCTCTCTTGTTGTTCTTTTATCAATTAACTCCACACTTGCTAGACCCAAACTCGTCGGATCAAATATCTCTCCGCTCACCATGAGCCTCGGTAGGTGGGATGACCTCCAACCTAGCCATCCTTCTAATCTAGAACTCCATCAATGTCGGCTAACGGAATCCAACGACATCTGTTGAAAAATGAGAGATCGAGCCCCAAGAAGGTATCCAGTTCGGTCATTCTGACAATTGGGGGACTGCTATGGCAAGTATAATACCCATATATCAACTGTCGCCTCCCGCCCCCTCCTAATCTCGTGGTTACTATTGCCCTCATTCTCTCATCATATGTTGTGCTTGAAGCTCTAAATCACTGTCTCGCGTTTTTCGCGCATCTGCTTTCCTGTGCTCGATTTACTACTCTTCATCATGCCGTACAAATCCGACTGGACAGTGGCCATACCAGAATGCTCCCTGCCGACTTTCCTTTTCAAGTCGCCCACGGCGCCGTTGGGATCCAAGCGCGCCTTTTCTGAGGCTGCACGCCCTGATACGCACTGCCTGACGCGTGACCAGTTTCGGTTATGGGCCCAACGATTTGCACTTGGCTTGCAACGGTCCAAGCATTTTAGAAAAGGGGACCGCATTCTTCTCTTCAGTGGCAATGACTTTTTCGTTCCAGTCGTGTTCATGGGCGTGCTGTGCGCCGGCGGAATCTTCTCTGGCGCCAACCCGACTTTTGTCGCAAGAGAACTGGCACACCAACTGAGAGACAGCGGCGCGACGTACCTTTTGTGCGCAGAAGGTTCATTAGAGACGGGTATTGAAGCTGCAAGACTGGCCGGCCTGGAGGTGGCTGAGAGGGTCTTCGTCTACAACTCCAAGATATTTGATGGGCAGACCACTGGGCTCAAGGGTTGCAGATACTGGAGTGAACTTGTGGCACCAGCGGAAGACGCCAAGGGATTTGCCTGGGATGATCTAACAGGATCAGGGCAATGCGACATCACCCTAGCATTGAACTACAGCAGTGGCACAACGGGTGTTCCCAAGGGCGTCGAGATCACCCACAAGAATTACATCTCCAACACACTACAAGTGCAATATATGTCCAAACTCGACCCAGAATATCAAGCTCGCAACGCCCGTGCCTCATGGCTCTGTTTCCTTCCGCTGTACCATGCATACGGCCAGACTTTCTACATCGCTAGCGCCTTTAACCGCGAGATACCAGTCTATGTTATGCCCAAATTCGACTTCATTCACTTCCTCGAGTATACGCAGAAATTTCGCGTCACCGACTACACGCTCGTGCCCCCCATAGCAGTCATGTTGGCCAAACATCCCGCAGTGGAGAAGTATGACTTGAGCTCCGTCGAGAATATTGGATCTGGGGCTGCACCGTTGGGCCGCGACGTTTCGGAACAAGTGGAGCGACGCATAGGCACAGGCTTGAACTTCAAGCAGGGGTATGGAATGACCGAGTAAGACACGCGGAGGCCGTTCATTGATTGCCCAAAACCAGCTGACACTTTTGATAGATGCACTTGCTCCATTCTCGGCTGGGATCCGAGGAAGATATCTTTGACTAACTCTGTCGGTCAACTCAATCCTAACTGCGAGGCCAAGATAATGACTGAGGACGGCGGCTCGGAGATCACGAGTCGCGGGGCTTCCGCGGTAGGAGAACTATGGTGTCGTGGACCCAATGTTATGAAAGGATACTGGCGCAATCCAAAGGCAACCGCGGAAACGCTTACGCCAGACGGATGGCTGAAAACGGGCGATATCGCATATGTGGACGATGAAATGTGTTTCTTCATAGTCGATCGGAAGAAGGAATTGATCAAGGTGAAGGGAAATCAAGTGGCGCCCGCCGAGCTCGAAGCCCTTTTACTCGAACACCCCGGAATTGCAGACGCGGCAGTGATAGGCATGCCGACCGAAGACGGAGATGAGAAGCCACGCGCCTTTGTCGTCCGGCAGGTCGGGCCGCAGGGAGCTAACCTGACGGGAGAGCATGTCAAGAAATTCGTCGAAGGGAAAGTCGTTCGATACAAACGATTGGCAGGTGGAGTGGAGTTTGTGGATGCTATTCCCAAAAATCCTTCCGGCAAGATCCTAAGGAGACAATTGAGAGATGCAACGAGAGAACGGATGAGAAGAGATAGTGTGAGACTGTGATCTCCGCCATGGACAGCGAGATCATATCAAGACTGTTGATTCTGGCAATCAAATAGAGGATCAAGATGGCCTCTGGCTGGTCGATAGCTGAAATGTGATGGTCCGGGTTTATCAGCTAAAACTAACCATCAAAGTCGAGATAGTAGTGCTTTGGCTTTGCTGCGCTGTTAGCAGAAGCCAGGTGACAAGGATAATTAAGGCGCTCTTGGGTTGATCGTGGCCATCAGCATTGCCCAGTCCTAAGCAGGATCGGTTCTACACATCACTCCATGCACATAGAAAGCTGGCGAAGGTCAATACCTTGAAAGCAAGTCACCAGTTTTAAACGAACAGCTAGCCAAACAAGGATACGATGTAAACATAAGACTGATCTCTTGTGGTGGTATGGCTGATGTCAGAAGAAGCCTTCAGCAAGGCCGATACGAGAAAGAGGCCAAGAAGCTGTCAGACTATGTAGGGAACTGCATATACTCCGGACAGGGCAGAAGGGGCCACTCCTGACCGGGTTAGAAAACATGTCCATTTAATTATCTCTCGTACTAATTGCTGAGATAAGTCGGCGTCAACGGAGTCGACTCCGGAACATCGGTCCTCCCTGTGTGCTACCCAAATAGAAAAGTCATTTTCCATGAGCGGATCTCCTGGAAGGAGCCTTGACTATGAACTTTATGCCTTTTCCAAAAGTGCACTGGGAGGATATGGATTTTTGAGCCGTTGCCAACAGCACTGAGAGGAAATGGAGGCTATGTCCATGGTTCTTCCTGTGCTAGGCGACCGCTGGGCAATAAGACGCCACCACTGATGCAGGGCAGGGTATAGTCAAGGATTACAAATCGCTGCCCGCGCCAATCTGTGCGAATAGGGTATTCTTGGAAAACAAGTGAAGCAGGGGTAGATCATGGCTGTGTCGCTGGGCTAGCTTCGACTAAGTCTGGCAGTCGAACGGCGCTTGTCATCCCGGTCAGACATTTTCCACCTAAATATACACACCATGTCGTTTAAAATGGGCGGCTTAAAGATATCCCAACGATCCAGTATACCTGCCGTCGATCGACCAGCAAAAGTATAGCGGCCAAAGCTGCAATGACAACTCGCGACTTGGTCTTTGTCGATGGCCTCTCCTGGACCAAAGCAGACAAGAAAATCCAGATATCAAAAGTCAGAGCTCATGCCAGGACCATCGGGGTGAGGACGCGCGAATCGCGAACGCTGGCTAGTCCTGTGACGAAGTGCGTTCGCCAGCTGCGGAAGAAGGCACCGTTTCCCTCTGTTGCTCACGAACGTTCATCGTGTCCGTGGAGTCCTGCCGCACACGTAGAACTAGAAGGCTCGGATCACAAGGCCCAAGAGAAACTGTCTCTGGTTCTCTTGGGATCACACATGAAGCCGTTGGAGAGCCGATCCGAAAATACGTCAACACCTTCTGATACAGAGTTCGACAGCAGCCAGAACGCCTACCAGACCGAAGTTGTCGTTTTGGATCCAGACCCATATTTGCGTGGATATCGAAAAGACCCTTTCAATCCTATCCCAGAGAACTCTTGCCTGGATGCCTTGGATTTTTACACTCAGCATTATGTCCCAAACAACGCTCCGCTCTATGAGGTCTTCAACATCACCAACATATACAACCGCTTTCCCCTGTTACTTTTGCAGCATGGCTTGTCTATGCATGCAGGACTGTGCAATCTTCTCTACCAATTTGAGTTCTTTTTGGATCCAGCTGCAAAGCCATCCCAGCGGGTATACACTCATTTAGGGAGGGCGTTGGCAAACTTGAGACGGGAAATCAAAACCAACGGGACCCTACCCAAAGACATCTCCACCGTCCTCGTCATGAATCTTGCCGTTAGTGCACGATCGCTTGGGGATCGAGAAGCGCATGAGATGCATAAGGAACAGCTGCGTTTGATGATCCAGGCCAAAGGAGGGCTCGACCAACTTGGCCACGGAGGATTGGAAAAGTGTATGATGCTTCAGTGGGAGGGAATGTGGTGTTGGACGGATGGCCGAAGTCCAACGATATTTCCTGGCGCTCGACTCAATCCAAGTGCAGAACGATATCCCCAATACCCATTTGACGAAGACATACGTGGACTCGTCAACCAGCTGCCAGGAGGATTCCAGGACCTCGCGGAGCTAGGCATCCTCAGTGTTCCAACGCTTGAAGCCCTGCTGCGTGCGACAGAGGAGTTGAAGCGTAGGAAGAACAAGGTGCCAGGCACAAACGACAACGTGATCTTTGAATATAGAAGACACCGCTACCACGACTTTCTGCAGGCGTGTCCCTGCCTGGCAGACTCCGACGAGCACCCCACATTGGAAAAGCTCATCGTTTTGGCGCTCATTCTTTACTGCTCTGCGAACTTCTGCAAGCAACGCCTTCCCACAACACATTTCGCAGCTGTGTCCGCACGGGCTACTGTTAATTTGACGAGGATATCCATGACGTCCACGGATTATGAAAAGAAAGCTCTGGTCTGGGTGTTCATGGTGGTGATTGATTCTTGGAGGTCGAGAGGCGGACAAATGAGATCGGCGGGTGTGGATCTGCTAGGGCTCTTCAAGCAGAAATTTCCAGCAATGAAAAGCTGGAAGGACATAGCTAACCTGTTGTCGAGATTCTTGTGGAGTGAAGACATGGAAAACTTTCTGAGCAGCTCGTGGCCAGACGCCTGAGCCTCATGGTAGCCAAATGGGTCAATGGAAATCTCGTCCTCGCATATGGCGGTGGTTACTAGGAATACAAACTGACATTAGATGGAGTTGCGCACTTCGAATCGGCCGCCAATGTCTTCTTCTCGTGATAACCGTACAAGTTCTGTGCTTGCTGAAAAAGTTACCATTTGAAATACAGTGCAAGACTGAAGCAGACGTCACTTCTCGTCCTGGTCGTCATCCGTGCCCAATGCTGCCAGAGCTATCTTTAACTCTTGCACAATCTTAGCATCCAGTATGTTCCCCTCCTTCGCATTTTGCCAGCTGACTTCTCTTTCGTTGGTTGGGACGGTCAGCTTTCGCCTTGCCTCTTCCTTCATTGCAACCAAATCACGCAAGTCTTCAGATATCGCTTTCCTGTGCTCGTCGTAGCCCTTCAATGGCAATACAGTTGTGGGATCCACTGCAGCAGAAGCGCCAGCATCCCGGAACGAGGAAAGCAGGCGCGAGATAAGAGCTAGAGTCGCAGCCTCATTCGTCGCGGTCAGGGTCAATACGTAGGTTTCATCATTGGCTGTTTGCGGCGTAAGCATCACACTCGTGCTTGCACGAATAAGTTGGTTGGGGAATCGATTAAGAAAAGCAGATATTTCGGGTGCAATAGCACCACCAACGGCGTAGAGGAGATTAAGGCAAAGTGGGAGGAACCCCTTCGCCCACAAACGATAGAGGTATTCGCAGTTGGGTCGGTTGTCAGCATGGGACGCTCCACCTGGAACACTCTGAAGCGACTCAGACGTCTTGGATGAAAGGATGCGGTTGAGGACGCCTTCGATCGCAAGCTCTTCCGCGACAGACGGCAGGGATGATATAGAGGCCAATAGCTGAACACTGTATTCAGCGTAGCGAGGCTGAATGTCGCCCTCTGACCGGGTGAGCAGATGAGACCACGAATAGAGCAAAAGGCCGACCGAGATAATCCCGGAAGAAGACAGTCGTTCAGACAATTCCACCGAGAATTGGGGGAGACTGGGCAGTCTGAGGATAGTTTGCATCAGTGTCAATAGGAGTAAAATGTCACGTGGTCCTATAGAATCGTCCTTGTCGTTGTCGTCGTCGCTCTTCAATCTCCTTTCCCTTTGGTCCTGAATAGCAAGAACCGCAGATTTGAACCCGTCCGCCATGATCGTACTCGTGATTTCAAGGAATGTTACATTTTCGTGATCCAGGGTAATAACAGCAGTGGAGCTGCCGGGAATCATGGTCGGCTTTCGCTTTTTCTTGACATGAAACTCGATAGTGAGGAGTAGAATGGAGAGGATCGATCGCCAGTATGTGAGGTCGTTGTTGATGATGGCTTGTTCATAGGATCCATTTCGGAATCTGACAGCATCCCAAGCAGGCCCCAACAACCCTGCGAACTCAGAACCCCTGACGCCGAACGCAACAAGTTCACGCAGAAGGACTATTACGAGATCCGCCCGCGTTTGGAATAGTGACTCGAAGAGAACTTCAGACGGATAGATCCGACAATTTGCTTGTAAAGACTTCCGGGCAATTTGTGCCATTGCTTTTTGAATCTCGCGATCCTGAACGAAGAATTTGCAATGGTCAACACACAAGCGTTTCAGGCTCGAAAGCATGGCCAGTTCCGAATCCACGGCTGAAAGATTCATATTCGCTCGCCTAAATTCTGCTGAAAATGACTGGCTGGTGGGTGTCCCTTGTCCACCATGCCAGTACGAGTCTTTGGCCAACAGCTCACCAGCGAATTGGAGATCGTAAAAGAAACTCGGACCATAGTCTCGTTCAGTCAATCCGGTGCGTTTAACGTCGGAAACTGTCAACCCATTATACTTGGCTGCAAAATTTCGTCGCAGATTGGCGTGCAGTGATGAATTATAGCTAGAGACATCGACTGCATGTGAAGTAAGCCAGTTGACCAATGGTAAGAAGGTTTTGACGGCGTTGAAGTCTCTCGCGACTTTCACATGATGAAGATGAGTTGTTGCAATATCGGTGACACGAGCGGCGATCAGGTTTTGCTGGGCAACGTCGATTTCATCGTAATGCTTGGGATCGAAGCCGGTGACTGACAAGACAATAGTAGAAAAGAATTCGTCCGAGGAGGAGAGATCCTTGGTTACCCAAGACCAATTTTGCTGCGCCTCCTGAGCAAAATCTAGCATTGCCTTCAAAACGATTCGAGGAAGCCTTGATGTATCTTTCATCTCTCTCATTGCAAACTGAAGGAACGTTGGACCGGGGACATGCTTGGTAGGGGCCTCTCCCGACTTAGGACGCTTTGAGTTGTCCGGAGCAGCGCCAGTCAGGATAACCATAGCTAGCCATTGCTGGGAGTCCTTGACCAACAGGGTAAGGAGCTTCCAAAGTTCAGCACGTTCCTCGGGAGATTCAGACTTCTGGTCAAGATGTCGAACAAGGTTGACAAAGTCGATGCACGAAGAAGAGCCCAGGTGGCCCAACAAAGATGATGCTTGATGTCGCTCCACATATCCCAAGACGGAACGCAATAACGTGAGACAAGGATTGCGGACGGAAGACGGGTTTTGGAGAGTCCGAACAAGGCAAGGCACTGCATCAAACATACGCCTCTCGAGCATGGACAGTGGAAGGTCCTGTGATTGGCCATATCGAACAAGCAGCGATGCCAGCGATAACACAGCGCTTACATATCGATCAAGGACACCTTCACCAGCTAGCACACATCTGTTAATTGTGCTCGCTATGAAAGCGAGACGCGTGATCGGGTTCATCGCAGCATCTTCTGGACCTGACAATCGAAACGAAGCCACAAGATATTTTGCTGATCCAACAAAAGGCATTGTGCGTTGGTTGAAAGAACATATCGACAGACCATATTCAAAAGCGTAGCGAAGGATATGGTGAAACGAGTCAGCAATCGACGTGCTGATACGGACCTGCTGAGCCGGTTCTTGAAACGACCAATCTGAGATCTCTTGAAAGACTTGGAACATGATCTCCGTCGCAGCCAATAGCATGTTACTTTGGACCCGCCATGCTGTGGAAATCGTCGAGTTCCGTGCGGAAGCGCCGTCGACAGATGAAAGACCATGAGGGGAGTCCCTAAGCGCCAAGTTGATCAGTGATCCGTACAAATCCGTGCACTTGTCCAAGAAATCGAAGTGTCCGAGCGGTGCTTCCACTACGGTGACAATGCCGAGAATTGGTGAAGGAGCTGCATGATGACCAAGAAGACTCGTTCGATTGAGGTTGGACCATATTAGGTGTGGCTTGATTTTCGTAAGGACATGAATGAAATGTGTACAAGATGTCATGATTCGACAGTCGAATACCGACGCAGACCGACGGCGGAAAGCCTGTAACTCTTGTTCGAGTATGTCAAAGATGTACAAGACTATATCCGTCTCCGAAGTGAGATTGCTGCTCGCTTCGTCCAGGATGGAGGCGCAACGTTGCTCAACTTGGTCAGCAGACTGACCAAATGAAGTGCTGCTCAGAACAGTCGATAAGAGTGTCGTCAGAACATCAATAATCTCTGAAACCACAGCTTCAGGGTCTTCAAAGGGCGTCAAGGCAGAGGCTAGCAGTCCCGTATAACGCAGCTCCAGTAACTGCCCCATGTATGCCAGACCTGAGAACTCATGTTGCCATCTAATTACTTTCGGAGATGCATCCGGGTCAGAGATGAGTTCACCAATCGCACCAGCTGGAATGATCGAGGTAGTCTCTGAGTCCTGGTATGCGTAAGTCAGTAGCTTGTTCTGTGAAAGATCCAGTACATTGACTGGTTTATTGAGAGCCACAAAGCTTCCGATTTCGTCCTCACGGGTGGTCTTATACTCAATGCCTTTGATTGCAGCTTGAGTAAAGGTTACGAGTCTCCGAAGCCGAAATTCGACGTAGGGCGTCCCGTCCTCACTAAAGATAGGAGCCTTTGCCAATGTTCGACAGAAACGCAGAAAAGGCAAACACTCGTATGGAAATCTAGCGGCCGCGGTCTCGAAAAACCCTTCCATGAGAAGATTGTCCTCGATGAATTCTGTGGCGGGATCATAGACTTTCTTGTCATAAGAATTCTCGCGACTCGCTGACAGTACGGCGAGCTGCGATGATACCAACTCAGGGGTGTATCCCAGGAACGACTGCGACACAGCAATGAGTTCTTGTATTGTTTGGAATTTGTAAATAGCCAATGTTCTCGAGGGATTGCCGGCAGATGCAGTGAGCAGTGTAATGTACTCAACAATGTGACATTGGTCAATGGCAGCGTTGAGTAAAAATATCGATGGATCCTCGTTTGTGCTGAGCGTAGTAAATCTATCCAAAAGTTCTTCAAAAATCGTCGGTTGAAAAGAGGAGGCGCTACCAGAAGAACTTCGGCGCCCAGTTGCAGCGTCAAAAGTTGCGACTCCGTCAATTGTCCTTTGGACATGGTGACTCTCTCTGTTTTCCTTTATGGCAATACCCAGTTGTTTGATTTGGTGAACCACAATCGCCCATGCCAGGATTGCAGGACCGGCTTGTATGTTCCCCGTCGCGGCTTCATTGACAAGCAGCTCATGTATTTGGAAGGCACAGTCGAGATCAAAAAAGTACTCTCCCTGCGAACTATGCCGAACAGCTTGGCCAGATGATGCCGTTTCGTTCAAAATAGCAACGGTGGAGCCGAGATTGAGGAGAGACAACGATACCAGGGATGCTGTTGACTGTATTTTCTGAATTGCTGCACGTTGAACATCGGTTTGAGAATCGAAGGAGGCGAAAAACCCTACCGAGGACATAAGCCTGAGCCAGAGGAGTATGGTTTCGGAGGACAGTTTCTCTTCTGAGCTCCGCAGCCTCAGCAGCAGGATTTCCAGGACCACGCTGATCGTTTGGAGGCTTGCGGTATCTCCCACATCTTTGAGAAGACTCAGGTCGGGCTCGTCCAACTCCCATGAACGGGCGGATTCGAGATTCCGTAGCTGTGCTCGAATAAATCTGACCCCATTCTCAATGTCCTTGGCAAGGGCAGATCTCCCACGTCGTCCGAGGTTGCCGGATAACCCCCGGGGTTGTGGCAATGATCCCTCGCCGGTACCCGACAATAGGCTAACGTCCAAGAGATCCCTTGCTAGGCGCAAAAGCAGGATTTCTTGCTCCAAATGCTTGCGAATCAGACGGGCACGGCGCGCATTTCGAGAATTGAAGATGGCTTCGTCTCTTGCCAGCGAGCTCCCTCGCCCTTGAAAATTCCTGTCCACAAAATCTGACCCAAGAGCATCTTTCAAACTCGCCACTTCGGCCGGGGAGAACCCTTCTCGCAGCCTGGATTCAGAACGATACTGCCACTCCAGGATAGTCAATCGCAGAGCCTCCTGTTCTTCGAGGTTGACCTGCTTGCTGAGCCACAAAGCATCCTCCTTCAGCTCGTCACGGTTGAATTGTCCATCTGAGGAAGTTGGTATCGCCGAAATTTGCGAGTCGAAGGCACTTTTTGAGGAGGCTGAGGGGGGAGGAAATGAAGGGAACGTGGAATCCAAGATCTCTTGAGTGTGTTGACCAGAGAGTAGCTTGGTCGCAAATTCCCGCCTTGGTTGGTCAAGGGAAAAAAGCGCGTCAAAGAGATCGTCCCAGGAACTGTGATTTCTCGTCAGTATTTTGTTCGACAAACTGTTGCGGAGGGGTCGTACAGAAGGAGGAGCTCGCCAGCAAGACACTTTTTAACGTTTGGAAAATAAACTGGGTTCAGCGCCCCAGACGCCATATCATGAGAAGCGATCAACTTTTGGAAGCAACATTGACGGAATTGTTTGATCGTTGAATAATACCGAGTAGTTAGATATTAGCCAGCTCGCCAGACATTTAAACAAAGCGCGTCGCAAGCAGTCCCAATGCTCCGCGGTAGTCAAGGCTGCGTACTAGTACCTAGCCAGCCTAGGCACTCTTGGCGTTCAGTCCACGCTACTACCTACCTAGGTAGGTATGCCGTACTGCACTTCCATTCTCCACTCAGGCTGCTCACAGACTTGACAGAATTGGAGGGCTGTTGGGGTTCCCAACGAGCTATGCCTAGTACTATTAGGTACTTCGTAAATTTCCTCCAAACAGCAAGCTGTATTGACTTTCTGTCGTTCGTGGAGGTCTAAATCAGGCATAGATTGGGACAACATTCCTGCTGTCTCGGATTGCGCTTCCTTTGGACGTTCTACTCTTGTAATACCCAGATGGGGGAGTGCGACAAAAACATTTGGCGGCCCCATCGCAGCATTAGACTTGTACTTGGGTAGGTACCTAGGTACCTAGGTAGGTATCCGCCCAGGCTCCACACCACTAGTGAGAGGCTCTTTATCATCGTGGGCCTGTTGCACTCGATATGCAATTAACATAGCCGACCTTCAGAGGCCAACAATGGCAGACAAGTTCACCGTCGAGGGTCATTGAGAATGACTCCGGACTAGTTGCTACTCTGGCGTCCATGACAACGAATATGCCGGTGGAAAAAAGGGCGGCCGTTGATGATGAGCCTGCCAACTGCTTCTGCGAATATTGCTGTACACATCCGAGGCTGCGGAACGGTGGGCTACATTCACAATGTCTGGTGAGAGTGATTGCTACGGGTGCTGTCAGCATAGCGCGGAAGGATACAAGATTTTATGTATGCAAAACCCCGTCGAGTTCTCCACCTTGCGTTCTCGCTTGACAAGCTTCTCAGCCTTGTCTAGAGAGGTTTATGGAGACTGAACACGATACATATGTCTTCAGTAGAGCTCAATGCTGAACCAAAACAGGCAATGCAAGCCGTTCGAAAAGGGAAGTTGCCCTGATGTCGATCCCTGATTACGCCGCAGATTTCAGCCTTGCTGCTGAGCGAATTGTATCTTGTCACCATTGCCTCCTTGCATCCCCGTGGTCATTAATCCCTATGACACTGCTAACACGCTTGTCAGAATTCTGACAATTGGGATGCTCAGGTACAGTTTCTTTCGGAAGATTAACGTGGGGCTAGGACAAATCCTGTGCGATAGTCCAAAGGACTGCAGATGTGTTGGACACTCTTTTTGTACGTGACCGACCTGACCAGTTTTGTATATCAGGCACTCGGTACCAGGTTTTTGCATAACGAATTTGCCCAACATGTATGCGAGCGACCAATTCGTTAAGGTACTCCCACAAATCATCCTCACACAGCATAGTGTAAGACTGGAGTCTGCCTTTCCTCATACTAAGCCACCACCGACCATCCCGCTCACATGCAAACCTCATACGTGAACTATATCATCTCGCCCTTTCCGATCTTTCACTGTCGCTTAATGGTGTGCCCGCTCTAACCTTTTGTTTGCTGTCACAGCCTCAGTCCCTTCTTTAACGTTCTCTTGCATACAGCCATCCATTATATCTCTCATGAAGGTTGAACCACTTGCCTCTGTTCACTCTATGGGTACACATCAATAAGAGCCTTCGTCTGGTCTTCATTTTGGATCTTCACACTGTTAGATCCTCCAATGAGACCTATTCATCCTTAGTGCTTGTCACCAGCGAGGTGTCACCTCCTTGCAAATTCACTATTGCCAGACTCCGGACTTCCAAGCGCGCGCTTTGCAAGTGGGCCAGCTTTGGGTGTCCTGATACAGTTTCTTTCAGCTCGAACTTCCTTTCCTTCGATTCATTTTTCAGGTCACACTTCCTCTGCCACGCTCGGTCCCCTCAATACTGTGACTTGCTGTCAGACCAATTCGTTGTCAAACTGCCAAGCAAGGTGGCAAGGAAATACCCCAAAATATCGGCTCCGACAACACTGAAGCGCATCGATGGACAAGGACGAGAAAGTCGGAGAGATGACCAAGGACTGGGGAGGCAGCTCCAGCACCAACATCTCTGCATATGGAAATCCTGGGACAACGGAGGTAAAGTCGCAGCGAGCGCCCAAGCGGAAAATGGGGGACACGGAGATTGCAACCCTTACCAAGGATGATCGTGTTGAATTGGCGGGTAAGAATCCTTCTTCTACAACCAGCTGGTTGTACTCTCTGAACTGATGTGGCACAGGAAAGGAAATTGATGCCGCATGTGCGCAGTTCGAGGCAAAGATGAGTGGCCGTAAGTTTGTTCCATCTCGACTTTCAAGATCACCTTTCATTTCCAGCATGTACTGAAGCCAAATGATTTTCGGTCATAGGCGGTTATCGGCCCATCGTCGACCAAAGTGGTTTCGTGTACCTCTTAACACTGGTAAGGAAGGATATATTGAAGAATCGGCTTGAAAAACATCACATCAAGGTGCGCTATGCACCTCACTTCTCTTCCCAGCACGACAATCAGTACTCGATGAATTATCGACCCAACGAGGCGAAGCGTCCATCGTCTGAAAAAGGTGTGGTCCCGGGGCGGTGTCTAAGCTGCTCACCCGCTAATGGAACGAAAGACAGGGTTTTCAGGGTTTCTGGAGACCCTGGAGCAAACTCGACACTTCCTCCGTGCCCAGTGCCGATGTACTTCTTTCCCAAGCCCTACCCATTTTCTCGGAATCCCGTAATTGAAAGTTCGCTGCCTCGACACCTCAGACCCTCCAACCCCAAACTTCGCGCGCGCATCCCCGATCCTTGGGCCTTTAGCCTGCAGCTTTTCGAGACAGACCCAGCATCGACTTGCGGCAGATCCATAGGGCATAGCCGTCGAGGACTGAAGTCGTATGCATGCTACTCCATCGATACGCGGTCGGGAATGATCCACATCCAATCTCTGGCTCCGGCCGGCAGCTCGTTTGACCTGGCTTGGGATATGTTCTGCAACTTCTTCAGCAGGAGGGTGGGTGTCGACTGGAAAGATATACATGGAGAGTGGAAGAAAGGCATCCCCTGCGAACGACTTTTAAGCGAGAAACCGCATGGTGAAGACGGAGCAGATGATGGTGGATGTTTCGGTATCTCAAGGACAAGGCAACTGCAGGGCCGTAATGGAGAAGTTTACACAGTGTTCGACTCCGTTGAAGCCAGGAGTAGAAAGCCCAGCGTGACGGTGCTGATGAATAGGCATGAGCATGTTGCGGAGGACCGATTGGATGTCCGGGCGAAGACTCCAGAGAGAGGATGGTGAAAGCATCGTGCCCAGCAAGGAATGCCGGAAACCGTCCGGTCGTCTATCGCACGAGAAGACTGCCGCATAGCAATGCGAAACAGTGAAATCGGCATGGTTCTCGGCACTGACATGCTGCAGGACGAGCGTCAACTCATAGGTAGTCCTTCTTGCGGCTAGTTCTTGTGTATTGGGTCAAAGCCCATTCAACTTCGCCACCAGAATCCTTCTCCAGAGTACCACCTCGTATCTCGAAACATCTCATGGTCATCCTGGGCCCGACTTCGGCCAACTCGACGTCCCTGTAGCCAGTCTGCACAAAGACATGATGCCGCACCTCGATACTGTCCTCGACGTTCTTGAAAGTCACTACTCTGTTGCCAACTTTATGTGGGCCATCCCGTGGAGGGAAGATGTGCTTGAGGATCTGGACCACCCGTTTCCCCAGCCTTGTCGTAAACCCCTCGAAGATCAAATGAGGATAGGACTCGGATACCGTCCCTCTCGACGCATCGGGAATGTCTGTCCGAAGAACGACATTGTGTAGAGAGAAAGAAGCGGTTGGACCATGTGGCAGGTGGGAAATGGTCATGGCAGTAGGAGTGCCTCGATGCTCGTGGAGCAGGATAATGTCGGTGAGGGCGGCGGCCTTTGCGCTGGCAAGAAGATTGGGGAGAATCAAGTTGCCTCGATTCAAGCGGATGGAGGTGGGCAGGAGCAGGCGAATTTCTTTGGAAAAGGTCGAGAGGCGTGTCGAAGGGCTACGGGAGGTGGTGACAAGTGGACGAGGGTCGGAGAGACCAGACAGCATCGAGTACTCATCGTCCATGGACTCTTGTGCTGCAGCACTCTCGGGATCCAGAGATTCATCGTATTTGAAATCCTTGCGTAGAGAATTGTCATTAGCAAGGGACGGGTCAAGTGGTTTCCCAGTAGCAAGCGACTTTTTCAGCAGCGCCCGCTTCTCTGCAATGCTGGCATCTCGCAGCTGAATTGCGCGACGGTAAATATAGTCTCGGCGCTCGCGAGCCTGCCGACGGAGCATTGTGCTGGTCTGGGAAGAACGCAGATAGAGGAATGCAGGGAATCAAGGAAAGACCAGGACCAGAGAAAAGTGACATTGTCAGATATAATTTTTGGCGGAGAAATTTCGCCGCACTTGATCCGCACCGCGACTACCCACCTCCATATTCCCTCCATCCCTCTCACTCTCCTTTGGCCACCCCCTTCACTGCACATCCTCCTGCTACTACAACCCCCCGCATGTTTGACAATAGGTCGCGAACGATCTTTGAGAACTGGAGACCGTCGGAGGGGTGTGGAATCGCGACGTCTATGTGAAAACTGGGTGACCCTGTGGACTGCGCCGATCGGTCACCCTTCGCCTGAATCTTTAACGCTGGAAGCGACGCAAGTTTTTCTTTGATGTGAGACTGTCCGGGATACGGACACGATAGAGATCGGCTTTCCAAGATGGAGGCGTTCAGCAACATGGGGAACCACTTGGTTTCCAACTCCGCAGCCGCCATCAACGCCATCGACGACATCTCGACTGTCGACCCCGATGAGAGCGTCCTCAGCCTAGCCAAGGGTCCCAGAAGACGTCAACATGATGATGATGAGTCAGAGAGCATAGAGGAAGACGACCTTGAGAGCCTCGCTTCCGCAGCAGTTGATGCGAATGGCAAGAAACATATCCAAAAGGCGGAAGAAGAGAAGGAACTGCCGCCCCACGCCTGCGCGTATGTCAATACTTTACTTGTTGTTCAGGAGACATTTCACTGATTGGTTCCAGCTACTGTGGCATCCATAATCCTAGCAGCGTGGTGCGCTGTTTGACATGCTCCAAGTGGTTTTGCGCCGCCCGTGGAAATACCTCCTCTTCTCACATTGTCAATCACCTCGTTCGAGCCCGCCACAAAGAAGTCCAACTTCACCCGAGCAGCTCCCTCGGTGACACAGTCCTTGAATGCTACAATTGCGGAACAAAAAATGTCTTTCTCCTTGGCTTTATTCCTGCAAAGTCAGACACCGTTGTCGTTCTGCTCTGTCGACAACCCTGTGCAGCGATGCCATCCTCCAAAGACATGAATTGGGACACTTCGAGGTGGCAGCCCTTGATAGAAGACCGCTCATTCCTCTCTTGGCTTGTCGCACAACCGACCGACCAAGAACAACTTCGTGCCAGGCATTTGAGTCCTCAAATGATTGCAAAGCTGGAGGAGCTCTGGAAAGAAAATGCCAATGCTACCATCACCGACCTCGAGAAAGCGGCAAATATCGATGACGAGCCCGCCCCTGTCCTTCTGCGCTACGATGACGCTTTCCAGTATCAGAATGTCTTCGGTCCCTTGGTCAAGATTGAGGCTGATTATGATCGCAAATTAAAGGAGAGTCAATCGCAGGACAATCTGGTTGTCCGATGGGACCTTGGCCTGAACAACAAGCACTTGGCCAGTTTTATCTTGCCCAAACTTGAATTAGGCGATGTCAAGCTGGCTGTGGGAGACGAAATGCGTCTCAAATATACCGGAGATTTGCGACCAGCCTGGGAAGGCGTGGGTTATGTTATCAAGATTCCTAACAACCAGTCGGACGAAGTCACCATCGAATTACGAGCAAAGGGCGACCACAAGTCCGTGCCTACTGAATGTACGCTCAACTTTTCAGCAGACTATGTTTGGAAGGCCACATCCTTCGACCGGATGCAGCTCGCCATGAAAACTTTCGCTATCGACGAGCTGAGTGTCTCTGGCTACATCTTCCACCGCCTTCTCGGCCATGAAGTTGCAGCAGCTCCCATGAAAACCCAGCTGCCCAAAAAGTTCAGCGTCCCTGGTTTGCCTGAGCTCAACGGCAGCCAAATCAATGCGGTTAAATCTGTCCTGCAGAAACCCCTCAGCTTGATCCAAGGCCCTCCGGGCACTGGGAAAACCGTGACCTCTGCCACTATTATTTACCATCTATCCAAGATCAATGGTGGTCAAGTCTTGGTTTGTGCTCCCTCTAACGTAGCTGTCGATCAACTCTGCGAACGCATACACCGTACGGGACTGAAGACTGTTCGAGTGACTGCGAAATCCCGAGAAGATGTGGAGTCGTCCGTTGGATTCCTCTCTTTGCATGAACAAGTCCGCATGAACGACAGCAATGTGGAACTGGCGAAGCTGAATCAACTCAAATCCGAACTTGGTGAACTTTCAAGCCAAGATGAGAAAAAGTACAAGTCCTTGACCCGGGCAGCAGAGCGAGAGATCCTACAAAATGCTGATGTCATTTGCTGTACATGTGTTGGTGCTGGGGATCCAAGACTTGCTAAATTCAAGTTCCGCACTGTCCTGATCGATGAGTCCACGCAGTCAGCAGAGCCAGAATGTATGATTCCTTTGGTTCTTGGCTGCAAACAAGTGGTCCTTGTGGGTGACCATCAGCAATTGGGACCGGTCATCATGAACAAGAAAGCTGCAAAGGCTGGTCTCAATCAGTCTCTCTTTGAGCGTCTCGTCATCCTTGGCTGTGCGCCAATTCGCCTAAATGTTCAGTATCGCATGCATCCCTGCCTGTCGGAGTTTCCATCAAACATGTTCTACGAAGGATCTCTCCAGAATGGCGTTACTATGCAGTACCGTCTCCGGAAGGATGTGGATTTCCCCTGGCCTGTTCAAGACGCACCAATGATGTTCTGGTCGAACCTTGGAAATGAAGAAATCTCGGCGTCAGGCACCTCATATCTCAATCGCACGGAAGCAGCCAATGTGGAAAAGATCGTCACGCGCTTTTTTAAAGCTGGTGTCAAGCCCGCGGATATTGGTGTCATCACTCCATATGAAGGCCAGCGCAGCTACATCGTCAGCTCCATGCAAGCCACCGGGACCTTCAAAAAGGAAATGTACAAGGAAATCGAGGTCGCTTCGGTTGACGCGTTCCAGGGGCGAGAGAAGGACTTCATCATATTATCTTGTGTCCGGTCAAACGATCACCAGGGCATTGGTTTCTTGAGCGACCCCCGTCGTTTGAATGTGGCCATGACTCGAGCCAAGTACGGTTTTGTCATCCTCGGCAACCCCAAAGTTCTCTCCAAGCACCCGCTCTGGCACTATCTCTTGCTCCACTTCAAGGAACGCAATTGTCTGGTCGAAGGCCCTCTGAACAACCTTCAGGTATCTCTCCACCAATTTAGCCGACCTAAACAGTCCTACCGAGGCCCACAACGCTATCAAATGGCATACAATCATGCTAGTCATATGGCGAGCGGTATGATGAATGGGCGGACGGCTCCGCGCAACGATTACCGTGAACCAGCAGGCTCCGTTGTCGGCTACATACCGGACGACGTCTCTTCTATCCATTCATCTGCCATGGGCGGAGTAGGTGTCCCCGCGGGCTATCCACCAATGTTTCAAGGCTTCACACCCGACGCATGGCCCTCTCTTCAAAATACGCAAGCTCGACGCCAAAATGGAGTCAAAGCAAGAGCAGTCCCGGGTAGTGTGGCGGGAGAATCTACGGTGGCGACCGAATCCGACATCACGGGCAGCATTCTCGGACAAGGCGGGGTCAGCCTGGATCAGTTGTCCATTCATGACACCAATAAACAGCCCAGTTACAACCAGGCGGATCGACTGAAGAGATATGTCGAAGGCGGAGTCCCAGCACCAGGTGGTTATGTTTCCAACCACAAACTCGGCAAGCTTATGCACGAAGACGAAGACGCCAGGAGTGTTTCAACTGCATTTGCTAGTCAAGTTGGTGGAAGCTACGACTGATATCATGAAGACGCAGTGACAACTTTTCAACGATAGCGAAGAACGAGCTCATCTGAGCATCTCTTACGGTGTGAAGTCATCATTAGCACAAGATGCCGCCTCCGATCAGACGCCGGTCTCGGACTCGACGGGTCACATGTCGCCCTTGCCACGAGGGGGCCATACCTCACCCTCTCCCTTCGAGATCCGCCAGCAGCAGCGACAAACGGCGACGGCAACGATGCGATGCCTGAGTCTGGAGGCTGCACAGTTGCTTGAGACGAGTCCAGGATATTGCCAGGATCGAGTAGATGCAACGGAAGGAGAGAAGATCGAGAGTGGGTTGGGCGAGGCATTGGAGCAGGATGCAGCGTTTTGTGAAGGGATGGTTTGCTTGATGGAACTTTCCAAGTCTACCACCCTTTACCGTCCTCTTTTTGGAAGCAGCATGCTTGGACGGCGGCGGCAGCAGTAGTCTCTTAGGTGAGGGTACCAGCAAGACTAGGAGCGGTAGGAGGTGTGAATGCAGAGCGAGGGGGGACGATGGCGACCAGCAGAATGAAATCAGATTGTTAGTGCTTTCCACCATTTCCTTAGGAATTGTTGTGTGTTAGGGGAAGATAGCACTCAAGTCACTCGTTTAACAATCAACAAAAGATAGTCGCTCTCTTAGTAGAAATCCACTGGGGAAAAACCAAATCGGACAGTTGCTTGTATCGGTAAATTACTGCTCGTGCTGTGAAGTGCATGCCTGCTCAGCTGCTGACCCCACACATTTCGAGGCTCAGGAGGTTTGTTCCTTCGTGAAACACGGAGGAGGCAATTCGACGGGCCTTTACTGTTCCCTCAAACACGCACAAATTTCAACCTGATACACAACCATTGCCTATGGTGGCCTCTTCTCCCGCCCTTTCGATCTAGACTCGCGTCTTGGCCGGTTATCATGTAGCAGCCTCATTCAGCCGCTTCCTTCACCAACTGGATAGTAGGGTTTCGGATCGGCCATGACCCGACAGCAATTGCTCATCGAGAAGAGACAATCCCTCCGTCATGGGGATCTGGCCAGCGCCTCCTCGGTGCAGGTAAGTGCGTAGCTATTTGATCTTCCCTTTTCGCGCAGGAATCTGCTCTCTCTTTCAGTCCCGGTCTTCTGCACAGTTGATCCACGGCAGGCAGTCATCATCTAAAATCACGAACCCTCCACGACCACCGCCTTAGAGAGAAGAGAAAGCAGTCGACCATAGATTTGCGTGACAAGCCTACCAGTGATATCGCCACCGTCTATCATGACCGCCGAACCCCTGCCCGACCATCGAGCACTGAGAGAGGCGTTTGACCACGAGATCTACTCTTCCTCCGGCACTCCGCTACGATTTGGCTCCCTGTTATACGATTGCGATGTCTATCCAGCCGAAAAGCGAATCCTCGTCATATTCATCAGGCATTTCTTCTGTGGGAACTGTCAGGAGTATGTCCGGAGACTGTCTTCGACTGGGTCGCCCTTCCATCCATCTCAGAAGTCACACCGACCGTCCACCTCGATAGCCTCGACGACAAACTTCTCCAAGCCTGCTTCCCGCACCCTTCCCACAATCATAATCATTGGGCCAGGCCAACCTAGCTTGATTGCGTCGTACAAGAGTGTGACACAATGTCCTTTCGACATCTACGCCGATCCTTCTACGCGCCTCTACGAACTCTTGGGCATGTACCGCACGCTAGCCCTTGGCCATAAGCCCCCTGGCTACATCGAGCATTCCCTCTTCAGCGGTGCCCTGAAATCTGCTTGGCAAATTGTCCGCCGTGTCGGCAATGGGGATGCCATGAGTGGAGGAGACTGGGCCGTCAATGGTGGCGAGTTTCTTTTCGTCAGGTCGGCGCGTGGCAGACCCTCGATGGGATCGGAATCTTATTCCTCAAGATCGAGGTCGAGGTCGAGATCGAGGTCGCGAAGTGGTCAACCTCAAGATTGGGACGTTTCGTGGTGCCATCGAATGGTCAACTCTAGAGACCACACCGAAGTTATCAATCTACAATATCACGCCTGCCTCCCAGAACTGTCATCGCGAGCAAACTCGCGCACCCCGTCTCCTGCACCCCTGAAGTCGATTTTGGTCAACGGCGGCAGAGCACATTCCAAGACACCTTCAGGAAGCTACTCGGCGGAGCGTCTCGGTTCTTGTCCAGGTCCGGATATCCCCAAATCTCGTGAAGAGGTTCTTTCGAGCCAGCGCCTCAGCCGCCCACACTCCAGGGGGCATTCTACATCCAAGAGTCATCATCGCCAACGTTCGCGGAGCACGAGCGTTGGTTCTCAGACGAATCATGCAGCAAAACAGAATCACAGGAGAGTATGGTCAGGTATCAGTAACACAAGTACATCGCGGTTGGATGGTGTCACCAGTCCCATCTCCGAAGTTGTAGAAGAGGACTTCAAACCACGAAAGAGCTTCTCAGCCACAGTTGCAGAGAGTGTGAGGTTTGGTGCGCTTCTAAAACGATCAAAGTCATTCTCGAGTCCGGCACAGACAGATGCTACCTTTCCCGTGGTCGAGACTGCTGGAAAAGTTGACGCGGCTACTCAATCGCGCCCAAGGAGCAGGACGAGTGTCTCCAAATCAGGGTTCAAACCGGACGCTGCTCCCTATGCCCTTCGCATTGAATCCGAGTCCAAGCAAAAGCACAACGACATCATCCTACCCTCCTCCTCCTCCTCCCCCCCAACCGACGCACCTTTGCCCCTTCCCAGACCTCTCGCGCCAAAATCTCCACGCAAGCATGCGCGATCGAGAACATTCTCCTTCTCCCGACCAAGTCTGCCGCTGCGAAGAAGAGCAGCAAGCCAGATCGAGATGGGTGAGGACGGCGTCATGTTCGTCGACGGCGTGGAATTCGTGAACGTCATTAGCGTCAAGGCACGCATCGAGGCCAGCAGTGCTCGAGATCAGACAAGAGAAAGGGCAGATAGTGGGCTCGGCATGGAAGTCGAGACGCGGAATGACAAAGGTGCCCCAAAAAAGGAAATCAAGACAGAGATCCCAGAGGACAAGAAGAAGTATTCCGTGTTGTCTGTTCTCCCAGAGATTGCCGCTCTGACCCGGCAGGATGATTGAAGCAGGAGAACTCCTAGCAGCTCATGCCTCGAGGTATGAAGTGTATACACTGTGCACACAGGCAAACAAGACATAGTAGTATCACGTGCTCAGCACGCGATATAAAGACCATTGAATGAATCTAAAAACGCCTAGATATGTTTGCCATTATCCCTGAGGTTGGTATACAATACAGGCTGCTTGCCTACTGCACCTCTATCCGGGGGTCCCGAGTCGAATCCTGCGCCAGGTCCTGTCGTAAAGTCATAATGCCGTCGCTCTGTCCGTGGTGCATGCTTTTATCGTGTGGAAGATGTGCTGTTTCTCTTCAAGTCTCTCTGTCAAAGATCAGAGAGCATTACTCGCGATCGGCGGAGAACTCGATACTGGCCTTCCATTCAAGTCAGGGTCGGTATGACTGTCTTGAAAAAAGGCATAACCATTTCCACTCCAAGTTGGGAGGCCACCATCGATACGACCCATCTGCGTACTGAATTGTGCAGTAGGCTCAGGTAAATCAAGGTTGGGAGGTTGAGAGACAGGAAAGGTGGGCAGTGAGGAGGTCGAAAAGTCGGCGAGGGCTCCAGAGTTGAAAACGTTTGCCTGAATATTTTGATTGGACAGATTTTGGGTAGCTGACTCGTCGAAACTCCCAAACGGGTCTCGGGAGTCGAACGGCGACAGTGTGTCTGGAAATCCACCAAGCATAGGTGGGCTGGTGATAGAGGAGATATTCGCACTCATTGATGGTGTCTGTTGGGCTGGTTGAGGCTGGAAGATAGGAAGATCATGTGCGTTTGGCATGGACGCGACCCTTGCTTGACCAATAGCATAATCTGTTCCGTACGAAGCCTCAAAATCTGTCCAGCTGAAGGAGTTGTCACCCAGCTGTCCATCCGAGAAATTCCACGTGCCATTGGACTCATTCGGTAGAAGGTCCCAAGGAGTCGGGGTATCTGTTAGTGGGTCAGCATACACGTCGTTTGGCGACCTGCCAATCCTGCTAGAAGGTGATTGTGCATGGGAACAGTGTGAGCTGAGAGGCCGATTAGTCCAAGAATGCTGCTGAATAGGGTATGTCAAGTAGATGGCGTTCGGGTTTAGCGTCTCGGAAAAGAATTGCTGAAGCTGATGTTGAGAAACATCGGCGGTACTCGAGAGAAAAAATGATGGTTGCCCGCCCATACACGACCGTGGATTGTTTTGAGAGATAGAAGGGACCGGTGTCAGACTTTGATTCCCAACGTATGCTTGTTCTGCTAGATTCTTGACTTGTTGCTGAGCGTGATTAATTGACGTCGCGTTGTTCGGGTGATCAGGGCAGTAGAGACAGGAGCAGCCCGAGCCGCAAGAACAACTGGACTTCCAGGTTTCACCCGCTGATTGAGGTTGAAGCCCCTGGACATGGTCGGATTCGGGATTTACTAGGCCGGGATGAGGCTGTATCGCAGCAACGTTTTGACGATGTCGACAACCCCCTTTGGGCGACTCTGGCTCGGCATTGGGCTTCCCAGAACTACAACAGGACGAGTTCACCTCGTCTGACTTGGCCTCTTCACGCTCCTTCATGCGTCGTTTCCGCTCCTGGTATTCCTCATCGCTGATTTCTTTTCCATTGGCATCTGTCCAGACTTTTTTCAAAGTCATTTTATTCCCCTCGGCGTCTTCCCAGACTGGCTTTGGTGTTGAGGTCGCATCCCGACTGATAACGGCGGGGTTGTCGACGCGGACTATCAAGAACATTTCCTGGGTACAAGCACAGTCCCTTTCACACTTGCAGGCTTTTGTGGTACATGCGCAGTTCCTCGGACAGTGACATCCTCTCTTCTGGCCTGCTGAAGGACGGCCCGGCTGATTTGTCTCGGAGATGGGTCTTGTCTTTCCATGGTCACATTTGTGGACTCGATGGCCTCTCTTGCAGGACTCGCAGGCGTAGGTCTTGCCGTTGATATGTTGTATGGCTGGTGTCTCGCTCTTGTAAGAGGCCTTTATCTTTTTGACCTTGCCATCCTCAACTCTAGAATTGCCTTTCGCAGGACTGCCGACCTTTGGCGGAGTGGCAGAGGGCTCTTGCATCGTTCTGCGGCGTAATGTTGCGACCCGAGCGTGGGTGGTTGGTGCTACCGACGAGAAGTACGGGCAGATGTTCAGGGAAAGTGGGCAACAGGATGGACTCGCTTTCTAATTGGATCTATCGGGCACAGTTCGTGGTCTGATCGGCAAGGGCGGCGCCAATTTTATCGACCAAAGAGTGACATTGAACGGAGTGGGATTGAACACATGTCCACCACAGTGAGTGTGCCAAATGTCGATGTAAGAGGCTTTGACGACTGAATATGGGGTCATCCACATGCAACGACCTTGAGGATAGTCAGAGTGGCGGTAATATGGTGGTAGTCGTAGTGTAACTGTGAGAGAGTCTCCGCGAGGACTCGAAGTGGCAGCGGTCGAGTGGTCCCTGAATGAGAGGCAGGATCCGCACAGCCGCTGTTCCAATCGAGGGGAAACTGCTTGGTGTCCTCAAACTTATGCAGGTCAGCCGGCGCCTACCTTCAGCCCGTTCTTGGGCCAGTCATCGTTGGGCTATCACGCTCTGGCTCACTCACTAACTCTTTGTGAGAGAAATATTTTGTTTGTCTCGGCCCTCGGTTCTGTCTTTGAATACAACTGGCCATGGGGGTGGATATGACTGACAACGACAATAAAGACAAAAAGGTGCCGCGTTCACCAGCTCAGAAAAGCACACCATCGTCGCCTTCTTTCTGGTCTCTTCCTCTACCCCTTCGGCGCATCTTCGATCAGTTCCCGCTGGTGACATATCCCGCCAATGCCTTGCCCCAGCGGGTTCCTCGACTTCGACACGAGAACATCCTGTGCATTTTCCAGTCTGATGAGCCCGCGTCTCGGGATGGTCCCTCCTTCAATCCATCTTGTCTGAAGTGGCAAGCCTATCTCAAATTCCGCGGCATCCCTCTCCGCACTCGTTCCTCGAACAATCATGCCTCCCCAACCGGTGCTCTCCCTTTCCTCTTACCTGCCTCGAGAGACGCGAGTCGACCAGCTTCTCCGGTCCCGGCCAACCGGATCGTGAAATGGGTGATATCTCAAGGGGGAAAAGAGGAGGCAGTGCATTCTCGCCAGGACGCATACACGGCATTGATTGACCATGCTATAAGAAGCGCTTGGCTATACTATTTGTATCTCGATGAGGACAATTTCCAGGCTGTGGCATGGCCGCTGTACGTTGCATCGGCCTCGTCGTCCTCGCCTGTCCGCCTGAGCCTGGCTCATCAGCTGCAAGCCGCCGCAAGAGAAGAACTGTTGAAAATAAACACTGTCATCGACCCCCAACAACTCTACTCGCAGGCTGAACAGGCATTTCGGTCATTATCTGTACTGCTAGCCGACGATCAGTTTTTCTTCGGTCAATCCACACCAGGTCTGTTCGACGCCAGCCTCTTTGCGTACACACAAATTATTCTTGATAATCACCTCTTCTTCGAAACACGGACATTGAACTCATCCTTGAAGAAATACCACAACCTTGTCGAACACAGAAACCGTCTATTGCGCGGATTCTTTTCTGGTTGAAAGACGTCATCTACTTTTTCTGAGAATGCCCCCAAACCATACCGTCACGCCCACCCACTTCTCCGATCGCTGTCCCAGGCCTGCAACCATTGACTCGTCCACTCTCCTCTCCTCGATCTGTCCCAGCACCTCAAACCCCTTTTCCGAAGCAGCAGCCTCAACTTCGGCCAAAGTGTGTGAGTAGCTGGTTGGTCGGATCTTCTCACCCGTTTGCGGATCAATAAACCCAGCTTGACTGATTTGGCCCATGTCTGAGTGCATGTTGGTCAGCACTAAGATCCCCCCGGGTTTGAGAATTTTGGCGACTGTGGCAAAGAAGACGTCCGCAGGGATATGTTCGATGACTAGTGTCGACACCACGGCATCTGCGCCGACGGCACACTCTGGCGGCGAGGGCTCTTGCAACATGTCATACACCTTGAGCTCCAATTTGCCATTTGCATGGAACCTCTGCAATCGATCTCTCGCCACCTCGAGCATGCCAGGACTGAGATCGAGCCCAACTACTGACGCAGCATCCTCTACCTCCAGCAAAGCTGCCGTGTTCCTGCCCGTTCCGCATCCCAAGTCCACCAATGTCCACGGTCGGGGGTAGGAAACTCGGTCTTCCAGGATCCTGAGCATTCGTGGGATCAGAATTTTCATCTCAATCGTGTCCAAGGCCTGCAGGAAATTGCCGTCTGTGTCATACACAGCCGACCAAAGGTCGTAAGCTTGCGTGGTGGAGAGATAGCGGATTGTGGGATCGGAAGACTGAGGGATCACTTGAGACATGGTGACACTCGTTGGACGTTGAACCCCGTGATCAGACACGCCTGATAGATTGTAGACTTCGCCTCGCTAGTCCCCAGCCTGGATCAATAGCCGGATATAGAGCAATTCTCGCCTGCAAAGTCCCTTTGTCGAATGCAGTTGGCCCGACCAGTAGACAATGTACTTTTCAGGGGTGGATGCTGGGGAAGAGGAAAATATGAGGGAACTGGTCTCAAATCAATTCTGACGAAGTTTCTCCGCAAGGCTGCCTCTCCCCTCTCTGAATGAGTCACATTGTTCACCAGAGCATGAAAGGAACCAGCATCGAAAGCAATTCCATTTGCGAATGCGAATACGATATTCGAATCGACATGCATTGGACTTGGTAAGCAGGAAATGGAACTCATGGTTAGAGTCCAGACGCTAACATCAAACCGACGGTGTTTGTCCCTGCAGTCGATCACTCATTTTAGAGCAAGTATGCAGAGTCCTGACTGCTAGTGTTACAGCATGCGTGCATTGCCAACTGAGCAGACTCATGTTCATTTTCAACAATGGGTATCTTGCAAATGGCTTCAATCCACTTCGGCAGTGTTGTTACATACCACCCACCCCAAAGACACCTCCTCCTTCCCTCAAATCTTCCACCAGATCCTGCACATTACTCAAATGCTTTCCCAGCAGACTCTGCTTTTCCTCTGTCGTCCTTGTACTCTCAGAGTCCTTTCCATTCGCACCCTTTCCAACCGCGCCACCGCCGTCGGTTCCATTCACGGTCTCCCCTCTCCTGCGATCGAATGCCGCTATGACCTCCTTGCCCCTTCCCCCCAAAATCGCGGTGTTTGTTGCGGATGTGGAGCTGACGATCTTCGGTGTCGCAGTTTCGGGCATGAGATAGAAATAAAGGAACTCGACCAGTTTTAATTTGACTTCGCGGGAAGTCCCTCGAGATTTGAATAGAGACGTGATTACCAGCAGACCGCCGATGGATTCAAATGTACGAGTATTCTGCGGATTGTCGAGTAAGGACGTCACCAGGGCCATGATTGTGGAGGATTGGATGGCAGGACAGTTGGAGGGGTCCAGGAGGTCCAGGAAGAGCTGGTAACGTTAGACCTTGGATGTTTTGTATCGTTAGCGTGGTAAGACGTACGTTCATATATATCTCCTGCGAAAACAATGCTCGCGATGGTGGATGGAGTAGGAGGACTCCTTGGATCAGGTCCAGTGTCTGAATGATCAAAAGATCATTCGTCCCATTGCTTTCCTTGCCTAGGAGTCTTTCCAAACTTGCAACTAATCTCATGGAAATGTTCCATTGGAAACTCTGTTGCAGCTTGAAAAATTCACGAAAGGCGGGATCTGAGGGCAGCTCTGAAAGCTTCTTCGAATGAGGCGAGGAAGGGGTCGATGTTCCCAGAAGTAGCATCGACTGGCGTCTGTTGGCGGCGTCGCTGGCCCTGGACAGGCATAATTGTGCAAGCAAGCCTTCTACCTGGCGGAGGCCTTTGCGGATTTTCTGAGGGGAGCTCGAGGAAAGGTAGTCGAAGGAGTGGGACAGCAGAGCCTCCATTATGACAACCAGTGGCCTTGGTACAAGCTGAGGGTGATTTTACACGGCCATAAGGTATACCACCTCGTCGAAGATAAAAATGGACGAGAAAAGTACGTGCGCTCCGTATACCTACCTAAGGTAAGATGTCAACAAGACAAGTTGTCAGGGCGACGATGCGGGGGGGATGCGCCTAGGGACCGTGACCCCTGTAAGCGCTCGGTCCACCTGCCACTGCTGCTTCTGGCGATTGCACAACAGTTGGGCGCCCCGTTCCGCAGGTCAGATCAGGTGGATTGCTCGGTTGATAAGCGCCAGGCACCCGAATAATAATACTCCCGAGGCCAGGTGGTCTCGGTGGCCACCGAGCCACCGAGCCACCTGGGAATCGGTGCCTAGCACCTTCATTGTCGTCATGACCCTCATGTGATGACCTCTACCCGGTGTTAGATCGATCTACTTGCGTTTCTGCCTTGGAGACACCTCTTCGCCAGCATCAGATCAAAACCACCTGCACTGTTCCTTTCCATCTTCTGGACCTTATATTTCTCTCTCATCCACAGACCCAAACTAATTTGGCAGTGTCTCCTGATTACTCGTCCTCAATTTACTTGCATGACCAACGTCTAAGGTTGCGCTTTTCGCAAGCACGACCCTCGACATCCCCCACCTCATCCCGCATTTTCACATGCAGTCTTCTGCGCAACAGCTTCAACACGCATGTCGACCGTTTCAACAGAAAACCCGGCTTCTCCCAACGCCATTCCAATTCGCTACAGCTCCGCCGGTGTCTCCAATGGCCTTCATCAACAGACTTCAAAATCCGTCCTCAGACCTCTACCAGAGGATTCCTGGATTTCGTCCAAGCACCATTCGATGCCTCCAGTGCTGAGTCCAGCCCCCGTCCTCTCCGACCATACCAACAGCCTCAAACGCAGACATTCAAAGAAGCGATCTGCTCCAGAGAATTTGTTATCTAAAAAACCCGGAGAATGGTCGCCGCAGAAGGAGAAGATAATTTTGGGCCCTTATGACTACCTGTTCTCCCACCCTGGAAAGGATATCCGCTCAGCCTTGATCAAGGCGTTCGATGCCTTTCTACATGTCCCGTCAAATTCTCTGGATATTATTACAAAGGTGGTGGGGATGTTACATACATCCTCGCTGCTCATCGACGACGTGCAGGACAGCAGCATGTTGCGAAGAGGTATCCCGGTGGCACATAATATCTTCGGGACAGCGCAGACGATTAATAGCGCAAATTATGTCTACTTCCTTGCCCTGCAAGAGCTTCTGCACCTAGACAACAGAGATGAGGCGATGGAAATTTTCACCACCGAACTGCTCAACCTTCATCGAGGCCAAGGAATGGATTTGTATTGGCGCGACACCCTGACCTGCCCGACGGAGGACGACTATCTGGAAATGGTGCAGAACAAGACTGGGGGCTTGTTTCGTCTAGCCGTCAAGCTCATGCAGGCTGAGTCTCCGGAAAAGGGTCGCATCGACTGTGTCCCACTTGTCAACCTGCTGGGCTTGGTTTTTCAGATATGCGACGACTACCTCAATCTTTCTTCCAGCACCTATACTAAGAACAAGGGCCTATGCGAAGACCTCACGGAAGGCAAATTCTCCTTCCCTATCATCCACTCGATCAGGAGCAACCCCTCCAACCTGCAACTCATCAATATCCTGAAACAGAAAACCACCGACGAGCAAGTCAAGCGATATGCGGTGAAGTATATGGAGGGCACAGGCAGCTTTGAGTATACCAAGAGGGTCGTGCGCGAATTGAGACAGAAGGCTGTAAATCTGGTAACGGAAATGGATGGCGGTTCTGGAAAGGGGGATGAGGTGAAGTTGATTCTGGATAAGATTGCGGAAGCAGCACTCAATGATTCGGGGCAAAGTTCATGAGAGGCAGGGATTTAGGAGAAGGTCATTCAACAGGCCGTACCAAGGTAATGATGCTGTACATTATTAGTGTGTAATACCTCGCGAGGTGGTAAATTGGGTGCCATCCACTGCTGGCTGCGACACGGGTTCGCTGGTCACATCAGACTACTTGGAATCTGGAATCTCAGGATCCGAGACGTTACAACTTGAAGTGCCTCTTCTGAAGCCAAGCATGGAATTGTAAAGTAAGCTCTGTTTCACCCTTGCTCCCACAACTGGAAATTCTCGGCTTCGACTATTACGCCTGATCTCGACACTTCCGGGGGTAGATAGGAAAGCCATTCTCCGCCCATTACAGTCGCTGATTCGCTCCACTCAATCCTCCCTTCCCCATCGCCTCCATTTCTCTAACCCTCATCTTCGGCTCGGCATCACCTGTCATCTGGAATGTGGAGGTCATCAATGGCAGTATACTTGGGCCCGATCTCCCCGCGTGCATCCCTCAGAGCATTCGGCAAGTCCCTAATGGATATTACGATTCTACATAGCGGGCCATTATTTGGTCTTCGGGATTGCGTCTCCTGGTAAGGTTGAGCAGCTGGTTTTTCTATTAACATAAGGAAGTAGAGCTGGACGTCTATCAAGTCGAGGCTGGCCTCCTAGAACAGACACACGGAAATTGGGTCATTACCTATACACCTACCCAGTGGTTTTCTACTGCCCTCACCATGATCCTTCCCCAGAGCAATGCAGCCTTGCCACTCCTCGCTCCCTACATCCTCCCCCTCTCAATCATCCTTCTCCTCGTCCTCCCTGTTGTAACCTTGATCCGTATCCGCTACCGCCGCGGGCTGCGCGACATCCCAGGCCCATTCTTTGCCAGCATCCTCCCGTTTGATCGCATGCTCAGCACGTATTCGGGCCACCAATTCCAGCGGCATCTTGAATACCACGCCAAGTATGGGAACTTGGTCCGTGTCGGGCCCAACCATGTGAGTTTGGGGGATTCGGAGCAAATCTCGAATGTTTATAGCATTACCAGCAAATTCGACAAGGTAAGCCTACCCCAAGTGAACACGCCGATGGGAGGCAGCGAGAAAGAAGAGAGTCCTCGAGCTAATCTGCGGGACTGTAAAGAGCAAATTCTATACACTGTTTCATGCCAAATCGCCTGTTGGCCCTATTCCCACGGTCTTCTCCATTGTCGACCCCGTCGGCCATAGAGACCTCAAAAGACCTGTGGGTGCCGCATATGCTCTGAGTTCTCTGCTCGATTTTGAACCCCTGGCCGATGACTGCACACGGATCCTGGAAGGCAAACTCGACGGCCTGCAAGGCAAACCTATCGACTTTGGTACGTGGCTGCATTGGTACGCATTCGATGTCATCAGCAGCATCACCTTCTCCAACCGCCTGGGGTTCATGGAGAGGGAGGAAGACGTGAACGGCATCATCGCAGCAATTGAGGGTCGGTTGTTTTACAACTCGATCATCGGCCAGGTCCCGAGCTTACACAAGTGGCTTCTGGGAAACAACACCGTCTCGCGATTGGCGGATATGGTGCCCGCCATCAAGCGACTGAACTCGGCAGCGTACATTGTCCAATTTGCTGCGAGACAGTTGGAGTCGAGGCAGAACGCCAAGGCAGAACATGGGAGGTCAGACATGGTGGACAAATTCAAAATGACTCGAGACGGCGAGGAGGTCATGAGCGCGAAAGAGTTGTTGGGCCATGCGAGCTCGAACGTGTGAGTTATTGCGTTATTGCTTCCCCGAGCCAACCCACGGGACTCCGGGGCTGTCTGAAGGGTTTTCTAACAAACCGTGGCAACAGGTTCGCTGGTTCTGATACAACGGCCATCTCGCTCCGGGCGCTATTCTATCACCTCCTTAAGAACCCGCACACGTATCAGAAATGCGTGGACGAGATTCTCGACTTCGACGCTCGCGGCGAGTTGTCCGAGTATGTCACTTACTACGAGGCGCAGCGCATGCCATATTTCCAAGCGTGTATGAGAGAGGCGCTGCGCATGCATCCCGCCGTGGGACAATTACTTGAGCGGGTCGTTCCGCAAGGCGGAGCCACAATCGACGGTGTCTACCTACCGGCAGGGACGATCGTGGGGATGAATCCCTGGGTGGCTGCAAGAGATAAAGCAGTTTATGGACATGACGCGGCGGTATTTCGACCGGAAAGGTGGATCGACGCCGACGAGAAGACGCTGAAGCTGATGGATCGAAACTGGCTTGCTGTAAGTCCCCGACATTTCCCCCCTCCTTTGCCCCAACTGTCATATCGAGTTGGGGAGGCTAACTTCATCTCCCACAGTTCGGAGCCGGCTCACGGACCTGCCTGGGTAAGAACATCTCCCTGATGGAGATGTCGAAGCTGGTGCCGCAGCTACTGCGTCGGTACCACGTCCAGCTTGCGGATCCCAATGCCGAATGGGAGTTGTTTGATTACTGGTTCGTCAAGCAGGAGGGGCTGAGATGTATCCTGACGAGGAGAGACGGAGAGAAGCAAAGATAGCAGTTTGACCGATGAGAAGGTGGCGCTTTGCTGGCGTGGCGAGATAATCTGAATCCACAGACTCGTGGAGTTCATTGCATCAATGATTGTGATTCTCAAGCCGCAAGGTTTTGTTAAAGCTACGATTATGTTAGTAAAACATGCTACCAAAGATCCAGAGAGGAAACCCCCCATTGCTTCAGGCAGCAGGCTAGCGAAGTGTCTCGTAGCCAGACAATTTCAAGGTTTAGACAAGACAATCTGGGTCCTTGATCCAGTGTGGTACTATGGTAGGTTCCTTGGTACCTACAGATGCTTGACAGCATCTATGAATGCTTTCGTTCTGTCCGCACTCCGTCGCCCGTCAACCTCAACCCCAGAGCTGACATCCACACCGACAATGTTTTGGCCTACATAATTTTTTCCTAGTTCCTCCAGCACCGCCTGTACATTCTCCGGAGTGAGTCCTCCCGCGAGGATCACCTTGAGGCTGTCATCCTTCCGGAACAGCGCTCTCACGTCATTGAGATTGACCCGCGTACCTGATCCGCCGCCTCCAGCATCCAACAACGGTAAGGAATGATAGCCTCTCCTATTGATTCCACAATCCTTCGGGGAGAACGCTTTCAGAACAGGGACCGGAATCTGCCTCGCATATTCCAAGGGTTCTGAGCCGTGGAGTTGTACCGCATCCAGACCCAATAGGTGGACTTGCTGGGTTATGTGGTGAAGAGGCGCATCAACGAAAACACCAACGAGGAGAGCACGATCCGGACGAACAAGCAGCTGTGAGGAGGTGTAGCTGAAGAAATCTGCGCTCCCGACTCCGTCAACTGTACTGACGAATTTGGAAGACGCCGCGCGGGGTGTATCTTTCACAACCTTTGCTATCTGTAGCGCCACATCGTCTGAGACGAACCGCTTCCTGCCAGGCACAAGGATAATGCCGATTTGGTCCGCGCCGGCTTCAATCGCCGCTTTCGCGTCTTCGGGTGTGCGTGTGCCGCAGATTTTGACGGAGAGGTGCTTGGTCCGTGTTCCCTGTGTCGGTCGGACATCAGGATCTCCTACTAATGTGGCGATAAATTCAACCGGATTCTGTGCCCTCATCAAGGCCTCGCCAACCAGAATTGCTTTGACACCATCCTTTTTGTATGCTTGCACATCTTGAGGACCAGATATTCCACTCAGAGCGCACACAATCGTGGACTCCGGAACTTGATCCATCAACCGACTTGTCGTTCCAAGGTCAACCTCGAAATTTGTGAGATTGCGGTTGTTCACGCCAATAACCTCGGCGCCCAGTTCAACCGCGATTTTCATCTCCTCTGCCGTGTTGACCTCAACAAGAGGCTCCATCCCCAGTGATCTCGAGTAATGGTACAGTCTCGTTAATGTCTCGACGTCAAGCATCTTAACAATCAGCAAAACTGTATCTGCGCCTGCGACTCGTGCTTCCAGAATCTGATACTCGTCAAAGATGAATTCCTTGCGCAGCACGGCGGGTCTGTTGGGCATGCTATCGAGAGCCTGGCGGACGAGTCTCATGTCTTCGAGGCTTCCTTTGAACCATTCCGGTTCTGTCAACACAGAAATGACACTGGCGCCGGCTGTAGCGTATTTTCGAGCTTGTGCCGGAGCACAGGTCCCAAGAGATATAATGCCCTTTGAAGGAGAGGCTCGTTTGATTTCGGCCAGGAGGGCAATTGGGTAGGGGGATTGTCGAAGCCTTTTGGGAAAGGAAATTTGGGGAGGAGCGAGCCCGAGGTCGTAAGCATCTTGGAGATCTTCAAGTCTCTGAGATGGGATGAGCCGTTGAGCGGCAACGGCCTGTCGTCGGTGGGCGTAGATTTTTTCCAAGATGGATTCTTTCTTCGGGGGTGCTCTACCGTTGAGGGCGGCTTTGGCTTCTGCGTCAGGAGCAGCATACTGAGGGTTGTCCGACCACTTTCCGCCAGACATTCTCAGGAAATTCTTGAACATGACTCGACCATTTTCTGTCAGAATGCTTTCGGGATGAAACTGAACCCCTTCGATAACATAGTCCTTGTGGCGGACACCCATAATCACTCCCTTGCCTCCATCCGGCCCTTTGGCTATCCAAGAAGATACCTCCAGCGACTGTGGAAGAGTTGGATGTGTCCCCGCGAGCGAATGGTATCTCGTGACAGGGAGGTCTTGCGCCAATGTGGTATAACATCCTTTGCCATCATGCCTCAGAGGCGAGGTCTTTCCATGGAGGATCTCTCCGGTAACATCCACTTCACCGCCAAAGACCGAGATAATACATTGTTGTCCCATACACACCCCCAGGATGGGAATCTTGCCCGCAAAGTGTTTGATTGCCTCTTGACTTATGCCCGCATCGGTGTCAGGGTGGCCTGGGCCAGGGCTGATGACCAATTGTGTCGGCTTTTTGGCAATAAGCTCTTCAAGTGTCACTTTGTCATTTCGGTAGACCGTGACGGTGGCGCCTTCAAGGACGAGGTACTGGTAGACATTCCAGGTGAAGGAGTCATAATTGTCGATGAGGACGAGGTTGTTCGCAGAGGGTAGCTTTTGCGCGGGCGTGGGTTGGTGGGGAGAATGATCGATCAGAGCAGCAGGCGCCATGGTCAGTCTCGTGTGTTGGGAATATGGAATTTCCTCATCTGCTGACAGTGAGAACAGAGGAGGGGAAGTTGGAAGCCAGCTCGGTGGATGGAGCCCTGCCTACTGCGGCCTCTCTCTATCTCACTTTTTGCTTCCGCCGCAGTTTTCCCGGAGTCCTCTAGCACCACGCGCTGTAAGTTTAATCAAACCTCGACTCCCCGTCACTGATGTGTGAATGTCCCGAGCTGCTGCAGGTCAACAACGCCACAAAGATGTCAAGTCACGACCACCCGCTATGTATTCATGTGAACCAAGACCATGGCAAGGAGACCATTGTTTTCTTACATGCGCTACTCGCAAGTTATACCGAGTACGCCAATGTGATCCCGGCCCTCAACGACTATCACCTTATGCTCGTTAATCTGCCTTGCCACTCGCCCTCTCACGAAATCCCGCCCTTCGAACTTGGCTCTACCTCGGAAGTAGTCGCGGGGTTGATCGAAAAGAAAGCTCGGAATGGTCGAGCCCATCTTGTTGGACTTTCCATGGGAGGCTTTATTGCTCTGGAAGTAGCAAAGTGTTACCCTGAGCTGGTGGAATCGGTATTTGTTACTGGCGCGGTTCCTCTAGACGGTTGGCGGAGATGGTTGGCCGAGCGGCCTTTGATGCTCTACATGGAGTATGGTCTGGCTTCGTTCATCCAATACTGCCCCGATTGGCTTTACTGGCAAATCTGTTCCTGGCTGGGCATCCAGCGTCATGACGAGCTGCGCGATGAAACATGCCAGAATTTCAATTTCGACCTCTTGAGACAGGGCTACGCAGCGATACTGAGCTTCAGAGTGGAAGACATCAAGTCAATCAGAGCCAGAACTTTGATTGTAGCTGCATCGGCTCTGGACAACGTGGAAATAACAAGAAGGATGGGAAGACTGCTCAGGGAAAACAATGCAGAAAGCAAAGCTGCAGTGGTTACAGGCCTGGTTCATGCTTGGAACTTACGGTTCCCGGAGCTTTTTGCAGAGACCATCGTGGCGTGGGCTGAATGCCGCGACCTTCCCAAAGGTCTAGAAGAGCTGGTGTGACCCTTTGATAGCCAAGGGTCTGGTTTACCTGCAACTCATACTTTCTTGCAGCCTTCTGAGTGACACTCAATCCTGTGGTTCCTACCAATCTACCAGAGGTCCAGAGGTCCAGAGCTGGGATGCAGGATGAGGGCAAGATCGAATATACGGTAGACAGCATAGCGGCGGTATTAGTGATGGGCCTAGACTGAAAGGGGCAATAGAATAGTCAGCCAAAGCCACCTAATGACCGTCTTGGCATCGCAAAACACCCAAAAATTTCATTTTCGCGCTGGGGCACTGGCTGAATTCGGCAGCCTTGTCACAGGCAGTGAGTTTGACAAACTCACTGACCCACCTGCTCTCGTCCTAAGGAAGTGCTCATCGATCTACCGAGCCCAAGATCTCGGCTCGCACAGTTTTCCCTGGTAAAATCCCGTCTCAAATCCCATTCTAAACCCCCTCAGTCATGGAGGACGCGTCGTCACCACCGCCTCGACAACAGCAGAATTGGCGCTCTACCGCCTCGACGAACTGGCGCGTGAAAGACGACACACCGCGCGTGGACCAGCAGCCTCGCGCGCGGTCCAACCGTAATCAAAACGGGCAGCAAAATACCAACTCGACCCAACCCGCCGACGAAGCGCTGGGAACGAGGCTCTACATTGGCAATCTCCTCTACACAGCTCAGCGCGCTGACGTCGAAGAGCTGTTCACCCAGAATGGATTCAATGTCGTCGGGGTTAGTATGTCCACGGATCCCTTCACAGGACGAAACCCGAGTTACTGCTTTGTAGACGTGGAAAGCCCGGAAGAAGCCCAAAGGGCAATGAGTGAATTGAATGGAATGGACGTTCTCGGAAGAGCCGTTAGGGTCAGCCCCGGGGTGGCCAGAAGGCAGGGTCAGGGTCAGGGCCAGAGCCAGGGCAACGCCAGTGGCGCTGCAGGCGGGAGAGAGGTCAGAGTGAAGGATTTCGAGCGAGGGTGGGGAAGGGTACGTGAGTCGAGAGAGCAGAAAGGTATGCAAACGTCCAACAACGTCTTGTCGCGAGAGCACCCCCCGACCGTGAGATTGACAATACATAATCTGATGCATCCGCCCAATACAGACACAGAATACAACCCAACATTTGACCGCTGGAGCCGCACCGACGCCAATTCTCACTGGACTGCGCCCCAGTCAGAGGGACGACGGCTCTACCTCGGCAACATGCCCCGAATCGAGCCACAATCGGCGCATGACGAGGAAGTGCGGGCTCTCTTTGCCCAGTACGTCCCGGACGTCACGCCGACAGCGGTGTCCAAGCAGATCTCACCACGTCCCCCCAAGCCCGAACAGCCAGGAAACCAGTACTACTGTTTTGTCGACTTGGAGCGGCCTGAGGATGTCGACCTAGTGATTGCGGCGTTGGATGGCAAAGAGGGCAGTTGGGGTGGGAATGTGAGGGTCAATCGGGCCAAGGGTTCGGACAGGAAGGTCGTCAAGGAACAGGGCTTGGGCGGCGGCGACCGGCGAGCCTTTGGCGAAGGCAATTGGAGGAAGGCAGAGCCGCACTCTGAGGGTCAGGATTAAGTTCAATATGGGTCTCTGGAGAAGCGGATCCCCTGTAGATGGGCACAATGAAGAAGTATGGGCACCCGTGAGAGTGACAACCAACACTCTGTCAATTTGACCTTGGACACGGACTTCCTGATTCAGTAATCTGCTGGATATTAGTAGGCGATACTCGTCGAGGCTGCAATATCATCTTGGTGCTACTATTTTGCATGGTGTGTACCTCCCTATCAAACGAATTGAGGAATTGGTGGCATGCTGTCTCTAAATGTCGGTTGATGGTAAAGTCTACCCTTCACCTATACTATTAACCATTTTTTACGGACGGGCCCCTTTTTTGATCGAGCACGCTCTGGCTCTATCGTCGGGTATGTAGCGGATATTGTGTTCCAGACTGTGCCACGTCGCTTTCACCTTGGCTTGCTAAAGCAGGCAGGTGTATGAGTCGAATGGTCCGCCGCGAAGATCCCTATCGCTGGATGAGGCAGATCTACAATGCTGTTTGAGCAGTGACATTCCTCGCCTCCTCTGTGTCTCTTCTACACCTTGGCTGTCAATTTCACGGGATAGTCTGTTGTCTCGATCGCATCTGGATACACCAAGCCACCCTGCTTCCTCGCTTCATCCATGATTTCCATAATCAGCGTGGATTCCGCCCACGGTAAGGTGTCGGATTCCAGTTTTCCAGCAACTAGACAGCGGGCGGCAGCGTCGGCTTCGTGCTGTTGCAGGTAGCATAGATGTCAGCGAACGCCCTAGCTCACCCCAAATGCGGCGCTGAACAAAATGTCTGATACGGAGGACACAAATACATACCATCATACCGTGGCACCCTCCCTCGAACTCAAATTTCCGATCGAGGATCTCCGCATTTTTGTCCTTCGGTACCAGTCGATACCGCATCGGTCGATATATTGGGCCATACACTTGGATTTCGCCTTTTTCGCCTTCTATGCGTACTGCAGGAGTTTCCACATCTCCTTTCCCTTCGTGTCCTCGTGCCGGATCGTCGCTGACGCGCATAGCGGTGGTAGCCACGGCGTGGGCTTTGGTCTTCCCCGTAGGAGTCGATTTGGGAAATTCAAGGAGCATCAGTGTGGATTCATCGGCGCCAGTACGTGGTTCGGGAGTCATCGCTGCCCCCACCACTTTGGGGCGAGACTGATCCCGGAGCTGGGGAGGCAATGTATGGTACATTGTTTGGAAAACCCAGGTAAGAGCATAAATACCCAAGTCGAGAAGAGCCCCACCGGCTAGATCAAGGTTCACCATACGGTGGCCCAGATCGAACTCTTTCTCGGGTACCACACCAATACTTAAATCTGAAATAACTCGGATTACTTCGCCAATGTCATTGTCCGTGATGTGTTTCCTGATCGACTGACTGATGGGGAAGTAGCGAGTCCAAACAGCCTCCATGAAGAAGAGGTTCTTCTCTTTCGCGGTCTTGTATAGGATCTTAGCTTGCGCGGCGTTGACTGTGAGGGCTTTCTCGCAAAGGACAGGTTTATTGTGGGAGAGACAGAGCATGGCGTTTTGGTAGTGGTGAGAGTGTGGTGAGCCAATGTAGATGATGTCCACAGACGGATCTTTCACGAGTTCTTCGTAGGAGCCGTAAGGGGTACATTTTGTCGACTGAGATGCGGAAACGAACTTGGAAACGAACTTCTCCGCGGAGGACAGAGACGAGGAGGATGCGACTGCGGTAACGACATGAGAGATGTCCTTGACATTACGTGTGGTCGGGTCGACAAGGAGGTCTTTGACGAAGGTCTGCGCGATCCATCCGGTGGCTGCAAAGATGTTCTCAGTTAGGAGGGATAATGGAATGTCCCTGGGTTGAACGTACCCATAATGCCCCAACGTATTTCCTTCGACGAAGACATGGTAGCAAGAACCTGCGCAGTGAGAAGCTGTAGAAATATACCTAGATAGCAAAGCCTGTCGAAGGGATGTCAAAAGGGCAAGGAAATATAACGGAAATGCATCCATTGAAATGTCGTGGGGAAGTGCCATTTGTACCTGAGGCGCGGGGTCTGCCGTTGCAGCGGATCGACAGACTCGGTAACCCGCCCGACAACGACGATTCAGCCTGATATCAAGATCGGCGGCCCATTCGTCACAGCCGATGAGATATCGTTCATTGCCATCTCAAGAAAGGTTCAGACATGGCCGGGTCCCATGGCCATTCGGTCTTCTCGGACCTCATCCCGACTGGGTGCCGACCTGTTCATCGCTGTCATTACGGGTTTGCTGAATAATCTTGGCCATCTTCTTCGGTCAGTTGGTGGTAGTCGACCGGGTATGATTCCTGAATTCAAGTCTGTGACGGGAAAGATAAACAAAGGACGCGTGGCTCGCTTGTGCCAATTAAGTCTTGTATTCGTTTCGCGAAGTCGCAAGATATGTACTCAAAGTCAGAACCCTTTTCCGCGTGCGACTCACCATTTTCCAGGGCATGTTGGACACCCAGTTCCCGTAACTTGTACACATTTGCAGACACGGCTTGAATCTTTTCCGGAAACTCTTAATTTATCATTCCAGCGCAATTCGGTGCTCGTTCCGGAGATTGAAGCAAAGAGGTTCCTCCTCTTTTGTCATCGCCCATGTCTACCGCAATCCGATCTTGCTGAGGATGCTCCCGGTGGCTGGAGACTTCGAGTCGCCGAAAACGCCCAGGATACTCTTCCAAACATGATCTGGGTCTTGGCTGGCGTCGATCCCGGACCAAATGCCCTTGTTCTTGTAGTAGGCCACCACAGGGCTCGTCTGTGCATGATATGTTCCCAACCTCTTCTTAAGAGTCTCGGCATTATCATCGGTTCGTTGGATAAGAGGCTCTCCAGTGATATCGTCCTTCATGGGTTCCTTTGGTGGGTTGAAGACCTTGTGATAAGTCCGACCCGAGGCTGGATGGATCAGCCGGCCGGTGATACGGGAAACCAGTAGACCGTCGTCGATCTGGAGTTCGATCGCGTGCTTGAGAGGCTTGCTCTCTGCTTCAAGCATGGAGTCGAGGCCTTCGGCTTGGGCGACCGTTCGGGGGAAGCCATCAAGGATGAAACTGGCCACGTCAGTAATGAACACGGTATTTGTAGCACGGAATCTTACCCGTTGGCGCATTCTCGGTTCGTGTCCAACTCGTTCTTGATCATGTTGATCATAATGTCGTCGCTGACCAGGCCGCCTTGATCCATGATCTTCTTGGCCTCCTTTCCCAAAGCAGTCTTTTTCGCAACTTGTGCTCGAAGCATGTCACCAGTGGCCTGTAAGACTATCAATTTCTGGCCCGAGGACGACGGAGGCATGTAGGCATACCAGATGACACACGCAGTATTTTTCCTTGATTCGGGGAGCTTGAGTTCCCTTGCCTAGTGAGGGCGTGTCAGTTCGGACGCGTAATACGACGGGGGTAATGCCAAACCCACCTGCGCCCGGAGGACCGATGAGAATCATGCGCATAGAATCCGTGAGCGAGGTCTTCTTTTCGCCTTCTAATCTTCGCTCGAGAGACCAGACTCGAGCTTCGAGCTTGTGGACCAGGTCTTTCAAATCCTCGACATGTTGATCGGTGATGGGTGCCATGATGGCTAGGTAGCTGAACGAAGGGGACCTGACCAAGGTCGAAGGGCGGGCAGATAGCTAAGGTGATGTTGCTTCTTGCCTATTGAAATGCAAGTGAGCACAGAGAAGGATGGAGGGAGAAACACGGTGAAGAGGGCTAGTACAGAGCTGCAGAGGTGGGTGTTACGGAAGCAATTGCTTTGTGAGCTTCAAAAGTTCAGTGAGGACGAGAATCCTCCGGTTTACCGGGCGTTGCACCAGCCTCCCCCGAGCCCCGAGGTGCCAACTTGAGCTCCGGGTCGCCAAGAGGTCACGTTGGTCTTCCCTTCTGCCGAAAGTATTCCGATCTTTCTTCCATCGTCCTCCTCGTAACCACCCGAGCCCATCGTAGCAGAGCCATGGTTGAGCTCAACATCCGCGAGACAGTCAGTCTCAACAGCTATGTGGCAAACTGGTCACAGGCGGATGAAACGATGCCAACCAGTCAAGCCTGCGACTATTTCAATGGCATTGAAGCACAGTTTGTGAGAATTTTTGTTTTGCCCAGCCCGTTCCTCCAGTCTCACCTAGTAGAACGCACGGTTTACTGCTGACCCATGGTCTCCGGGTCATTTTCCCCTGTCCGCCCGTGCGAAGGCGACTCTTAATGGCGCGAGTGGCAACGAGCTCTCAAACAAGGACGTCTAGCAAAAGACCCTCTTGACGCTCCTACTTCTTATGGAACAATGCATAGCAGAGGGGCGCCTACTTCCATTCGGGTGGTCACTCCTGTCGGATGTAAAGAGACTTCGAGGCCAAAAAACCCTAAACCTATGCATAGCTGGGCGGCCAAGAACACTGGCTATTGACATACGATGCTTGTTGCATCAGATGAGCCGTTAAGCAATCCATCACTCGAAGCATCAGGAGGACATCACGTCCAACGCTCAAAAAACCAAGTGGCTGTCTATGCGCGACCAAATGAACTGATGCTAGCGAGCTAGCAGAGTCTGCACGGGCAACAGGCCTCATGTTTGCTCGTCTGCACGTTGTGTCTCCGCGATAGGCTGGTCTAGTAATGAACCTCATTTCCAACGTCTTCACCGTGGAGAAGTCGAGGCTGACATGATTTAGTTGAGTCGTGGAGTTTCAGTGAAACAATCCACAGTCAGAGAATGCCTGTTTTGATGGTGCCCCAATCTCAGCCTTGTTCAATACCCAGTCAAGGCACTGTGCTTTTGCAGACCAAGTGCAAGGCTATGATCTCTGGAAATAAGGACGCTTGCGCTGGAATTCTCTTCGCAGGGTCGTCTTTGAGCCCGACTATGACAACATGCTTCCTCGTTTACGCCAAGCGGTGTGGTTACAGATTGAATCGTCGGTAAGGGACTTCTGCATTTTACTACAGATAAGTGACATGTCACGCCTGATTTGTAGGCAGACAGCCCAAAGGTAATCTCTCTTCTGACCACGACGACGAAGTTGGCTCTGAACAAATATCGACGAGAATACGTTTTAATAACATGAATGGGGAGCGGGTGCGTGGCCACCATCACGAATTGAGTCAGCAAACCAGCATGGCTCGGTCAGCAGACACTGACAAGTTCAAGACGATTCATCCACTCAAACATGCTGAGGACTACCACTAGCGAGAAGGACCCTGTTCCTGAACGGCGCACTGCGAAAACACAGACTGCTGGATTGCCGACGAGTGCTGGGCCCACACAATTGTCAATACTCTGCGGGAGAACTCCTGAGCCGTGGCAGATAGAGAAGAGCAAAGAGCGGGATCGACACGGCTTTCTGCCGAAGCAGACGGCGATGACGGTACGATTTCTCCTCATTTTGCTGCTTCTTCATCTCTCAATGGCTGGGATATAAGTTACACGGCCGCAGAAATGTCGTCAAAAAGCAGGTTTTGCACTTTCCCCGCATTTTCTTCTGATTGACTTGCAGCCGCTTGCGGATCGACGGCACTTAGGGCGCCTAAGGCTGTCTGGAGGCAAGTCTCCTGAAGTGCCAGAAAACCCAGGAGTCTGCGTGGAACCAAGCATTTTCAAGCACATATAAGACTTGTCAAGCTCTTTGGGCGTCCGCGATGTTTCGGATGTGTAACCTTTGCCCAATTTCCCACCTGCCAAAATGCTTTGTCTCTTGATCATTTTCGGTGCTATCGGCTGTGTGAAAGCTCTTCCCAGTGCAGCTACTTGTTCCAACTCTCTTCCCAAGCCAAATGTCCCAGGAGCTATCGTTACCTCTTTAACTGCATCAGTAGTCCACAATTATGCCGTCAACATCACTGGTGAATCAAACAATTGGCCGGGTCAGAACATCACTGGTCTCAGCTTCTGTCAAGTCAATGTTAGCCTGAACCATCCAGGGACTTCGGACCATGTCAACAACCAGGTATGGCTTCCTCTGACCGGGTGGAATGGCATCTTCCTCGGCGTGGGAGGCGGAGGATATGTTGCTGGATCCTGGTCATCGCTGGCACCAGCTGTCCAGCGCGGCTATGCCGCTGTATCAACCGATGCGGGACACGCCCAGAATAACTCTGGAGACGCCACGTCGTGGGCGCTGGTCAGCGAAGGTGATGTGAACCAAAACCTCCTCCTTGACTTTGCCTCGAGGTCAGTCCACGACATGACGGTGCTAGGAAAAGCAGTTGCCACCAGTTTCTACGGGTCTGCACCCAAGTACGCGTATTGGCAAGGCTGTTCAACAGGCGGCCGACAGGGTCTTATGGAAGCACAGATGTACCCGAATGATTACGATGGCATTGTCGCCGCGGCTCCTGCCATCAACTGGAATGATTTTACTCCAGCTCAGCAGTGGCCGTACACCGTGATGAATAATGAAGGTTATTCCCCTCCTCAATGTGAGTTTGACGCTGTCAACGCCGCTGCTGTTGCAGCGTGTGATCATCTGGACGGCCTACAAGATGGTATCATTGGGGCTCCTGGACTCTGCAAGTTTGATCCTTCAAGCCTTGTAGGCAAAAACTATACGTGCCATACCGATGGGACAAGCAGGCGCTTTTCGAGCAAGACTGCGACCGTCGTGAAGAAGATTTGGCAAGGCCCGACCGCTGCCAATGGCACCGCACTCTGGTATGGAATTCTCCCCGGTACCAATTTCAGCTCGTTGGCGCCCACCGAGACCTTCACCAATGGCACGACTGTTGCAGAGCCATTTGATATCTCTGACAGTTGGTTCCGTGACTTCCTGTTCAAGGACGCCAATTACAACACATCTAACATCACTTACTCCGAGTTTCCAGGATTGATTCATCAATCTCATGTGGAGTATGACTCCATAATGGGTACAATGAACGCGAACCTCTCGGCCTTCAAAGCTGCCGGTGGAAAGGCGATTACATGGCAAGGTCTGGCTGACAACCTGATTATGCCGAATGGGACCATGAATTATTTTGGCAGAGTCAAGACCTTGGATCCGAATGTCACCGACTTCTATCGCGTCTTCTTTGCTCCTGGCGTGGGACACTGCGGCGGCGGAGGAAGTGGCCCGATCCCAGACGACGCTCTGATGGCTTTGAGGAAGTGGGTGGAGAATGGGACAGCTCCGGAAGTGCTTCCAGGATCGAGCGGGTATAAGATCAATGGGACTATTCGGCATCAGGACTTGTGCCTATATCCCCTTGTCTCAAAGTACAGCGGAAAGGGCGATCCAGCGAGTGCATCCAGTTTCACATGTGCAAAAAATTTCTGAGGCTTGGGGAGAGTCACAGCCCACCGGTGCCCCTCGCGAGGTGGAATCATAGTATCTGAGTCGAAGCTGGTGCTTTTGGTGAGCTTCTCACCAAAGTTCAATGCTAAGCAACAAATGGACGGAAAGCGAGATAACCGTCCTCGCCGTACCTATACTAGGTAGTGAAGTGGGTCGGATTGACTCAGCCTTGCGAATCTCGGCAGTTTGATTGGCGCACGGGAACGGGCCTGAAAACGCCTTAAGTTACAGCCTTGGGGCTGTTGATGACCCCATTCAACAAATGTTGGATTCCCACGCTTCATCTCGAACATTATTTATTTCTAGTCTCTGCTATAGAACTTTCTGAATTTGCTTCTATTCGTTCGTTAGAGAAGATCTTGTTCAGCGGCTTGCGTTGACTTAGCAGCGTGACGTCATATTTGCAGTTGTCAGCACCATCCTTCCTCGTCAGCTGCCATCTTTTGGTTCGATTAACCAGACTACAACGTCTCGGATAGAGATCACTTCGGCACCCGCAAATGCAGCGCTGGTCCTCCATAGTGAGGACGATAAGTGGCGGTGGAAATAGCACTGAGTTTCAGGGTAAGGCAACACGGAGAGAGCGCCCAGTCTGGCAACACCCGCTCTTCCCCAACCTCCACTGTTCGCAGCCGTGAGGATCTCACCAGGGCTTTCGATAAAGTAACACATTCTGGTATCGCTAGCTAACGACCAGAAGATCCAAAGTCGGATAAAAACAGGACATTGTTCCAAGCCTTTGAATGGTATCTGCCTGCTCCGCCTAGCGACTGTTCACTTCCAAGTGCGAGCCATTACGATACCTTAACAGCTCTCCTTCCACACCTCTCTGCATTAGGTATCTCGCACATCTGGATCCCTCCAGGATGCAAAGCCACGTCAGTGCATGACAACGGATACGGCATATATGACCTTTGGGATCTTGGTGAGTTCGATGCGAAGAACAGTGGCAAACCAGTGTTATCACCAAGGACGAAATGGGGCCATAAGGCGGAGCTAGAGCGATTCTGTGCAAAGGCAAGGGAACTGGGAATAGATATCCTCTGGGATGCCGTTCTCAACCATAAAGCCTCGCCAGACGGGAAAGAAGCTAGTTGGGGTGTCAAGGTAGACCCTCATGGTGAGTTGCACCCTCGAGAACATCGTGACCAGATAGCAACTGACCTCATAGCACAACAGACCGGACGAAGGCCATCTCTAAACCCTATGAGCTGGAAACATGGACGAAGTTCACTTTTCCTGGGCGGGGCACGAAGTACTCCGACATGAAGTACAATTGGAAGCATTTTTCTGGCGTAGACTACGATTCCCGCAAGAAAGATCATGGCATCTTCAAACTCATTGGCGAAGGAAAGCGAAGTGACTGGGCACCCGATGTCAGTAAGGAGTTGGGAAATTATGACTATTTGTAAGTACTCGCTCGGATCTCTGACGATTGAGGAGTTGGAGAAAACCACGAACTCACAGACTTGCCACAGAATGTTTGCAGATCTTGATCATTCGCATCCCGCCGTACGGACAGATATCTTCAACTGGGGAACTTGGATTACCGAGCTGCTCAATCTCGGCGGCTTCCGTCTGGATGCCATCAAGCACTACTCTCTATCTTTTCTCGCGGACTTTCTGACACATCTTGACACGAAAACATCTCATGGAACGAAGTTGTTTTTCGTTGGAGAATACTGGGACCCCGACCCGGAAGTATTGACTAAGGTCATCAAACGATGCCACGGACGGCTGAACTTGTTCGATGTTCAGCTGGTGTATACTTTCAGCGACTTTTCGAAAGGAAGGAAGCATGATTTGACCACGATCTTTGACGGCTCACTGGTACAACGGGACCATAGCCATGCAGTGGTAAGACCCTCGGCTCATTCCAAAGGCGTGCTTGAACTTGCCAACCTAACACGTTCTTTGTAGACGTTTGTTGCGAACCATGACACACAAGAAACCCAGTCACTAGCTGCGCCCGTTGAAGAATGGTTCATACCGCTGGCTTACGCGCTAATTCTCCTTCGCCACAACGGCGGGACCCCTTGTGTCTTCTGGGGAGACGTCTTTGGCAACCACGGCCCACGGCCTCGACTCCCAGCGTGCGGTGGCAAGCTCTCGCGACTCGTCGCGGCGAGGAAGCTCTACGCACATGGTCCGCAAAGAGACTATCTCGACTTGCCAGACTGCATTGGATGGACCCGACTGGGCCACAAATCCAATGCCAACGGAGCGGGTCTCGCTGTTATCATGACCAACAGCTGGGACAGGAAGTCTAAGAGGATGTTTGTGGGTCACAGGCACATTGGGGAGAGGTGGAGGGACATTCTCGGCTGGGAAGACAGAGAGGTCGTCATTGACTCGAAGGGCTTTGGCACATTCCCTGTCGGGCACAGGTCTGTCGGGGTCTGGACATGCGACAAGGCCCCCGATTTTGAGAAGATCTCCAGATTCACTTTTCCCAGATTGGGGCACAGTGCGGCTGCGCCGGATCCGAGCATGTTGCCTGTGTAGGGCAAAGAGATTACGTCTCCCTGGAGGAGGCGGAAGCGGCTGCAGAACGATCGTCCCGTGAAGCAAGCCTTCCTTTGCCCACATCTGCGGTTCCAGGCTTCCGTTCAGACGTCAGACGAGTAACGATGGCTATTTCGTTCGGGTCGACAAGCCTCCAACTTTGTGGTCACTTTCAAAATGGTCTCCAACATGCCCCTGACGCTGCCTCGAGGCCTTCTCCTCCTTCACAGAGACTCCACGGATTAGGGTTCCTGAGGCTGGAGCCTCTTGGGGAAATCTGGCTTCGAAGAGAAGAGACATGCTCCAGTCAACAAGCTGGTACATGACGCTCATCAGCGTTTAAGCGTTTAGGCGTCGAAGGGTACGGAGAGTATCCATAGTGGATCGGGGCCGTGCCACAAAAGTGCGGAATGGGTTGCGGGACCAGACAGATAGTCGGCCTATCTATACCGTGGTCTGACTTTGAACATTCTTTCTTGAAGGAGTTGGACTATATAGTCTGCTATTTGGGGACATTCAGCCCCTTGCAGGATCTGCCTCAATTTTCCAATCTGACCCCGCAACGTCCGTTCGTTTCCCTCTGACCCGTCCAGCGTGCTTGGTCTAGAACTGATACTTGAACTCGGGCGATCTGTCCGTGAACTCCTCGGGTGGAGTAACCACACCCTGGGCGCGTAGTTCCGCCTTCTCGGCCTCACGCCTCTCGTAGAGCACCCGTAGAATGATGAATACGATGAAGGCGAAAGCCAAACTACCCAGGGACCAGGCGTGCCCGAGGATAAATCTGGGTGCGTCTGTGGAGGCGTAGATTTGGCCAGAGATGATTCCGCCCAGGTTTGTGAGGGTGAGTTGGGTACCTAGGTGGGGGAGATTGGTCGTTAGTATTAAAAAAAGAAAGGGACAGATGTCAAATGAATGAGGGTAGCAGCAAGAGACCGAGACTTACCCAAACTTGCAGCTCGCTTTCCGTCTGGTGCCACATTGCCAGACAGCCAGGCAATGTTACCTCCTGTGCAGAGGAAGCAAGCGGTGGCGATCAGATAAGTGGCGAAATATTGAACTCCCACGGACACGTCGTCCATTTTCAAAAGAATGGCGTATCCCGCAATACCGACGGGAGCACACACCACCATGATCAGGAACCTCTTGTGGTATTTGTCAGAGATGACGGCGCCGACGGCGTAAACGATCGCGCCCCAGAGATTGACTGGGATGACAAGATACTGAGCTTGTTTGGTCGAGTAGTGCAATCCGTTCTTGATGATGATGGGCAAGAAAGTACCAAACCCATACAAAATCGTGACGACGGCAATTTGACTGACTCCGTGCAACCAAGTCTTCATGTCCTTCCAGGCCAGTTTGAGGTCCTTGACTTTGTAGTGGCCGTCGCCTCCGGAGTAGGACTCTGAGAGCTCGGCACGGACAGCCATGATTTTCTTCTCTTCCTCATTGAGGAAGTAGGCAGTCTGGTAGTTCTTGGGCACCAGGTATACGCACATGCCCGCCCAGACGAGGGTGATGAGGCCCTCCAAAATATACAGCCATCGCCAGCCGGGGTAATTAGCGACGCCATCCATGTACAGAATGCCAAAGGCGATAAGACCGCCAAAAGCGCCAGACAAAGCAGAGGCGACTATATGATGGTCAGATTGGGGCGCCTCCAGTGGTATTGCACAATACTAACTGAAGAGGTACGATATTCTCTGGGCCAATTCTTCTCGTCTGTACCAGTTGGCCAAGAAAAGGGTCATGGACGGAAACAGACAGCTGGGAGGCACAGGAGATTAGCTTCGTCTATTGCTTGGATCGGGTCAAAAAAAGTACCCTTCAAACCATCCCAGCAGGATTCTGCAGACACAAAGACCGGCAAAGTTCTGAATGAATCCCATACTCATACACACAAGCCCCCAGCAGAAGGTGATGATAGGGATAACTCGATGGAATTGAAGTCGCTTTACGAATAACGAGGTCGGTAGCTCGGCTAGCACATAGGTACAATAGAAGATGGAAACCGCAGTCTATCATCAGGTTAGTCAAGTGATAGAATTGATAGAATGTTGAGTGATACGAAGCAGCTTACATTGAGCTGATTACCATGTAGGCCGATATCATCAGCCATGCCTTGGGTAGCTGCGAATCCAATGTTTCCACGATCAAGATAGCTGATGAGCATGAGAAGCATCATCACCGGGGCGATGTACAGATCGAGCTTGCGCCGCAATTTGGCCTCCTTCTTTGCGAACTCGATTGCCTCTGGAGAGCGGTCTTCTGTAACATACTCGGCGATCTCAGCCTTTTGCTTGAGCTCGAGCTCCTCGGCCTGGTTTGCCATGGTGATGTTCCGTTTTCCTTTCTCACAATCTGAAATGCGAGACTTTGGAAAGTTGGGCTCGGACGATGTGAGAGATGGCTCAGTGCCTTTGTGGAAAGACGGGAATCTTGTCCCGGAGCCCTGCTTATGATTCTCAAGCGAGTTGGGGAATCAAGTCCAGACTCAACCCACATGGGGAAAATCCTTGTAGAACATCCCAGGAGGTGGACATCCGGTGGACATCTCCTGATCAAGCAGATGCATAGTCACAAGGCAGAGGAGGCAATGACACCGGTGACCCTAACGTAGAGGGGATTCTCCGGCCAAGAAGCTTGATTGTTTGACCGTGATACCGTCTATCAACAAGGTCCATAGCCTTTTGTCTCGGTCGCCAAGGTGGGACAAGTCATGATCCGCAGAATGTCATCTGCCGCCATTGGTGGAACCTGTGGGTTTAGACCCGAGTTAGTGATGTGCGCGATCCTAGGCTGGGCCCAGTCCAGAGGAGGCATAGAGTGCTGATCGGTAATGCCTCGAGACTCTGGAGTCGAGAGTGTCGGGAAGAGCGCTAGCTACCAGGTAGTCAACGGTCAATGTAACCGCATCGTCCATCTTATGGAGACTGCGGAGATTGGGGTTTCTCCAATCGGCATGTAGATTCACCATTACTGTTGTTGGAGAAGTCGGCAAAGTGCGTCTCTGCGAGACGATGGGAGCCATGGGTGTTTAGAATTGTCCACCCAGCCTCGACGAAGCTGGACCGACACGATTTCAAGACGCAGGGGGGAACAGCTATTGCCATCATTAGATTTGGAATGCGTGAATTTGGGTATGGATGCTTTTGGGAGGCTTTCCCCGTAAGATATCAGCCTTGTCATGATTTGCCCAGTCGCTCAGCCAGTATCGGCGCAGCGACGTTGGATGTATGCAGACTGAGCTGAGTTGCAATTTCCAAAACTTCCATGATTTCTTCCGGTGTACCACCATAGTTCAAAACGTTCCTCATGTGCAGCTTTAATCCTGGGACATAAAGATGAGTGGCGGCAGCATCGAATGCACAGTATACCAACTCTTTCACCTGCGAAACCTGTTAGCGGGAACTAATTGTTGAGAACGACAACAGGCTGACCTTGGGTTCCAACGCGCCACCCTTGCCTGAGCCGTCCACATTTTTGAGCCAAGGCACAGATGAGAAATTTAAATACGCCTCAAAGAATTCGGGATCCAGCGCTAGGAAATCTTCCCAGAAAGGGTGCCAGTACCCTCTGTTCTTTGTAAAGTCTGCCTTCAACTGCTCCCGCTTCTCGTCAAAAGGTTTGCCGACGGTGGCATGTTTCTCATATATGCCCTCCTCCTTCATAACTTCGACCAGTAAGGGTACTCCAATGTTGCAGGCATGGATTCCCAATGTTCCCGTCAATTCAATCACTTCGATGATCTCGGCCGGAGTTGCTCCCTCTTTCAACGCAGCATCAATATGTTTTCGAACACCCGGGATGTAGAGATGGGTTGAGGCAGCGTCGACAGCGATCGACATGAGTTGCTGGATCTTGGGAGACAAGTATTTCTTCTTCTTCGGCACCGCAATGAGATCGACACTGGCTTGGAAGAGCTCAGGGCTGAGCTTTGCGATGCTTTCCCATGATTCGTCCCATTGCTCCTCGCCCAGTTGAGACACGAAGGCTTTCTTTAGTTCCGCGGGGTCTTTTGGCGGGGCCATGGCTTTGTGATAGAAGTTGCTATTCACTCAGGGGAAATCGAACACAATATCACAACAACCTACCTAGGTAGACAATCGCTGCAGTTATGTCGCGCGGTATAGAATTGGAGAAAAAAGGCGGAGTTGGAACCGGTTTCAACCGAACCACGCTCAGAAATGCGGGCGTGTGGGGAAAAGATGAATTTCCACTTTCGACCGACGACTACCCGGCCGGTGGTCTCGTCGTCTGAGTGTACTGTTCCGAGTACACACCTAGGTACCTGAATACGAGTACCTAGGTGTTGCTATGTGCTGCCCCACCATCAATGCCTCGGAAAACCATGTTGGCGAGGTCCAATGGAGACACTTTAAACCTGAAGACAATGGGCACAAGAAAACAGGCAGAAGGATTGGCAGTTTCGTGGGATTACGCCCAGTGCTATGTTTCGAGGTATGTTAATGGTGTATATCAACGCGACGGAAAGGCCTTGCCCGGTGTGTGATCACACTCGAGCATGGATCCAGATTTCAAGAGCTGCCAAAGAACCTTGATCGGTTTGCTGGATCCTCTTCCCACTCAAAATCATGCGCAAAAATGACCTCGACTCCAGTCAATTCCAACTGTTGGATTCGTTCAATGGTTTGCTCCGCCACTTTTTTGTCCGCATGAATACAACAGATATGGCCATGTTCGTCAAGCCACTCTCCAATTTGTCTCTCATTCCTCATGATCCGTCTGTCGTGGCACGCATCTCCGGCCAAATAAACACTGCTTGTAGGACTAGTCCGGGCCAGTAGGTTAATGTGACCGGGAAGATGACCTGGAGCGTCAACGATTAGGAGACTGCCGTCACCGAATATGTCGAGGGTCCGAGGTAGGTTTCCATGAGCCTTCCATTCTTGAGAGAAATTTGGACCGTGGGCTCCCAAGGACTGTCTCTTCGCCTCTTCCTCTACGTCTTCGTAAGGGTTGGAAAGCTCGATCGTTCTCTCCGCGGGTAGTAGATCAGACTCGAAGAATGAGTGACTCCCTCGTAGTGATCCATTGCCTTGCAGCAACGCATTCGCGCCGCTCCCGATCACAAAGGTACTTTTAGCGAAGTCTCGAGGTTCTCCTACATGATCCCAATGGACCTGTTGGCGCCTTCGTCAGCCGAGCAACAGGCTTTGAGTGCGTAAGACTTACATGAGAGTAGATGACATAATGAATGTCGTCGGGTGTCAATCCCCCTTTAGCGAGACTGGCAGTCACGTCGGGGAGAGTTGTCATGGGCTGTCTCGTCCCGGCATGTTTCTGGATCGGTGGCGAGTACCTGTTAATGTCTCGGCGGAGGCCGAGGTCGAACACTATCCGTGTTGTTTGACCCGACTCTTGATCTCGGTGGATAATCAAAAAAGACAAAGAGGGAACGGTTCTTCGGGCGGTCTGCGAGGCTGGATGTACAAAGAACCGTTCCGGAAGCGAGAAATGACCAGCGGAAAGAGCGTGTACTTCGACTGTGGCTTCGGAGGGGCTCTCTGGCGGCGACGGCGGTGCCTGGCTCAAATACGGGGAAGACATTCCGCCGCTGCAGGTCCTGAGGATGGTGTCGAAGGAGCACTCAGTATCCTTGATATGACTTGAGGAACATTTCGGATTTTAGCAAGATCGATATTGACCCAAGATCTGTTTCCCATCGCGGTCCCACTTGCTGGAGGATGGCCGTTGGGGTAAGAAGCATAGCCCAAAGCAGCTTCGCCATGTTTTCACACTTCTCCAATAACATGAGCAACCGGGCCAAAGGGACCCGTGTTCCACATTCCTAGATTCAGGCAGGGAATCCTTGGATCGGCGGGTGAGGTGGGCGGGCGGCAAGTATCCTAGGTACCTACCTCGTTGACCTGGAATTGATGAAAGTCTTGAGCCCGCCTCTCTGGGTAGGCAGATACTCTGATGGGAGGCACAGGGCGCAGTGCAGCTGAAAAAGCCGCGGATGATAACTCTTGTCATTGCATTCGGCGGCCCAGGAGCTGTCACTGACCGACGATTTCTTGATAAAGAGACCGAGGAGGCCACTTGGTAGGCAGCAAATTGATTCTTGTATGCACGACGTGTGTAGACGAGTGAACAGAGTGATCTGAGAACGATACTCGGCAGACAGCGGTCATCCCTCGGGCGCAGCTGAATGCAGCCAATCGCTTTCAGTGGGCTTCTAGGAGTGCCTTCTCTCAGTTTTAGTACTCAGTTAGGTCACTCGTGGCCACTCCTAGGCGGTGGCGCCCTAGGGGTCTGGGCAGTGGGCATGCCACTCCTACTGGATGCCTACCTAGGTACTCATACATACCTACCTACTTAGGTACCTAGGTAGGTACGGAGCCCCGCAACGTGTGGCCTGTTCGCCCCATGTTTTCCTCCTGCGGTGGTGGCTCGGCGCATCTCAAAGCCTGGTCAGTGCTCGCCTGCACATGCGGCGTCCACCGACCTGCTGCCACCACCACCAATCTCTCCGCAGCCACCCCAGGAAAATTCCCCCCCCAGAGCTTTCATTCCCATCGCCAACCAACTCGAGCTTTTGTCCAGATACCTCTTTGGGCAGCCCCAAGTCGCCCCCCATAGCTTCAGCATCTTGTCGTAGCGACAGGCAGAAATGCTTTTGAGCCCTTCGAGCCCATGATTGACGACAACATCAATGTGGAGATTGACGGCCCGGAGTTGGAGGAGGACCGGAATCAGGAAACGCCCCCAAAGAAGCCCAAAAGATTCCAGTGCAAACACTGTCAAAGGCTGTTTGCGCGTCTAGAGCATCTTCAACGGCACGAACGCACTCGTATGGCTCTCTGTCACCTTATTGCTTTGCACGCGCGCCCCTTCTGACCTCTTGCAGATACCCGAGAGAAACCTTTTGCCTGTAACCAATGCGACAGCAAATTCACAAGAAGGTATCGTACCCAGCTGGACCATCGGTGTCGCAAACATTGGTAGCTAACTTTGATGGAGTGACCTTCTGGTTCGACATGAGAGACTCAGTCACGACGCTGAACGCTGGGGAAGAAATGGTCGAAATAGCCAGAGCAATGGTGCTGCCAGTTCAACACCATCATCAACAAGTCGAAAACGACGGAACACCGATGAACACCACGCTTTGGATCTCCCAGACCCTCCCAGCATGACCTCCAGCGATTTCAACGCCTCCCAAAGCATTGTTCCTAGCTACCTACCTGCAAATTCGAATCAGAACACGAGCAGCACGCCAAATGGTCATGACCTTTCCTTTGCAACGTTGCTCATGGCTGCGGAGCATGCTCGACCGCAGGATACCCAGGCTCATGCTCCTCTGCGACAGTCAAACCCTCTCGCAACTCCCATGTTTCCTGTACAGGACCAGTTCCTACCCGAACCGACCCCGCAGGATTCCATTCCAGCTCCAGCAGATCAGGTCAATGGCATTGTGGGATTCGATTTCGAGGACTCTCTTCAAGATCTGGCAAACTTCATGGACAATGGCGCTTTATCCTCTTATCATTTTTCGTCGATGATCAGCGCCGAACAGCCCATTCCCTTCTTCTCACCAGAGTCCTTCACCCACGCAACCGACGTGCTTCCAACCACCGAGCCCCGTCAGATCTCACGCCCTGTATCTCGTCCACTCCCAAATCCAGATCATCCCGAAGATTCGGGTTCCTTCTCGCGCTTCGGGTCACGTCTGCCGTCGCTGCAACCGGAAGAAAGTCCTTCGGCACCACAGAGCGAGCAGAACAGCGTCCATCGTCCATTATCCGACCTCAACGTCGAGGACCGGCAAAATGTCTCGTTGAAGTTGGCGGAGTTTGCCCACGTGGTGCCCAACAGCTTTCAGCTCCCTTCCCGGCTAGCGTTATCAAGATATCTGGCCGGCTATGTCAATGGCTTTCACGAACACCTACCATTCCTCCATATTCCCACCTTATCTGTGAATAATAGTTGCATCGAGCTTATCTTGGCAATGGCAGCAGTCGGCGCACAATACTGCTTCGAGGGCCAAAAAGGTGTCGAGTTGTTTTCTGTCAGTCAATCAATAGCCATGCAACGCATCCGCCAGAGGGACGCCAGATTAGCAGCCTTCCATCGGTCGGCAGAGATCTCGCCGCAATATTCCGGGCATGGGAAATCTAGCGATTTGGTGACAGGAGAAACACCTCGCAGTGGCTCCATGTCAGGGTGCTTGGGCCTGCCGTCTCAGCCAGACTTCGACTCTGGCTTGCAGAAGGAAGATCTGATGCAAACAGCACAGGCGCTGCTGTTGCTCATGGCGATGGCTACCTGGGCTAAGCACCGGGAAATTCTTCGTGAGGCGCTTGCGATACAGAGCGTCCTAGCGACACTGGTGAGGGACGACGGTTTCAAGAGTCAGCCAATGCCCGAAGACATTAGTTGGACAGATTGGATCCGACGGGAGACGACCAAACGCACCAAGTTTATCGTCTTCTGCTTTTTCAATCTGCAGACCATTGTTTACAACGTACCTTCGCTTATATTGGCATCCGAAGTTGATCTCACCTTACCTTGTAACGCCGCGGAATTCAAAGCGCCAACCGCAAGCAAATGGAAGGAGGTACGGGCTCGCTCAACCCCGGAGATCAGCTTTCAGACAGCCTTGCATCGCTTGTTCTCCCGGAATAGTAACGATGTGAGCACATACAATTCTTCAGTGGGCAACTATGTCCTCGTACATGCACTGTTGCAACATATATTTTTCGTCCGCCAGATCTCTCGATATCGACTTGACAACGACGGCGATTTACGATCTGATGACGTCGCCGCCATAGAGCAGGCCCTGAGAAATTGGCAATTGGCATGGAAACGCAATCCCGAATCGTCCCTTGACCCCATGAATCCGAACGGACCAGTAACTTTCAACTCGACTGCGCTCCTACGCCTTGCCTACATTCGCCTCAATGTTGACTTAGGGCCCGGACGGGCGCTCGATACTCGCGACCCTATTCAAATTGCCAACGCCTTTCGGGACAGCCCTTCCGTCAAGCGGACACCAAAGCTCGTCCGAGCAGTCCTACACTCTGCTCATGCTCTAAGCATTCCAGTCAAGATCGGTATCCACCTTGTTGCACAGACGCAGACCTTCATGTGGTCCATCCAGCATTCTTTGTGCACACTGGAGTGCGCTTTCCTGCTAAGTAAATGGCTGGAAGCATTGAGCCTGCCAAACTCGGGTCCAGCGATAACGAATGACGAGCGGAAAATAGCGACTTTGGTCAAGACTATGCTGGACGAGACAGAGTTTGCGATGCCTGTCGATGTGGCCATCGAGTCGCCTGCTGCAATGAAATACCTCAGCGCGGGCGTGCTGAGGGTATGGGCACAGGTGTTTCGCGGCGCTCAGACATGGGCAATTGTCGACGTCATTGGAACGAGTCTCAACATCTACGCTGATATGCTCGAAGCAGGATGAGTGAGTACATTGACCTCCTTTTCGAGTCTGTAGCTTGTTGCAATCCACAAATACCCCTTTTTGTGGCAGCATTTGTCACGGTGTATTGCCAACTGCACAGTGACTCAAGGAGGGGACGCCTCATCTCAGGCAGAGCATACGATATTCATCCTAGAGTTCGTCGATTGTGTCATGGTGCCTTCAGTCAGCGTCCTCTGGGTATGCAAAGCAACGAGCGTAAAGCTTGGCCCACCAGGGACTGCTAGAGCTTGCCGAAGGCCGACCAGCTCACGTTGCGTTGCTGATCGGTTACCCGTTACATTCGGGACAAGGGCTACATCTCGCATCGGTCTGCTGCGAGGACGACGCGCATGTGGGCGGTGGTACTCTGAGCACCTCGTATGTGATCCATGCAAGTTGAGCGCAAGGGCCGAAGTCTATCAAAGCCGCCTTACATCTTTATCACCTTAGCCATGATGGTGCTAGTGGCGACATCACTCGCGCACTGACAAGATCACTGGACACTCTTCGTCGTCGATGGTGTCATAATAGCACCCAGCTAGGCTACCCCTGAAAGGTAGCATATCAGTGCACAGCACCAAGCATGAGATCTAAAACTAGGCGACGACCGAGAATAGCAGTCAAAGTTGAAGCCATATATGGCGTGAAACTTTTTCTTTATGTTCAAGCACGTTCTGTTTCTCCCCAGTGTCTTCCTACCGTATCCCACCTCATTTCTTATCTCCATTGACCGCGTCTTCCGGCCGTCCCTGGTCATTCAACCACTTGTAAACCACGCGGGCATCTTTACCCTTGTATCTCTGGTCGGCCATGGCCTCATCAAAGGCCGCCAGAGTCGGTTTATCCAGGATAGTGCGCGCGCCGACCATCTCTGCCAAGCTCGACCCCATCTCCAAGACATGCTTGCACAGCTCAATCCTAAAGCCTCCCTCGTAGCCTCGACTCGCGGGGGCGTTGGCGTGGATCCCGGGTACAGGGTTGGACTGGGAGGTGACCCAGCATTGGCCACCACTCACATTGATCACGTCGGTGAGCAACTTGAGATCCAGACCCATCTTGGAGCCGATGTTGAGGGCCTCGCTCGCTGCCAGACTGGTGATGGCGGACAGGTAGTTGTTAATCACCTTGAAGGCGGTGCCGGCCCCGACGTCGCCGCAGTGGAATATACTGTCCTTCTTGCCCATGTGCTGTAAATACTCCTTTGCGCGCTCAAAGGCGTCGGTCGTAGTGGCGCCGACCATGAACGTCAATGTCCCCGCTTCGGCGCCCATGGGCCCGCCACTCACTGGCGCGTCGACAAAGTCGAGCGTAGCACCCGATGCGAGTTTCGACGCGGCCTCCTTCGCCGCAGCCGCGACTTTTAAAATGGTGGCCGTTTCGATCGTGCCGCATTCCATTATCAGCTTCTTCTGCGGGTTTCCGTTCTTCGAAACCTCAATGGCTCCCGGAATGACACCTGTTGTCGGGTCCAGGTATACTTTCTCCACCGAGGCCGCCGTGGGGAGCATGGTTATCAGGGTATTCGCGCGCTTGATGGCCTCGTGCCCGTTGGACACGACCTCGATGGGTCCCTTGGACGAGTTTTCACTCTGGAACTTCTTCAGTGCGGCTTCCGAGACGTCACAGATCAGGAGCGTCTTGCTCGAGGGCATTTTGGCGCGCAGGTTGACGGCCATGGAGTAGCCCATGACGCCGATGCCTGTCGAGAGAAATTTGTTAGAATAGGTGATTGTGTATGACAAGGAATGGAAGTCTGAGCCCTTCTCTTACCGATAAAAGCGACAGTATCTTGAGGAGAAGCCATGGTTGTCGACGAAGTTCGATCGCCTGGCTCGTGTGTGGTCTCTGGTGATACTTCTAGTTCGCTTTGGGCTGCGGAGTACTGTCTTTCCGTGTAGTAGGTAGTATAATACAGACGCACGACTGTGTTACTTGGACAAAGTTAGGTCAGCCTCGTGGTGTCGTCCCTTCGTGTTATGCAAGATGATACGTTCCAAGGCGATCAAATCAACAAAGTGTCGTCGACATGCTTTTTGGCCCTCCTTGGGCCACGATGAATGAACGGCCACTCCACACACGCCCCCTCGGAGTCGATGCCGAAAAGAACTCCAATGGGATGGATCATTGTGCGGGATTTGACGATGCGGGATGCGTTTGAAATTGTAGGTGCCCAAATCACGAGGTACCTCGTACCTACTCCGTCTGCTGCAGGACCGCAGTGTCTGGGCGGCTTCTCCCACAATACCTCGTACTCCGTCCCCTCCCATTAGACACCCAGACCACGTTGGAGAAAGGGAACAGGTCGCCAGGTGCAAGTTTGGGGTTGGGGAACGAACCCAAGGAGAAAGTCGTTGGAGGTTTTAGCCGAGGCTGTTGGCTTTCGTCGATTGTGGCGGGGTTCGGGGAACTTCTTCTCCAATACTAGTAAATCCGGGCAGCAAGGCTCTCGCACTCGGCGAGTCGGCTACAAAGCATAGGCTCTGTAGAGCGGGCAATCCCTGATATTGATGGACAGGGGTAGGTTCATCAAAGTATGCTCGATACATCTAGTAGTATCCAAGTATAGGGGAACAAGTCGACAGGGGCTAAGGGACCATGATGTGCCAGAATGGCACCCGATATCCCCCTTGGAGCTTGACACGCTGCTTCACGAGGCTTGATTCTCAGGGGCCGCAGGATCATGGAGAGAGGACAAACATCATCTCAAATGCCACTGAAGGCCACCTAGGTGGTGCGTACACACATAGGGCTATATTTATATCGCATTCAAGCTGTCTGACAACGGAGGGTGCCACATGAGGTGCTTCAGGCAGCGCACTCTCAGGTAGATCATTCTTCATCAGGCCTATAGTAATGTCTCAGAATCACACGCATAAGGGAGAAAAGGACAGCCTAGTAGCCGACGAGGCAGAAATATATTTCTGTCGAGTGGTGTCTTCATTCGACGACAACTCGCGATCAAAGACGCCTGGTCCTCGATCCCATCCCAGTTACCTCTCAAGACCTTCTTATATAGTCCCCGGGAAGAACTTGCTCTTATTCGCCTCTCTCCAGTCCTTGTCATGCGCGACAATCACTTCCACTTCCACCTGCTCCCCGTTTCCTCCCGTTGCAAACACGGGACACGGCTTCTTCAGCAATGGCCCGATCTTTGCAATGGTCTCCTTAGCCTGCTCCGTGTCCACATGTACAGACCTCAACCCGCCGTGACCATCATCATATAATGCAACATCCTTTTCGCCCGTGAGAATCCGCGGGTCGTGACAGCAGTCACCGCCCAAGTACACCCACTTCGTGGGCCCGAGACGCGCCAGGAGGTTGACGTGTCCAAACAAGTGGCCTGGAGCGTCAACAATGTACACGCTCCCGTCGCCGAAGAAGTCAACTGTGTGGGGAAATCCCGCGAAAGGTTGCCACGTATGTTTGGTCTGTGACTTCGCAGCCGTGGTGCTTTCCTGAATTGTTGGTGGTAATTCGGATGTGCGATCCTTTGGTAGGAGGTTTGGATTGAAGATCTCTTTCGGGTAGTGAGGTGGCGCCCCGTGTTCCAGCAAGTGCAGTGTCCCGGACCCGACGACGAATTGAGAGGTGGAGAAATCATCGGGAGTGCCCTCATGGTCCCAATGAACATGGGACAGCATGACTATGTCAATATCCTTCGCGGGATCGAGTCCTCCTGCTCGTAGACTATCAGCGCAGTCGGGATGGAGGATGGTGGGTTGACGGTTGGCAATATGAGCTTGTTGCGCTTGCGGGTATTTGCTCAGATCGCGTTTGAGGCCCAGATCGAAGACGAACTTTGTCACTTTCCCATCTGGAGACGGATGCTGTATCAGAAACGATAGAGAGGGCACGGTGGCTTTCTTTTCAGGGTCGGCATCCGTGATGAAGAGGTATTCGGGTAGAGTGAGCTGTCCCGCTTCGAGGGCAGATACCTTCACGTAGACGTCGTCTTTACCTGCTGAGCCCATGGTGGAATTACTTCTACTCACAGATTCCTTGCGGCGCAGCTTTGTTCAAAGTATGATCAACGACCGGGCTGCTGTCGCGTGGTTTTGAAAGTGAGGCCTGTTGCTTCCCCGCAAATGGAGTCGACAACAGCGCAGTTTGGTTGCCGCGTTGTTTGGAGAAAAAGGCCGATTAACGGAGCAGCCCCAAGCAGGCTCCAGCTGCGACAGAGTGGTATCAGATCTGAATTGGAATAGCTACATATCATAGAGAAGGGCATAATTTCTACCACAAAGAGCAGCAATCGTCCCTGAGTTGATCAACACAAGACAATACGATCATCGTCTTTGCGGCTCAGCTTCCCCGGTCAGAATAACAGCCACACGTCTCAAAATCTCATTCGGCCACAGTTTGCCGTTTCCATCGATGCTACAGTCCTCATTGTTCTCGAGGTCGAGACATCGGCGGGGACAAATCCGGGAGTCGTCCTCGTTGGAAGGAGCATCTTCTTCATAGGCGGTGCATCCGCTGACAGTGCTGTCACTGCTGAGGACCGACAGCGAATCGTCCGAAGAACTCGAGGCCAGACTGAGCGAATCCCATTGTGGCGTCTCTGCCAGATGGACATGCTCTTTAAAGAAAGATGAAGAGAGGTGCCTCTGCCTGTCTAGGGTCGCCAAGTCAAGGGAGTCCGAATTGCCGCAGTACGATGTGTCTGCATCCACGGGGTCTGTAGACGAGACAGTGCTAGGGCGTGTGGATCCCCGAGAGCCATGGGACCCAGTGCGGTCATGCATTGACGAAGCTTCATCCTCAGCGTCTCCCATTTCAGCCTTCATATTGTTGTCCGAATGAGTGTCAGCGTCCTCTTCATCAATCTCAGTGTCTCCCATATCGGTATATTGATCGTTGTTCGAATTAGTGTCGTCGTCCTCGCCAACAGGGTGACCGCTGTCTCTCCTCGCACAGTTCCGCGAACACCGGGAGCTTTCTCCAACGAACCCGAACTCGTAGCAATAGATATCGTCCATATGGATATTGTATTTGTGATTGGCTGTCTTGAGGACATTGCAATTGCGCCATGGGATATTGAATCGCAGCGAAGCCCGGGCAGCCTCTATCTGTGCCTTCAAGTGACTACCGCAGTGCCGACATAGCCATTCGAATCTCCGTAATGATGTGTCGCCCGTGTACATGGATCTGGCTGGCTTGTCCCGTATATACCTCATAGCGGAGAAAGGAAGGTACACAGCTAGGTGGAGTCTGTGAAGCTGGTGGCTTCGGAGTTGGACCCGTTACAGGGACAATGTTGTGAAGACGACCTCTGTATCAAACGAGAGTAGATTGAGATATGCAGAAGTATGGTGAAGTCCTATAGATGGGATTAAAGATTCGACATAACAGCTGCGAGCGCCAGAATGGGTGTCAGGTTGGAGCGACGTAGAAGAGACCGAGTATAAGTCGAATCGAGGTCCATGGTTGCCTTCTGGTGCAATATTGCTTGCCGGAAGGTACCCTGCTGTCGAGCAGGCGCCATCTCGAGACGCGACCTGCTCATCCTTCGCAACAAATCTCTGCTGAGTTATGGCACTTTCCAGTCGAACTGCGGCACAACTTGGCTGACAAGTGGAAGCCGTGTCCTTTTCCTGCCCCTAGCCTGGCGGATTGGCGGGTGTTCGAAAAGTCGTGATCCTAACGGTTCGCATCCTGGCCCACATTGCTTCTGAAAGCCACCATTCCAGCAACGGACATTAGGCAGTGAGAGAAACCTCATGGAGTCAGGGCGCTCACTCCCCACCTGGGTCGATCTATTCCTGCTGGCGTGGGAGCGAGGTAACAGTAGATCGCAACCCCCCAAGTGTCTGCCCACTATATACCCTGCCGTACACTATCTGTACACGGATCAGGTACTGCCACTCCTTCGAATGATGGGTACAAAGGAACCAACCTTCAGCATTGTGAGCATTGGTGATGCGTGAAAACTGTGTCAACATTCAATCCTGTCGAATAGTCCTATCTCCGAAGGCCAAGCCCTTCAAGGGCTAGCCGGACGATAACCCTGCCTCAGCTCAAATACCTCTTTTCTTCAGACTCGTCCAAAGGCGACAGCGTCAACTCTGCGCCTTTGCCGCCCCAGAAATCCCCGGGGCTCTCCAGCATTACCGGTTCCTCTATTCCGGCCTGATGCCGCCGAACTCGCACTCGCAAGCCGCAAGTTTTGATCGTACCAGGCGGACGCCATGAGCTTGAGTTCACGCTGGAGAATGATGTTTTGGTTTGTGAGTCGTTCGATTTCTGATTCCTCATCCAGCAAGGGGGAAGAGCTAGCTGGAACATCTTTCCCCATGGGAGGGGGTACGACATCTTGCTCGGCTTTCTGTGATTCCTTTTGGCGTTCGATCTTCTGCATGTCCTTAATCGTCTGGTCCTGCTTCTGGACGTGGTCGAGCAGGAGCTTGTTCTTCGTCCGTTGTTGCTCAATCGCCAATATTAGTTTCTTTTGTGCGCGCAGAGACGATTCTCTTTCCGTGGCAGTTCCAGCCTGTGCTTGCGCACGCATAGCAGACATGATTGCTTTCAACTCTTCTTCAGAAATGGTCTCCTTATCCTCGAGACCAGGGATGCTTGTTTCTGTTTCCCTCGGAAGAGTGAGATCTGAATCCTTCGCTGCTGGAATGGTGGTGCCTCCGTTCAGTAATGCAGCGGCAAGGCGGGCTTCTGACTCGGCGAATTCTGCTTCTTCTTTCTCAAAGTCTGTATTGACCGGGTCCGGAGGCTTTTCCTCTCTTGGCGCTGGGGTAATGCCTTCTTCGTAGTCACGCAGGCGGCTTTGTAAATCTTCCAAAGCATGATTTTGGCGAGATAATTGTTCAACGGTGTCGTGATACCGTGCTTCCAGTGCGTGGTAATCAAACTCGAGCCTCTTTTTCATCTCGTTTAACTCGTACCGTTCCTGTTCGATGCTGGGCAAGAGGCGACGGTATTCATCAATCTCTCGGTGCAAGTCACTCGAGTTCGCCTGAGCAAAATCAGACTGCTTGAGTTGATTTTGCAACTCTGTCACTTTAGCCCTGAGATTCGTGTTGTCCTTCTCCAGGTCCTGACTGGCTTCCAATTTCTGTCTATATTTCTCCGCTGTATTTGCCTTGCGGGCTAGACGATCTCGATCAATCTTCATCTCATCGTAATCGTCTTGCAACTTTTGGGCCTTTTCGGCCTTGATTTTGAGGACCTCGTTGTTCTTCCGGAGCTCCTCCACTTCGGATTCGGCCTCGAGTACACGGTTCTCTAAAGTGGCAATCAGGGTGTCATGTTTGGAGTCCAGTGGCCGGGTCGAGATGTCGGATTTTCCTGCAAGGATGGCGGCCAGACGGTCGTTGGATTCTTTTAGGTCATCTTGAGCTTGGTCGAAACGCTCTTGCAGTTTCTCGTAGCGTGAATAGGACTCATCCAGCTGTTTCTGCAGTTCTCGCTTCTCGTAGGCTATCCGCTGGTTGTCGGCGATGACTTTGCCTAGCCTCTCTTCCGATTCAAGGACCGATTCCATTTCTGTAGAACGACGAGGAGAGCTGAGAAGTTCCTCCTGTGCTTGTTCATTCGGGTCTTCCACATCTGCCTCGTCCGCTTCACCTCCATCTTCTTCCGCCTCTTGCACGGTTTGCATCAACACTTCCTGGGTTGACACCGCCAGCTCCTGCATCCGCTTCAAGTAGTCAATGCGGTCGGAGCAATTGATGGCAGCCACCACGAGGAGCTTCAGGAGAGCGACGGTGTCAGTGAGAGAGGACGATTGAGCGATGGCCTTAAGGTCAGGGCGACCACCAGGCTGTGGCAGTCGTTGCCCGCATTCTTCCACGAGGAAGATGGACAGCGCATCGTAAATGTGTTTGAGGTTGGTCCACTTGTTGATCCATTGATCGGTTTCGGGGTCTTCTGGAAGTTTGCCAGGAAAGCTGAAGCGATCGATTTGCTCTGGAGGAGATTAGAGAAGGTGCGCGACCGCTGCAAAGACTCAGACATACGAAGGGTTCTCCATATGAGGTCACCATTGGTGAAGTCGTCTACCGTGTACACTGGGTCTGCGACAGCGAGACTGTTGACCCAGTCGATAAGCCCAGCTGCAATGGCTTCTTCGGTCGCCATGGGAGAGGAATATGTTTATGTTGATAGCATTTCATAGTTGCTCTGACTATCGAGCTGCGACAAGCCTGAACACAATGAAGGGCCCCATGGTTTCAGGTTGAGGGATAGCGAAGACGCGAAGAATCTTTGGGGGGCGCGTGCTTCCGCCGAGGGTTGTGGAGGCTCAGAGGCTCAGAGAGGCGCGAGGGAATCAACACCGCGACGTGGATCATTCAAGGTCCATTCAATAGTATGGTGATTAATCTAGCAAGACAGACATGAATAGCAATTAGATCCATGTGAAAGGTCAATACTTGTGAAATATTAATGATATTTACGGAGTATAACGAGTGAGGTCCGCAGTGCTCTATAGTTCGCACGCCGTACAGTGTCTCCCAGCTTCATGCCAGTCATGCCTTCAAATTCACAGTTGCGTTGCTTTCGGTTCATAATATAATATCCATTCGTGATTCGAACATTTTTCATATGTACGTCAATCTCGTTGAAAAGCCTCTTGATTATTGAGCGGCACTTGTCGAGCCGTCAATTTTGACCACGTAGTCATCCTCGATATACGGCGCGTACGCTTCGGCCAGTGCGCTGATTTTGTCGAGCGTGACTTCAGAAACTTTGGCTGCGAAACCTTTGATCAAGGCTGTCAGGAAGTCAGCGTCAGTCCCAGCCAGCATTACCGGAGTGATGCAAATGAATGAGCACTCACAATACTCATGCGTTATGATTCCCCCGTCCTTCTCGATCTCTGCGATAGCCTTGTCGATGATTGATGATGGAGTGTTGTCTGGGAATGATACCACAACGGGTTTCTGCACTGGTGGCAGGGCGAAGACCGCAACGAATAAGACAAACAGGAAGACGATGGAGGTCGGCAGACGCATTTCGATGGCTCAAAGCGTGTTGATGAGAGGGTAAGAAGCGGGAGCTGGTCTCTGCCACAGTTCAATCAGAGGTTTGCTGATGGACAGAAAGGAGTAGTTGAGATTTTGGACGGATGTTTCGTTGAAGCACGGCAAAGACGGTGGTCGATAGTTGGGGATTTGACGCAGTTGTTGTTCTCTTATGACATACAGAGCCCGGAACGCTTGGAAGTTGCAGCGGTTCCCTTCCCTTGCAGATCCGGTGGGTGCCCGCCGAGCCCGCCTAGCAGCCTTTGACGCAGGCGGCAACTCGGCTTTGGCCTCCCATTTGCCGGCCCTCTTCTCTTCCAAACGTCTTTCCTTTCGATTCCCTCTTCTCCCTCGTCTCACGTCCTCCTCTCTTCTGCCCATCACCATCACGCCTTCCTTGTCACCTTCCTCTTCACCTTGATAGCTTGGTCGATAATATTGGTATTGAGAACAGAGCGTTTACGGTTTCGGTGTGCCCAGTCAACAAGCGACCGACGACAGTCGCAACCCTTCACTACAACAAACTTCGTCTCCTCGCCCTGTGCCTCATTCAGCACCTGACTGGACTTCGATCGTCTGACCGAACCGGCTTTGTACCTATACCTGATCTGCTTGATTGCAGCAAATCATGATTTGAAAGCCTGCAGAGCTGTCTGGAGTGGATCACCATCGAAATTTGGGCTGCTGGAGAGTTGGACTGGAGCCACAAGGAGGAACCAGGATAACATACCGGGTGTCACTTTGAATGGTTGTAGATAGCCAAAAGATACCACGACGCTTTTTCCTTTTGTTGTCTACCTGTGTCTGACGACTTCAGTCGCTGCTTGACATCAAAGAGTCATCGCTTGCCTCGCCGCATGCCCGTTTGACTCGTTCAAAGCTCGAATCCTGAGTCCTGATCGGGATCTCCTCTACCTTTCAATCTTTCTTACTCTCCGTTTGCGATTCCAATCTCCTTCTCTCGTCATGTCCGGGCTACCGTCGGATGAGGTCGCGGAAGACTATAAGAACTCTTTGGAGGATCTTGTGACCAACGACAGATATCAGATCTCGAACTTGACCTTGATCGCAAAAGAAAATACCGAACATGCTGAAGCGATCTCCAGGGTATTGCAAAACCACATCAACAGAGTACGTCAATTGTCTATTCAAATCCTTTTCATTGTGCGATTCATGTGCAATTCTGTCTAAGCACGGTTCAAGGCCACTGCTAATCCTTTGATAGGCACCTCCGGCCCGCAAGCTACCGGCTCTGTATGTGCTGGACTCTATCGCCAAAAACGTCGGGTCTCCTTATACAGTCTATTTCGGCCGGAACCTCCATCAAATCTTTATGCTGGCATATTCACAAGTCGACAGCGCGGTTCGGCGGAAGCTGGAAGAAATGTTAAAGACGTGGCGAGAACCGGTCCCTGGCGCCCTGTCCACCACTCCCGTGTTTCCTATCGCAAGCACCCAGACCATCGTCGACAGCTTGAACAAGTTTCGAGGCCAGGTTCCCGCAAATCATCGATCTACCCCCATCCAAGGCCAGCCTGTGAGAGTGCCTTCTGCTCAACCGTACCGACATACACCGACTCCTCCCCAAACCTTACCTCAATTTGCTCAAAATATCCCTTCACACATTCGAAGTCCGCAACCGCAGCCTGCCGTGCCTCAACAACCATATGCTCAGCTGCCATCAGTGACATATGGCCAACCTTACCCTCCTCAGCCGACCCCGACCCCCTACTATCAGCCCCCTCCGCCCTCCCATACACCCCAATACCTGCCTCCGACTCCTCAGCCGGCGCCCGTCACTGGAAGTGCGGTTGATTTGCAGAAACTGCATGCTGACATTGATGATCTTACCACCGATGCCAAAATCGAGTGCGCCACTCATCCCATGGATGCAGGAGCGCAACGGAAATTAGCCAGTCTGCAAACGTTGAAAGAGATCCTCGACAGTGGCAATGCTTCTGAAAATGACCTGGTCGATATTCGGAACACTATTTTGCAAAAAATGACGGAGAAGATGGCAATGAGCCGCCAACCTCCGGCGCAAACGCCGCTGCCGAATATCCCACTGCATACATCTTATGCCCCTTCACAGGCACTCGTTCAACCCATGCAAGCAAGTCCGCCGGGCCCAACCGCGGGCCCGCCTCCTACGGCATTGTTCAACAGCACAAATCTTGCAGAGCTACTTAGAACCACTCTAAATCAACAGCAGGCGACACAACCGCCTAACTACTACGCGCCACCTCAATCTGGCGTGAGCACTCCTCAGTACATTACTACGGCCCCTGCTCCGCCAACGGAAAATCCACTTATAGCTCAGCTCCGGGCATCGGGGCTCTTGTCTGCGGCACCGACACCCCCACCCGGGATGACAGCACCCGTGGCATCGTTCTCTACCTTCGGACCAGATGCAACCGCGGAAGTCAAGCTCACATCAGCTTCAATCAGAATACCAAGACCCCAGATGATTGCCATATTTCTCAACGCGCGGCCCAATCAATGCAGCACTTGTGGGCGAAGATTCACTTCGGATGAAGCTGGGAAAGAGAAGAAGGCCAGACATCTCGACTGGCATTTCAAGACCAAAGCCAGAATGCTGGAGGCTGAGAAGCGGGGTCAGAACCGCAGCTGGTATGTGGATGAACGAGAATGGATCGCCAGCAAAGAGTACGAAGACGATGCTGGACCGGTGGATTCCAACGGCCATCCAATAAATGGAGCCGGAGTGGCTGATAAGAAGAAAGCTCAGGATTTTGTGCGCGTGCCCGCCGATCCAGTGCTGCGATCATTGCCTTGTCCAATAGACCAAGAGGCATTCAAAAGTGAATGGAGTGAGGAAGTGCAGGATTTTATTTGGAAAGACGCAGTTCAAGTTGGAGGGCGATATTACCATTCATCTTGCCTAGGAGACTATTCTAACTCGATCCTTGGTAAACGAAAAGCAGAGGAAGATAACATGCCCATGGTTGCGGAGAAGAAACTGCTTGTCACTTAGGTTTGATTGTATTCGCCCAAAGCTTTCATTGCTGATGGGCCAGGCAAGCAGCCGTGGGTTGGAGAAATGTTGGGTGGCTATCTTCGGATGATCGCATTTGCATAGCGCGAGAGCATGTATTAGATTATAGCCATATTAATTAAGAGGATGGCACAGGACGGTATTCTTTTGGTGTCAGCCTCGTGGCAGCTTATTCACATTACGGAGTACTTGTACCTCGTAATCCCATGCATTTAATACCCCATGCGTGCCCGTGTTCGGCAAGGCTGCATATTCGGCAAGGCTGCCGGAGATAAGGATGAGCTAAAACTCATATCCGGCCAAGGGTCCATATTTCTCCACTCCGGGTCCCCAACTTGGACCTGGAAAAAAGCTCGAGACCCACTCGATTTCCCAGACGCAGTTCTTATCGAACCCTGCGAACTTTTTTCCCAATGCACATGGTTTTCTTCTGCTGCGCCCGCCAGATTTTTTAGACATCACAGCTTTCATTTCATTTTTGCAGACTGGAGTTGATATAGACAAGACCCTTCTCGACCTTTTTTTCTCGACCTCGAAACCCGTCCTTTCGCCCGCTTCGTCTCCCATCTCTGCGCGCAATCCTTCCACGATGTCACCTCCGGCCATGGCGCCAGCTCTGGGTGTGGGCGGGAAAAGCTATAAGACAGAGTCGGGGCTTGCTCGGCTACTGGGATCGGGTTCTGCTGGAGTCGCCGAGCTGTTGATCTTTCATCCTGTTGATACGATTGCGAAAAGGTTGATGAACAATTCAACGAGAGTACGCACTACACTCTGGTCTCAAACACTACCCGTCGACTGACAATCTGCAGGTAGCTTCAGTCTCTGCTCTCAATGCCGTCATCTTCAGAGAAAACGCCTCAGCCTCCGTGCTCACGAAGTTTACTTCCCTCTTCCCTGGTCTAGGATATGCAGCAGGCTACAAGATCCTGCAGAGAATATACAAATACGGCGGGCAACCCTTTGTGCGCGACTACCTGACCGAGCATCACCGCCAGGACTTCGACAGCGCGTTTGGCAAAGGGACTGGCAAGGCAATGCTCAACGCAACCGCAGGTTCTCTCATTGGCATCGGGGAGGTTCGTCACGATGCTGCCTTCAAAGTCACATCATGTCTGTGATCGCTGACCGACTAAGATAATTTTGCTCCCTCTTGACTTGCTCAAGGCCAGTAGAATGAAGCTCATATCGAAATCAACTAACCTGGACTAGATCAGATTGCAAACCAATCCAGATGTTCTGCGATCACGAGGCTTTTTCCAGATTGTCAAGGACGAAGGGTTCGGGTTGTACAGGGGCGCGGGATGGACAGCGTAAGAGGGCACCAAACCAATCTGTGTACATCCAACACCTGCAATATTAACACCATACAGGGCACGAAATGCACCAGGCTCCTTTGCACTATTCGGGGGATCTTCATTCACCAAAGAATACCTCTTCAAGCTCGAAGACTACAATGCCGCCACATGGGTTCAGAACTTTGTCGCATCTATCGCAGGAGCAGCAGCCAGCCTCCTCGTCTCTAGCCCGCTTGATGTGATCAAAGTGAGGGTGCAGGCCCGGGACCATTTGAACCCGGAGTCTGGCATGCGAATCATGACGAACATGGTCAAGAATGAGGGTGTGGGGAGTTTCTTCAAGGGCATTGTTCCAAAGATGTTGATGACTGGGCCAAAGCTCGTGTTTTCGTTCTGGTTGTAAGTATGACCATTTTATCCCTCTTTTTCGGGTACTAACAGCCCCTCAGAGCTCAGACACTCATTCCGGCGTTCGGAAAGATTGTTTGAACATTTCAAATCCATGTTCATTGAATCCCCTGCACCCATGACAAACACGACACCACCAGTCGGATCTCAGCAGGACTGGCCAGAGTCACCATCCATGCTGCCGGACGCCGAGCCGATTGAGCTCATTTTGTTTCTATTCCTCCATAATTCAACAATTGCCATCTGAATTCTATGCACCGAAGACAAACACGACACCACCAGTCGGATCTCAGTAGGATTGGACAGAGTCACCATCCATGCTGCCGGACGCCGAGCCGATTGAACTCATTTTGTTTCTATTCCTAAATAATTCACACTTTCTGTACGATAAGCGGAGGCACACACAACTGCCAGAGCACGAGTACTTGTGCACCTTGCACAGTTTCTCCGAAATCTCACAATTTTTCCGGGACGCACCTTCCTCCAGCATTGGACTGAGCAGTAATACCTGCCACAGCTGACAGTTGCCATCTGCCTGCAGCCTGCGAATTCTCTCTTTTCCACTCGCCTCACTCTTTTCATCCTCCTGTTGTTCTCTCAATTCTTTCATTCAGCCACGGTCCTTTCAGCTTCGTGGTCTACATCTTCCTCTGTCGGCTCTACCGCTCGAGTCTTGTAGCTTTGATGTCCAATTTCTGATCTCGTCGACGTCGTCGGACTCTCTGTCATTATCTCAGGTTTGTCGTGTCCTCGTCCCACCAGCCTTGTTGTTCACCACTGATCTGCTGCAGCTCCCGTCTTTCACTGACTGCAACCATGGAGCAAATAGGCCTTTCCATCATCAAGTGCCCTGACGCCTCTTCCGATGAGCACTGACACCTCTTTCCATGAAGACTCTGACGCCTCTTTCGATGAGCACTCTGAAGCCTCTTTCCATGAAGACTCTGACGCCTCTT